TTGATTATGAGCCCAGTTTTCAAGTTGGTCCAAATCGGGGTCCAAAATTAAACTTTGTTTGATTTCAACAAAAATTGAATATATGGGGTTCTTTGATATGCTGAATCTAACCATGTATTTAGATTTTTGATTTTTGGGCCCCGTTGTCAACTTTGTCCACATTGAGGTCAAAAGGGTCCGAAATTAAACTTTGTTTGATTTCATCAAAAATTGAATTCTTGGGGTTCTTTGATATGCTGAATCTAACCATGTATTTAGATTTTGGATATTGGACCATAATAGGTGAATGTCCAATTTAAAATTTTTAAGTTCTTAGACCACATTCATTCTGTGTCAGAAACCTATGCTGTGTCAAATATTTAATCACAATCCAAATGCAAAGCTGTATCAAGCTTGAATGTTGTGTCCATACTTGCCCAAACTGTTCAGGGTTCGACCTCTGTGGTCGTATCAAGCTGCGCCCTGCGGAGCATTTTATTATTATTTCATTTGGTAAACTGTTCCATATTTGAGAACCTGAATATGTAAATGTTTTCTTTAAAAAGTTTGTTTTTGGTTTCGGAAGATTTAATAGTTTTTCATCAGCCGAACGTAAATTATGATTCTGATTACCAATAAAATGAAAGTTTTCTTGTAAATAGTTAGGAACCATATCATTTAATGATTTAAATACAAGTATTGTCTTTTGATATTGAATGCGTTTTTCCACATTTAACCAGTTTAAACTATTAAACAACAAACTGGATGATGTCATTATGTCAGCTTCTACTATAACCCTAGCAGATTTCTTTAATAACTTATTAAGTTTATTTATTCCACTTTCATAGCAACTTCCCCATATATTGCAACAATAATCAAACAATGTCAGAATATAAGCATTAAAATAAATAATACGTATATGCATAGGTAAATATTTTCTTATCTTTTGTAATAAATTGATTCTACACAAGGTTCCATATCACAAAAGGGAATACTTGGATTGATTTTGGGGGTAATTGCCTCAAAATTTTAGGAATTAGGGGCCAAAAAAGGGGCAAAAAACAAGCATTTTTATCATCTGACGACCGCAAACATTTTTTTGGGATCGTATAATGGTATGGTGTCGTCGTCCGAAAACACATTTGGTTTCCGGACAATTATTTTAGTTTAAGTGAATGGATCTCTATGTATTTTTTTAAGAAGGTTCAATACCATGATAGGGAGGTTGGGATTGATTTTGGGGATGATGGTCCCAACCGTTTAGGAATTAGGGGCCCAAAAGGGCCCAAAACAAGCATTTTTCTAGTTTCAGGATAATAACTTGTGTATAAGTATTTTGATTGCTCTGAAATTGTACCACAATGTTTAATACCACCAGTAGAAGGTTGTGATTCATTTTGGGGGTTATGGTGCCAACAGTTTAGGAATTAAGGGCCAAAAAGGGGCCAAAAACAAGCATTTTTGTAGTTTCAAGACAATAACTTGTGTGTGAGTGTATGGATCTCTCTGACATTGTACCACAAGGTTCCATATCACAAAGGGAAGTCTGGGATTGAGTTTGGGGGTGGTGAATTATAAGGGGGTTCAAAAAATTGGGGTGGGGGATTTTTTTGTCCTTTTTTTCAATAAAATTTTCTATTTTAAATTGTTTATTTGTGATTTATATATAAAAGCAAATAATAATGATATGGTTTGAATAGGTAAATTATTTTTTTTTAAGTTCTTAGACCACATTCATTCTGTGTCAGAAACCTATGCTGTGTCAAATATTTAATCACAATCCAAATTCAGTGCTGTATCAAGCTTGAATGTTGTGTCCATACTTGCCCCAACTGTTCAGGGTTCGACCTCTGCGGTCGTATCAAACTGCGCCCAGCGGAGCATTTTATTAAAATTGGAGTTATCTTCCTTTGTCCATGATTATAGTTGAATCAACTACAATCAATGCTTTATACAATGCAATGTTTAATTTTGACCTCCACTGATAAAACACAGATCAAGTTGAATTTGGGTAGTGTCACTTTAACCATTATTGAGTTATGCCCCTTTTTATATCGAAAGATTGGAAAATTTTTAGTTTCCATTCTGTAACTTAAGTTTGCCCCAAACAAACATTATGAAACCTATACACAATATTCATTACCACAAAACAAAGATCAAGTATAAATTTTTTGTTTCCGTTTTTATACAACCGCAAAAATTTTTTTGTGGTTGTATATTGGTATGACGTTTGCGTCGTCGTCGTCGTCGTCGTTGTCGTCGTCGTCGTCCGGCGTCGTCCGAAGACACATTGGTTTTCGCACTCTAACTTTAGTTTAAGTGAATGTATCTCTATGAAATTTTACCACAAGGTTCAATACCACAAAAGGAAGGTTGGGATTGATTTTTGGGGTTATGGTACCAACAGTAAAGGAATTAGGGGCCAAAAAGGGGCAAAAAATAAGCATTTCTGTAACTTCCAGACATAACTTGTGTGTTAGTGTATGGATCTCTCTGACATTGTACCACAAGGTTCCATATCAAAAAAAGGAATGCTGGGATTGATTTTGGGGGTAATTGCCTCAAAATTTTAGGAATTAGGGGCCAAAAAAGGGGCAAAAAACAAGCATTTTTCTAGTTTCATGACAATAACTTGTGTGTAAGTGTATGGATCTTTCTGAAATTGTACTACAAGGTTCCATATCACAAAGGGAAAGCTGGAATTGAGTTTGGGGGTAATTGCCGAAACGTTTAGGAATTTGGGGCCAAAAAGGGGCCAAAAATAAGCATTTTTCTAGTTTCATGACCATTACTTGTGTGTAAGTGTATGGATCTTTCTGAAATTGTACTGCAAGGTACCATACCACAAAGGGAAGGCTGGGCTTGATGATGGGGGTAATTGCCTCAAAATTTTAGGAATTAGGGGCCAAAAAGGGGCAAAAAACAAGCATTTTTCTAGTTTCAGGACAATAACTTGTGTGTAAGTGTATGGATCTTTCTAAAATTGTACTGCAAGGTTCCATATCACAAAGGGAAAGCTGGGCTTGAGTTTGGGGGTAATTGCCCTAAACGTTTAGGAATTTGAGGCCAAAAAGGTGCCAAAAAACACATTTTTCTAGTTTCCAGACAATAACTTATGTTCAAGTGTATGGATCTCTCTGAAATTGTACTGCAAGGTACCATACCACAAAGGGAAGGCTGGGATTGAGTTTTGGGGTGATGAATCATAAGGGGGTTCAAAAAATTTAGGGGGGAGATTTTTTTTTTTTTTACTTTTTTTTCTTTTTTTCCTTTTTTTTTCTTTTAAAATTTTCCATTTTAAGTTGGTTATTTCTGATTTATATTTAAAAACAAATAATAATGATATGGTAGGAGATACACACCAAACAGGATGTGTAAATTATTATATAATAAGTATTGTGCAATAGCAAGAAATTTTCAATTGCACAGTATTGCACAATAGCAAGAAATCTTCAATTGCACAGTAATGCGCAATAGCAAGAAATCTTCAATTGCACAGTATTGCGCAATAGCAAGAAATATCCAATAGCACAATATTGCGCAATAGTAAGAAATTGTCAATTGTACAGTATTGCGCAATAGCAAGAAATATTTAATTGCACAGTATTGTGCAAAAGAAGATACTTCGTATAAATTGCTTATTTCTTGACCAATTTCAATGGGGTTTTATTCTTGAATTCTTGAGGTTCTTTAATATGCTGAATCTAACCGTGTATTTAGTTTTTATACGACCGCAAAAAAATTTTTGTGGTCGTATATTGGTATGACGTTGGCGTCGTCGTCGTCGTCGTCCGGCGTCGTCGTCCGGCGTCGTCCGGCGTCGTCGTCGTCGTCGTCGTCGTCGTCCTGCGTCGTCGTCCGAATACACATTGGTTTTCGCACTCTAACTTTAGTTTAAGTGAATGGATCTTTTTGAAATTTTACCATAAGGTTAAATACCACAAAAGGAAGGTTGGGATTGATTTTGGGGGTTATGGTACCAACAGTTAAGGAATTAGGGGCCAAAAAGGGGCCAAAAATAAGCATTTTCTAGTTTCCAGACAATAACTGTGGAACAGTGTATGGATCTCTCTGAAATTATACTACAAGTTTCCATACCACAAAGGGATGGTTAGGATTTGCTTTGGGGGGTTATGGCTCAAACCGTTTAGGAATTAGGGGCAAAAAAGGGGGAAAAACAAGGTTTTCCTGGTTAATGGACAAATACTTTAGTACAAAACATAATTTAAAGCAGTGTAAGGGAGATAAATCAAATACATCATTGAAATTATCTCCCTTACACTGCTTTTAAATTATGTATAAAGTAATGGTTAATGAACAATAAAGATAATTTAAAACAGTGTAAGGGAGGTAATCCAAATACAAAGTTTTGGTTACTTCCCTTACACTGCTTTTAAATTATGTTTAAAGAAATGCATATTTATAAAGGAAGACCAGTAAAAATATCTGCAAATGTTGCATCATTTTATTTTACAAAAAAATCTATATGAAAGATTTGACACTATATTTTTAATTCTATTATAAAATAGATTAAGTTAGCACTATGGTAAAATTAAATGGGTAATTATGGTTGCCAACTCCATTGGAAATTTGAATTGAGATTATGACCATATCTTGAGGGAAAGAATTTTTTGGGGGTAAAAAAGGGGGGGGGGGGTGATAAAAAGAAATTGTGGGGGGTCAATTTTTTCTCATTTCAGATTTCAGAAATTAAAAAGAATTATTCTTCAAATATTATTTTTTTTTTCAAATTTCAAATATTGAAAAATTTCAAGAAGTAATCTTTAATTGCACAGTATGGCCCATTAGATTTGTAAAATCTTTGATCACATTTATTTATTTGTTATGCTGAATCTAACAGTGTATTTAGATTTTTAATTTTGGGTCCAGTTTTCAAAATAGTCTACATTAAGGTCCAAAGGGTCCAAAATTAAACTTTGTTTGATTTTAGCAAAAATTGAATATATGAGGTTCTTTGATATGCTGAATCTAAACATGTATTTAGATTTTTGATTTTTGGCCCAGTTTTCAAGTTGGTCCAAATTGGGGTCCAAAATTAAACTTTGTTTGATTTCAACAAAAATTGAATATATGGGGTTCTTTGATATGCTGAATCTAACCATGTATTTAGATTTTTTATTTGTGGACCCCGTTATCAAATTGGTTCATATTGAGGTCAAAAGGGTCCAAAATTAAACTTTGTTTGATTTCATCTAAAATTTAATTATTGGGGCTCTTTGATATTCCAAATCTAACCGTGTATTTAGATTTTTAATTTTGGGTCCTGTTTTTTAAATTGGTCTACATTAAGGTCCAAAGGGTCCAAAATTAAACTTAGTTTGATTTTAACAAAAATTGAATTCTTGGGGTTCTTTGATATGCTGAATCTAAACATGTGTTTAGATTTTTGATTATGGGCCCAGTTTTCAAGTTGGTCCAAGATAGGGTCCAGTATTTAAACTTTGTTTGATTTCAACAAAAATTGAATATATGGGGTTCTTTGTTATGCTGAATCTAAACATGTATTTAGATTTTTGATTATGGGCCCAGTTTTCAAGTTGGTCCAACTTGGGGTCCAAAATTAAACTTTGTTTGATTTCAAAAAAAATTGAACATATGAGGTTCTTTGATATGCTGAATCTAACCATGTATTTAGATTTTTTATTTGTAGGCCCCGCTATCAAATTTGTTCATATTGAGGTCAAAAGGGTCCAAAATTAAACTTTGTTTGATTTCATCAAAAATTGAATTATTGGGGTTCTTTGATATGCCAAATCTAACCGTGTTTTTAGATGTTTAATTTGGGTCCCGTTTTTTAAATTGGTCTTCATTGAGGTCCAAAGGGTCCAAAATTAAACTTAGTTTGATTTTAACAAAAATTGAATTCTTTGGGTTCTTTGATATGCTGAATCTAAACATGTGTTTAGATTTTTGATTATAGGTCCAGTTTTCAAGTTGGTCCAAGTTGGGGTCCAAAATTAAACTTTTTTTGATTTCAACAAAAATTGAATATATGGGGTTCTTTGATATGCTGAATCTAACCATGAATTTAGATTTTTTATTTGTGGGCCCCGCTATCAAATTGGTTCATATTGAGGTCAAAAGGGTCCAAAATTAAACTTTGTTTGATTTCATCAAAAATTGAATTATTGGGGTTCTTTGATATTCCAAATCTAACCGTGTATTTAGATTTTTAATTTTGAATTGGTCTACATTAAGGTCTAAAGGGTCCAAAATTAAACTAAGTTTGATTTTAGCAAAAATTGATTTCTTGGGGTTCTTATATACGCTGAATCTAAACATATGTTTAGATTTTTGATTATGGGCCCAGTTTTCAAGTTTGTCCAAGTTGGGGTCCAAAATTAAACTTTGTTTGATTTTAACAAAAATTGAATATATGGGGTTCTTTGATATGCTGAATCTAACCATGTATTTTGATTTTGGACATTGGACCATAATAGGTAAATTAAAAAAATTCAAGTTCTTAGACCACATTCTTTCTGTGTCAGAAACCTATGCTGTGTCAAATATTTAATAACAATCCAAATTCAGAGCTGTATCAAACTTGAATGTTGTGTCCATACTTGCCCCAACTGTTCAGGGTTCGACCTCTGCGGTCGTATGAAGCTGCGCCCCAGCGAAGCATTTTATTGGATTTTGGGCCCCGTTTTTAAATTGGTCCACATTGAGGTCCAAAGGGTCCAAAATTAAACTTTGTTTGATTTCATCAAAAATTGAATTATTGGGGTTCTTTGATATGCCGAATCTAATCGTGTATTTAGATTCTTAATTTTTGGTTCCGTTTTCAAATTGGTCTACATTAAGGTCCAAAGGGTCCAAAATTAAACTTAGTTTGATTTTAACAAAAATTGAATTCTTAGGGTTCTTTGATATGCTGAATCTAAACATGTATTAAGATTTTTGATTATGGGCCCAGTTTTCAAGTTGGTCCAAATCGGGGTCCAAAATTAAACTTTGTTTGATTTCAACAAAAATTGAATATATGGGGTTCTTTGATATGCTGAATCTAACCATGTATTTAGATTTTAGATTTTTGGGCCCCGTTATCAACTTTGTCCACATTGAGGTCAAAAGGGTCCAAAATTAAACTTTGTTTGATTTCATCAAAAATTGAATTCTTGGGGTACTTTGATATGCTGAATCTAACCATGTATTTAGATTTTGGATATTGGACCATAATAGGTGAATGTCCAATTTAAAATTTTTAAGTTCTTAGACCACATTCATTCTGTGTCAGAAACCTATGCTGTGTCAAATATTTAATCACAATCCAAATGCAAAGCTGTATCAAGCTTGAATGTTGTGTCCATACTTGCCCCAACTGTTCAGGGTTCGACCTCTGCGGTCGTATCAAGCTGCGCCCTTCGGAGCATTTTATTTAACTTTAGTTTGCCTCAACCAAATGTTATGAAACTTATACACAATGCTTATTACTACATAATACAGATTTAGTACGAAATTTGGTGGCGACACTTTTACCATTCTTGAGTTATGTCCCTGTATAAACATAAAAATTGCTGAATTTTTCGTTTCCGTTCTCTAACTTTAGTTTGTCTCAACCAAATGTTATAAAACTTATACACAACTGTTCTAGAGTTATGCGTGTTTACAAATAGCAAAATTACTGAATTTTTAGTTTCTGTTCTCTACTTAAGTTAGCCTCAACCAAATGTTATGAGACTTACACACAATGCTTATTACCACAAAACTTTTACCGTTCTTCAGTTATTTATTATTAATTGTTTTTGGCTTTTAACTAGCTTTCAGTAACTGCGAGTACTCTCAAATCGTACTTTCGTGTTAATTTGACGTTTTGGTACAATTTGTAATGTACTTTTTGTTATTTAATGTTTACTTATTCAGTGTTATATCTAATTTTAATATATACCACCTTTGGTAAGTTTTTAGTATTACGATAAATTTTCACTTTTGTTCTCGTACTTGGAACAACAAAATTATTTATTTTATAAAAATTATTTCCGTACTCCATGTATACCTTACAACAAAATTATTTTTATTTAAGGAATGACTGTAATATTTCTTCTGTCTATGAAGAAATAACATCAAAAATGTGGTGCACACTGAATAACCCGCGTAGAGGGTTATTCAAAAGTGTGCACCATATTTTTTATGTTATTTCGAATAGACAGAAAAAAATATTACAGTCATTCCGTATAATTTAATTCTAAAAAGGAGTAAATCGTGATGAAAACGTTGATGACGTCACGGTCAAATGACAAAATTGTGTCTATGAGCTGATAGTCAAAACACTTTCAGCCAATCAGAAGACGTGTTACGTCCAAAATTAAATTATTTACCTGTGTACGTTATTTTATTTGGCGGCATTTTATCCAAGGTTAAGGTTGAATTTCTGATATTGTTAAACATCTAACCCCCTTGTTTTATTAATTTTGCATTTACATTGTGTCATAGATCAAATTTATTCGTTCAGTGAAAGTTCACTTGTTTTTTGTTCATATGTCTTTTGATTGAGCTAAACCATTTCAATTGATATTTTATAATGTGTCTTTCTATGTTGTGATTTTACACTATTGTTTCAGGTAGGATGAAGGTTGGCGCCTATTAAACGTTTAAACCCTCTGCATTTGTTTGCACCTGTCCCAAGTCAGGAACCCGATGTTCAGTGGTTGTCGTTTGTTGATGTGGTTCATACGTGTTTTTCATTTCTCGTATTTTATATATATTAGACCGTTGGTTTTCCTGTTTGAATGGTTTTACACTAGCCATTTTTGGGGCCTTTTATAGCTTGTGGTTCGGTGTGAGCCAAGTCTCCGTGTTGAAGGCCGTACTTTGACCTATAATGGTTAACTTTTACAAATTGTGACTTGGATGGATAGTTGTCTCATTGGCACTCATACCACATCTTCTTATATCTATCTATATATTATCTTTCATCCGCATACATGAATTATGCATAGTGAATTTCGCTTTCTTTTAAATGATTATTTTCTTAACAATTCATTAGATGGACGCGATCCAGCATCTTACAGAAATGCTCATATGGGTAGTATCATCTTTTTCATAGGACCGCAAACATTTGCGGCCGTATAATGGTATATGGCGATGACGTCTTCTTCCGAAAAAATTGGTTTCCAAACAATAACTTGAGTATAAGTGTATGGATCTCTGTGAAATTGTACCACAAGGTTCCATAACACAAAAGGAAGGTTGTGGTTGATGATTTTGGGGGTTATGGCCGTAACCGTTGAAGAATTTTGGGCCAAAAAGTGGTTAAAAGCAAACATTTTTCTGGTTTCCGGACAATAACTTGAGTATAAGTGTATGGATTTGTATGAAATTGTACCAAAAGGTTCCATACTACAAAAGGAAGGTTGGATTGAATTTTGGGGTTATGGCCGTATTCGCTTAGGAATAAGAGACCAAAAATTGGTAAAAAAACATGCAATGTTTTAAACTTTGTTTGAACTGCTTATTTCTGACCAATTTCAATAGGGTCTGAATAATCTTCAAATATTTGGGTTCTTTGATATGCATTTAGAATATTGATTTTTGGCAGTGTTTTCAAGTGGGTCCAAATAAGGGTGCAAAATTAAGCTTTATTTTGATTGATTTCAACATGCTGAATCTAATAATGTATTTAGATTTTGGATTTTGGGCCCATTTTTCTAATTTCTAAACTGTTAGGACCATAACCCCCAAAATCAATCCCAACCTTCCTTTTGTGGTTATAAACCTTGTGTTTAAATTTCATAGATTTCTATTTAATTATACTAAAGTTATTGTCCGGAAACCAACCGTCTTCGGACGACGACGACGACGACGTGATACCAATATACGACCGCAAAATTTTTTGCGGTCGTATTAAAAGGGAAACTCCTAAATCTAAAAAAATATTTAATTAATTTGATAAAAGGTTTCCTACAAATTACAGCTTAAACTAAATTCCTTTATGGAGCATTTTAAAAACTAAGCTAAAATTGTCCATTAATAAATAGATAAATTAAATTCTTGGTGTACTTGTATCAAGCATGAATGTAACTGTCCTTACTTGCCCCAACTGTTCGTGGTTCGACCTCTGTGGTCGTATCAAGCTGCGCCCCGATAATCTTGACTGCATATATACAAAAAATGAGATCGTTAAATCCATAGGTAACATTGCAAAAGCATAGGCAATTTTTCTGGACTGTAAATCTGTGTCGAATACATAATTAGAAATTATATAAGAAATTCTGCTGATAGCATATAACTTCGGTTTTCTTCACGTTAATCCTCTTAAGAATCAGTATGTCGTTTTCACGCATTTCTTTACTCCCTCGCAGATGTTTTGTAGCGTTTACTACAATCTCATTAAAATCCGATGTTCTGATACGCTACACTCCCCTAAGAGTGATCGATCAAACATAAATTTCTAATAATCCCGAACTTCCTGGCAGAATTATGCCAGCCGCTATCTGATTGGCAATTAAAAGTTCGTCGGGACATGACCCAATTTCGAGTTGGTTCAGATGTTAGGGGAGTGTAGCGTATCATGTAGAACATCGGATTTTAATGAGATTGCGTTTACTATTGAAATTTTGTGTTCAATTTTCAGTGGCTATCAAGGCGGGCAAGCAGCTCCCTACCCACCTGCGGGAGGATATCAAGGTCCTCAGCCGGGAGGGTCTAACCAGGGTGGTCCAACAGGAGCTTATCCGGGAGGGTATTCGGCCGGTCAACAAGCGGGCGGATATCCTGGAGGCCAACCAGCAGGCGGATATCCTGGAGGCCAACCAGCAGGCGGATATCCTGGAGGCCAACCAGCAGGCGGATATCCGGGGGGACAACCAGCTAGTGCATACCCTGGTACCCAGACTGCACCTAATCAAGGAAGCGGATATATAGGTTGGCTCTTTATAATAGATGCTAACAGAAAATGAATATGTGCATATTTGATATTTGTTTGACCTGGTTGTTCGGCATAAAAAATGAAGCCATAGCTAATATAACCATTAATTAAAAGTAAAGTTTTATGATACAGTTACAGGGGAGATAATGCCGTCGCTAAAGTAAAATGCTATTTTTCGCGATGTCAAACTGTGACATAATTGGAAAAGTTGCATTTTTTAACTCATTTAAATCCTTAGCGAGGAAACAAGTGAATTGACATTATTATTATTTAAAATGACATTTGGCTTAATTATGTATGAAGATTATTTGTACCAATTTTGATGAAGAAATCGCCGATGGAATTTTTTTAAATTTGATAAATATACTACAAACAAATGCCGTTTTTATCTGAAATTATGAGAAGTTGATTTTTGTTACATATTTAAATTGACTAGGGGGGGAAACTTGTATGCAAATATTGGTCAAAAATTCACCGTGGAATCAAATCTGTATCGTATGCCCTTAGAGCTAAGTTTCTTACTTCTAAGACAATTGTTTGTATTAAAAAAAAATGCCGATTACCATGTTAAAAATATTTGACAGATTAATTGTATGTTACTTTTTACACACAAAACAAAATTTTGTCTAATACATTGTGAAAATAATTCTTGTTATTCTTTTGGTTAGCACCTCCTCAGGGGATAACAGTTCCGCAGTATACTGGTGCAATTCCGGAAAATGAGGCTCCTACAGAACAGCAATCTGAACCAACAGCACCACCTCTGGAAAAGATGGATGCAATTCCAGGATATCAAAATATTGGATTCACTGAATGTAAATTGGTTTTTGATTGTTTCATTAAAGTAGCACACATGGTGTATATGAGAATAAATAAAACGATAAAGAAGACATTCACCAATCACGAGAACCGGGACTGTATTAATGAATTCATTATAACTGATTTTCATGTCAGTATGGTTTTTGACATCAGGCAAGACATCAATATCACAACACAACTACTGAATATCCCTTGCCATTTTGCAACAAGTGATTTTTTAAAAGTCGTTAAAAAGTTTAAACTTTAAGCATTGAAAAGTCATAAAAATCTAATAGTTAGCATATTTTCGCGCGTCAAAACTTTTCTTTTAAAACCCTGCCGACTCACTCCTAAGCTTTTTCTATCCGACTGAAATTCAACAAAAATTACCGCCGCCTTTTGATTAAAATTATTATATGGCATCAAAACTATTCTTTAAAAAGAGTTCTTATTGGAAGAAAAATATTGTAACACACACCTTTGGCGGTTCATTCACAGCACGCTAAAGTAAGAAAATGCCCAGTTGATCAAGCACACGTTTGACTGTGTAAACGCTTTGGATAGTTTAGTTAGGGAATGAAATAAGGAAAAACACCAGTGTGACTATGATAAAACAAAGTCAAATGTATACAAAGGAAACTTGTTTTGAACCTTCACAAATACAACGGTATCGTGGTTGCAATGTAGGACATATAAACCAATTTATTTTACAGCATTTCTTCCTCCACCACCAACTTATCAAGATGCAATGAAAGGGCCACCCCCAGAAAGACAAAATATATCTAAGTTAGTATTTGAATTTATTTAAAAACATTTGATATTGTTATTTAATAAAACAAGTGTTTAATACATACAAACTTTGAAGGAAATCGAAACCTCATACATCTCATTTTTAACCGGATTTTCGAAGGAAATATCGGTTATTGATTTGGGGATGTACGGCGGCCGGGCGGGCGGACGGGCGGACGGGCGGCTGTCAAACAGTGTCTCTTCAATAACATGAAAACGGTGTGATGATTTTTTTTCAAATTTAGATATGTTGTTTCTTGTGACTAAATGAAGGTCAAGTTCAATTTTCACGATTTTAGTATTTATCTTTTTTTAGTTATCGTCATTTTTAATATCCAAAAGTGGTATTTTTAAACATTTTTCTCTTGTTATCATATTATGACTAATCATAGTAAATGTCTTATCTCAAAATAAAAATTGGAGTGACAGATTTATTTGAAAATTTTCTATTTCCTAAGTGGTGTTGATTATACGCTATATTATTAGAAATTTTGAAGTTAATTACATTATGTAATTATTATATATGTAATGTTAGAGTACTATGTTAAACCATAGTTCTTTTCAAAGGGAAATAGCCCGTCAGATTTGCAAGTATGATTTTCATTATTAGTTAGAACTGGGAAATATCGAAGCATATGATAATCATTGGAGTGACAGATTTATTATTTTCTGTTATGTTCCTGATATGATCTGTAGGACTGTATATATAAAGTTTGAAATTTACTAGTAGGACTTTTTAAATGAAGTTTGAAATTTACTGTTCATTATTAGACATTTTGTAGATAATTAAGTCTCCCTAAACCATATATATTCTTACCCCCACCCCCCTTCAATTTGAGAATGTGCTTTTATCTTGTAAACGGTCGAGATCCCCACCCCTAAACCATATATATTCTTGTATGTGACAATAAAACAAATCAAATGAAATATAGGGGAAGTCCATGGGGGTAGCCCCCACCCCCCTTCTTTTTGATAACATGTAAACGGTAAAGATCCCCACCCCGAAACCATATATATTATTGTAAAGGACAATAAAAAAAATCAAATGGAATAAAAGGCTAGTCCCCTGGGGTCACCCCACCCCTTCCTGTTTAAGAACTTGTAAACGGTCGAGATCCCCACCCTAAACCATATATATTCTTGTATGGGACAATAAAACATTCAAATGAAATATAGGGGAAGTCCATTGGGGTAACCCCTACCCCCCTTCTTTTTGATAACTTGTAAACGGTCAAGATCCCCACCCCGAAACCATATATATTCTTGTATGGGACAATAAAACAAATCAAATGGAATAAAAGGCGAGTCCCTTGGGGTCACCCCACCCCCTCCTGTTTGAGAACTTGTAAACGGTCGAGATCCCCACCCCTAAACCATATATATTCTTGTATGGGACAATAAAACAAATCAAATGGAATAAAAGGCGAGTCCCCTGGGGTCACCCCCACCCCTTCTATTTTAAGAACTTGTAAACGGTCGAGATCCCCACCCCTAAACCATATATATTCTTGTATGGGACAATAAAACAAATCAAATGAAATATAGGGGAAGTCCCCTGATGTAACCCCCACCCCCTTCTTTTTGAAAACTTGTAAACGGTCAAGATCCCCACCCCGAAACCATATATATTCTTGTATGGGACAATTAAACAAATCAAATGGAATAAAAGGCGAGTCCCCTGGTGTCACCCCATCCCTTCCTGTTTAAGAACTTGTAAATGGTCGAGATCCCCACCCCTAAACCATATATATTCTTGTATTGGACAATGAAACAAATCAAATGAAATAAAAGGCGAGTCCCCTGGTGTCACCCCATCCCTTCATGTTGAAGAACTTGTAAATGGTCGAGATCCCCACCCCTAAACTATATATATTCTTGTATGGGACAATGAAACAAAATCAAATGAAATATAGCGGAAGTCCATGGGGGTAACCCCCACCCCCCTTCTTTTTGATAACTTGTAAACGGTCGAGATCCACACCCCTAAACCATACATATTCTTGTATGGGACAATAAAACAAATCAAATGAAATATAGGGGAAGTCCCCTGGGGTAACCTCCACCCCACCCCCCCCCCCCCTTCTTTTTGAAAACTTGTAAACGGTCAAGATCCCCACCCCGAAACCATATATATTCTTGTATTGGACAATAAAACATATCAAATGAAATAAAAAGCGAGTCCCCTGGGGTCACCCCAAGCACCTCCTGTTTAAGAACTTGTAAACGGTCGAGATCCCCACCCCTAAACCATATGTATTCTTGTATGGAACAAAAAAACAAATCATATGAAATAAAGGGCGAGTCCCCTGGGGATCACACCCCCCCTCCTTTTGAGAACTTGTAAACGGTCGAGATCTCCACCCCTAAACAACCGTATATATTCCTGTTCGTCATTTCAAGAAGATTTGAATGACATACAGGGTCAATCCATAGGCGTCACTTATGCATATCACAAACCAATTTGTACTGGACTTTGCCCAATGTCAGGCGACCTATGAATGACGAATTATTGGATCTTTGTTTGGGAGACTTCATAACAGCATCCTGTTACAATTATTTCTTGTTACTGATAAGTTTTATAGATTTTGAAAAGACATTTAAGTCACAGAGTATTAATGATAAATAAAATTTTGGATTTTTTCTTCTTTTCTTTGATAAATTGTTTGAAGAATTTTGTGGCATGTTTGTTTGTTATTCTGTAAAAACTAATTTTCTGAATGCTATATATTTTTTTTATGAAGTAAACTCCTTGAAAAACTAAGCTTATATTGTCTGTTAATAAACATATATTTAGATTTCTGACTTTGGGCCCAGTTTTCAAGTTGGTCCAAATCGGGGTCCAAAATTAAACTGTGTTTGATTTCAACATAAATTGAATATATATAGGTTTCTTTAAAATGCTTAAACTAAACCTGTATTTCTTTTCGTTATTAATAAGATAATACAACATTGAGGTCAAAAGGGTCCTAAATTAAACTTTTGTTTAATTTCATAAAAAAATGAATTCTTTGGTTCTTTGATATGCTGATTCTAACAATGTTTGAGTGTTAAATCATATCTAATTTTAGAGAACTTTGTCATCACTGGTTGTTGTTATTATATTATTGATTATAACTTGAAAAATTGCATCATATCTTATTTTAGAGAACTATTTATCCAGTTTGAGTTATTTCCCTTTGCACAGAAAATATTATGGATAAAATTAACCTGTGTTTCATTTCAGCATAAATTAAATATATATAGGGTTCTTTCAAATGCTGAATCTAAACCTGTATTTAAATATTAGATTTTTGGGCCCAGTTATCAAGTTGGTCCAGATCAGGGTCCAAAATTAAACGTTGATTGATTCAACAAAAATTGAGTTTATGGGGTTCTTTGAAATGCTGAATCTTACCATGTATTGAGAGATTTTGGATTGTGGGCTCCTTTATCAAATTGGTCCACATTGAGGTCCAAAGGGTCCTAAATTAAACTTTTGTCTGATTTCATCAAAAATTGAATTCTTTGGGTTCTTTGATATGCTGATTCTAATATGTACTTAGATTTTGGATATTGGACCATAATAGGTAAATGTCTAATTTCAAATATTTCAGTTCTTTGACCACATTCATTTTGTATCACAAACCTATGCTGTGTCAAATATTCAATCACAATCCAAATTCAGAGCTGTTTTAAGCTTAAATGTAGTGTCCATACTTGCTCAACTGTTCAGGATTCGACCTCTGCAGGAAAATCCGGTTTGCTGTCACTCTGACAGCCTCTTGTTCATACTGAAACCTTAAACACTTCTGAATCAGTCGTTTTTTATTTAAAAAATTTAAAATCTTAGATGTGCTCTTGAGAAGTTCATTGTCTAGCACTAATTTCTGGAATCTTTCAACTCCCTCAGACAAAGTTGACCTTAGATGGATTTGGCTATTTAAGGTCCTTATTGGTTATATAGCTCTTCAACTGTTTCGGTTCTTATACATTTTTGGCTTTCAAATATTCGGCTGTGAGCGTTCCTGATGAAGGTAAATCCAGAAAAGCGCTTCGGACGCATGAAATTGATAACTTGTTGTTTTCATTTTTTACCTTGCAGTGTAAGGGATTTTTCTAGTTATAAAAACTTACCAGTTGCGTGCTATTTAGTCTTTAATTGTCATTGGGCTAAACTATTGTGCTTGTTTTACTATTTTCGACCTACTAGAAATTGATCTTTATGAGTTATTAATTTATGATCGTTTTACATTAAAATTTAAGTGTACCAACAATAACAGAACAAGAAGCAAGGGATGCTTTGCTGGAATTTGTAGCGGATAACTGTTGCTATGGGAAACGAGCCGCGGAAGATTTAAATTTCAACGACTTACAGTCAAGTAGTGCCTTTCACGTAAGCGATCTTATTTCAGTCTTATTTGTCATGAAGAATTTTGAAGAAAAAAATCAATGTAAATTGTCCCATAATTATCTGAATACTGAATGATTTTAATATTACGTGATAAATATCAATGAAAATAATATTCTCAATAAAATTGTATTCGTGTTCTGACCTCGAAAATGTGTAATAGAATGAATATATGAATTGCAGTACACTATGGAAAGTTTCACCGAATCAAGATCGACTGAATGGGCATACGAACCTTATAATGGTAAGACAATCAGTTTAACTCTGCTGAAAAGGCATTAGAACCTAAAAAGCGCGGTATTAGCTTTTTGGAGTGTTTTTATACGACCGCAAAAAAATTTTGTGGTCGTATATTGGTATGACGTTGGCGTCGTCGTCGTCGTCGTCGTCGTCGTCGTCGTCCGGCGTCGTCGTCCGAAGACACATTGGTTTTCGCACTCTAACTTTAGTTTAAGTGAATGGATCTTTTTGAAATTTGACCATAAGGTTAAATACCACAAAAGGAAGGTTGGGATTGATTTTGGGGGTTATGGTACCAACAGTTAAGGAATTAGGGGCCAAAAAGGGGCCAAAAATAAGCATTTTCTAGTTTCCAGACAATAACTGTGGAACGGTGTATGGATCTCTCTGAAATTATACTACAAGTTTCCATACCACCAAGGATGGTTAGGATTTGCTTTGGGGGGTTATGGCTCAAACCGTTTAGGAATTAGGGGCAAAAAAGGGGGAAAAACAAGGTTGTCCTGGTTAATGGACAAATACTTTAGTACAAAACATAATTTAAAGCAGTGTAAGGGAGATAAATCAAATACATCATTGAAATTATCTCCCTTACACTGCTTTTAAATTATGTATAAAGTAATGGTTAATGAACAATAAAGATAATTTAAAACAGTGTAAGGGAGGTAATCCAAATACAACGTTTTGGTTACTTCCCTTACACTGCTTTTAAATTATGTTTAAAGAAATGCATATTTATAAAGGAAGACCAGTAAAAATATCTGCAAATGTTGCATCTTTTTTTTTTTACAAAAAAATCCATATGAAAGATTTGACACTATATTTTTAATTCTATTATAAAATAGATTAAGTTAGCACTTTGGTAAATTTAAATGGGTAATTATGGTTGCCAACTCCATTGGAAATTTGAATTGAGATTATGGCCATATCTTGAGGGAAAGAATTTTTTGGGGGAAAAAAAGGGGGGGGATAAAAAGAAATTGTGGGGGGTCAATTTTTTCTCATTTCAGATTTCAGAAATTAAAAAGAATTATTCTTCAAATATTATTTTTTTTTCAAATTTCAAATATTGAAAAATTTCAAGAAGTAATCTTTAATTGCACAGTATGGCGCATTAGATTTGTAAATCTTTGATCACATTTATTTATTTGTTATGCCGAATCTAACAGTGTATTTAGATTTTTAATTTTGGGTCCATTTTTCAAATTGGTCTACATTAAGGTCCAAAGGGTCCAAAATTAAACTTTGTTTGATTTTAGCAAAAATTGAATATATGAGGTTCTTTGATATGCTGAATCTAAACATGTATTTAGATTTTTGATTTTTGGCCCAGTTTTCAAGTTGGTCCAAATTGGGGTCCAAAATTAAGCTTTGTTTGATTTCAACAAAAATTGAATATATGGGGTTCTTTGATATGCTGAATCTAACCATGTATTTAGATTTTTTATTTGTGGACCCCGTTATCAAATTGGTTCATATTGAGGTCAAAAGGGTCCAAAATTTAACTTTGTTTGATTTCATCTAAAATTGAATTATTGGGGTTCTTTGATATTCCAAATCTAACCGTGTATTTAGATTTTTAATTTTGGGTCCTGTTTTTTAAATTGGTCTACATTAAGGTCCAAAGGGTCCAAAATAAAACTTAGTTTGATTTTAACAAAAATTGAATTCTTGGGGTTCTTTGATATGCTGAATCTAAACATGTGTTTAGATTTTTGATTATGGGCCCAGTTTTCAAGTTGGTCCAAGATAGGGTCCAGTATTTAAACTTTGTTTGATTTCAACAAAAATTGAATATATGGGGTTCTTTGATATGCTGAATCTAAACATGTATTTAGATTTTTGATTATGGGCCCAGTTTTCAAGTTGGTCCAAGTTGGGGTCCAAAATTAAACTTTTTTTGATTTCAACAAAAATTGAATATATGAGGTTCTTTGATATGCTGAATCTAAACATGTATTTAGATTTTTTATTTGTGGACCCCGCTATCAAATTGGTTCATATTGAGGTCAAAAGGGTCCAAAATTAAACTTTGTTTGATTTCATCAAAAATTGAATTATTGGGGTTCTTTGATATGCCAAATCTAACCGTGTTTTTAGATTTTTAATTTGGGTCCCGTTTTTTAAATTGGTCTTCATTGAGGTCCAAAGGGTCCAAAATTAAACTTAGTTTGATTTTAACAAAAATTGAATTCTTGGGGTTCTTTGATATGCTGAATCTAAACATGTGTTTAGATTTTTATACGACCGCAAAAAAATTTTTGTGGTCGTATATTGGTATGACGTTGGCGTCGTCGTCGTCCGGCGTCGTCGTCGTCGTCGTCGTCGTCGTCGTCGTCGTCGTCCGGCGTCGTCGTCGTCCGGCGTCGTCCGAAGACACATTGGTTTTCGCACTCTAACTTTAGTTTAAGTGAATGGATCTTTATGAAATTTTACCACAAGGTTCAATACCACAAAAGGAAGGTTGGGATTGATTTTGGGGGTTATGGTAATAACAGTAAAGGAATTAGGGGCCAAAAAGGGGCCAAAAATAAGCATTTTTGTAACTTCCAGACATAACTTGTGTGTTAGTGTATGGATCTCTCTGACATTGTACCACAAGGTTCCATATCACTAAAGGAATGCTGGGATTGATTTTGGGGGTAATTGCCTCCAAATTTTAGGAATTAGGGGCCAAAAAAGGGGCAAAAAACAAGCATTTTTCTAGTTTCATGACAATAACTTGTGTGTAAGTGTATGGATCTTTCTGAAATTGTACTACAAGGTTCCATATCACAAAGGGAAAGCTGGGCTTGAGTTTGGGGGTAATTGCCCTAAACGTTTAGGAATTTGGGGCCAAAAAGGGGCCAAAAAACACATTTTTTTCTAGTTTCCAGACAATAACTTATGTTCAAGTGTATGGATCTCTCTGAAATTGTACTGCAAGGTACCATACCACAAAGGGAAGGCTGGGATTGAGTTTGGGGGTGATGAATCATAATGGGGGTTCAAAAAATTTTGGGGGGGGGATTTATTTTTTTTTCCTTTTTTGTTTCTTTTAAAATTTTCCATTTTAAGTTGGTTATTTCTGATTTATATTTAAAATCAAATAATAATGATATGGTAGGAGATACACACCAAACAGGATGTGTAAATTATTATATAATAAGTATTGTGCAATAGCAAGAAATTTTCAATTGCACAGTATTGCACAATAGCAAGAAATCTTCAATTGCACAGTATTGCGCAATAGCAAGAAATCTTCAATTGCACAGTATTGCGCAATAGCAAGAAATATCCAATAGCACAATATTGGGCAATAGCAAGAAATTGTCAATTGTACAGTATTGCGCAATAGCAAGAAATATTTAATAGCACAGGATTGTGCAAAAGAAGATACTTCCTATAAATTGCTTATTTCTTGACCAATTTCAATGGGGGTTTATTCTTGATTTCATGGGGTTCTTTAATATGCTGAATATAACCGTGTATTTAGTTTTTGGATTTTGGGCCCCGTTTTTAAATTGGTCCACATTGAGGTCCAAAGGGTCCAAAATTAAACTTTGTTTGATTTCATCAAAAATTGAATTATTGGGGTTCTTTGATATGCCGAATCTAACTGTGTATTTAGATTCTTAAATTTTGGTTCCGTTTTCAAATTGGTCTACATTAAGGTCCAAAGGGTCCAAAATTAAACTTAGTTTGATTTTAACAAAAATTGAATTCTTAGGGTTCTTTGATATGCTGAATCTAAACATGTATTTAGATTTTTGATTATGGGCCCAGTTTTCAAGTTGGTCCAAATCGGGGTCCAAAATTAAACTTTGTTTGATTTCAACAAAAATTGAATATATGGGGTTCTTTGATATGCTGAATCTAACCATGTATTTAGATTTTTGATTTTTGGGCCCCGTTATCAACTTTGTCCACATTGAGGTCAAAAGGGTCCAAAATTAAACTTTGTTTGATTTCATCAAAAATTGAATTATTGGGGTTCTTTGATATGCCGAATCTAACCGTGTATTTAGATTCTTAATTTTTGGTTCCGTTTTCAAATTGGTCTACATTAAGGTCCAAAGGGTCCAAAATTAAACTTAGTTTGATTTTAACAAAAATTGAATTCTTAGGGTTCTTTGATATGCTGAATCTAAACATGTATTTAGATTTTTGATTATGGGCCCAGTTTTCAAGTTGGTCCAAATCGGGGTCCAAAATTAAACTTTGTTTGATTTCAACAAAAATTGAATATATGGGGTTCTTTGATATGCTGAATCTAACCATGTATTTAGATTTTTGATTTTTGGGCCCCGTTATCAACTTTGTCCACATTGAGGTCAAAAGGGTCCGAAATTAAACTTTGTTTGATTTCATCAAAAATTGAATTCTTGGGGTTCTTTGATATGCTGAATCTAACCATGTATTTAGATTTTGGATATTGGACCATAATAGGTGAATGTCCAATTTAAAATTTTTAAGTTCTTAGACCACATTCAATCTGTGTTAGAAACCTATGCTGTGTCAAATATTTAATCACAATCCAAATCCAAAGCTGTATCAAGCTTGAATGTTGTGTCCATACTTGCCCCAACTGTTCAGGGTTCGACCTCTGCGGTCGTATCAAGCTGCGCCCTGCGGAGCATTTTATTGATTATGGGCCCAGTTTTCAAGTTGGTCCAAGTTGGGGTCCAAAATAAAACTTTTTTTGATTTCAACAAAAATTGAATATATGGGGTTCTTTGATATGCTGAATCTAACCATGAATTTAGATTTTTTATTTGTGGGCCCCGCTATCAAATTGGTTCATATTGAGGTCAAAAGGGTCCAAAATTAAACTTTGTTTGATTTCATCAAAAATTGAATTATTGGGGTCTTTGATATTCCAAATCTAACTGTGTATTTAGATTTTTAATTTTAAGTCCCATTTTTTAAATTGGTCTACATTAAGGTCCAAAGGGTCCAAAATTAAACTTAGTTTGATTTTAACAAAAATTGAATTCTTGGGGTTCTTTGATATGCTGAATCTAAACATGTGTTTAGATTTTTGATTATGGGCCCAGTTTTCAAGTTTGTCCAAGTGTGGGTCCAAAATTAAACTTTGTTTGATTTTAACAAAAATTGAATATATGGGGTTCTTTGAAATGCTGAATCTAACCATGTATTTTGATTTTGGACATTGGACCATAATAGGTAAATTAAAAAAATTCAAGTTCTTAGACCACATTTTTTCTGTGTCAGAAACCTATGCTGTGTCAAATATTTAACAACAATCCAAATTCAGAGCTGTATCAAGCTTGAATGTTGTGTCCATACTTGCCCCAACTGTTCAGGGTTCGACCTCTGCGGTCGTATCAAGCTGCGCCCCAGCGAAGCATTTTATTAATTTCTTTTAGAGGCCTTGAAAATGCTACCTTTAAAGGGAGAATTAGTCTCTGAGCAGTTATGATTTATCTACACTGAATGCAACATTACCACAAAAACTTATCAAACAGAACGTTTTGTTAATGGTTTTTCGATAAATTTGGTGTAACTATAACTATTGCAGTCGTTTTAATTCCCGTTTTAGTTAGAAAATTCGAAAAATACAATAATTGGCCTTGAAATGAAAATGAATGTTTAAAGTCATCATAGTTCAGTTTCATTAGCCTGAGGACATTACTGTACGTTATGGTCATATAAATACTATGATTTGGTATTCCAACGGGTACTAACTGTCCCTTTTATTATATGTTTGTTCTTTTACTGTTTTGAATAACGGTAATATGTCTGCAAAAAAAATTATAACAAATGGGACATTACTACTTTTACTAGTTTGAAAAGAATAAATAAAATATAGCTTTTATAATTAACTGAATGTTTACAAAATATATTACGAAATAATAGCAGTTTATTAATGTCTTCAAAAAGGACAACCAATCGATGGTCCTAATAACGGACCAGCGCCGGGTCCATGGGATATACAGTCCAAACCATCACAGCTCTTCAAAAACGAAACAAGAAGGATAGAGGTCCCACATACAGCATCGATAAAGGTAACTTTGTTGCCAGATTTGTATATAGATAATATCTGATCGTAATTCTGGATCTCTCTTGTAAAACTTCTTTTCATCTTATGCCATTCATGGTTTCTCACAATTTCTAGTTTTAAGTATACTGTTTCGAGTGTGTCCAATTATGGGAAATATGTAAAGTGTACTTGGACAACTTAAATAATTATACTTTAAATAGAGATTTTCCATATGTGTCTGTGAAAATGATGTTATCGCTGTTTTGATGTTAACGCTGTTTAAGTATATGTTGCCTTGGATTTTGCTGGTAAATCAATCAACTGAGTGTGTCGTACCCAAAAGCTTCGAAAAATGAGATTTTCCTCTGCGATGCGATGTCGTTATAAAGTTATATGTATCGGGTTATCCACATCTTATACAGTGATCGCAACATTTATAAGGGCGGTAAAGGGGAGTCATGTGTTATAGAAATGGTAGACAATATGCACAAAGAACCCTTAACAATCCCTTATTACGACAAACTACAAATTCTAATGAAATAGAAATATATTTTGCTTTCGAATGAAAATTCGTAGAACATACATGAGACTACTATTACACATGATAATAGCAGTCTCAATGAAACTGTTAGTGAAATTGGCAGTTTAAAATGAAGTAATTATAAGTCATGTTGTCGAGGATTTAACAGGGAGTGTGGAGGCAAAACGTTAATAATTTTGCCATAGCCCAAACCCATGCTGTTCCATCAACTATAATTTTTTAAATTTAATTCTCTGAGGGGTCCACAGTCAGAAGCTTTATGTACGACTGAATATCTTACTATATCTAAAAATTCACTGTGATTTCCAGACTTCTTATTTAGAAAATAGCTTAAAAACCTATTCATTGCATAGTTTTGGTGCTCGTCCTAATTGAACATCTATCAAATATTTGCAACTGGTCATTAACAGACAACACATATCACTCTAATTGAGACAACAGAAGAAAAGTAAAACGGGATATAAAACAAGAAAGTGAAACCATATTTTCTCATTTTCCAAGTTAAATATAAGGATATTGTGACAATGATAAGTTGAATATCACAAATTTAATTTGCAGCCCTGTCATCATTGTTTTGCATCAGGGTTTATTCGATGTCACAAATGTCAAGGTCGAGGAAGGGTAAGTATGAACTTAAAATTAGGTTCTCCCTCGGTAATATACAGATTACAATGGAAACCATTGTTTCCACGGACATGAAATATGTAGCATAGTCTACTTTCGATCTGATACTTCTATACACAGTAGTCTTAATTCCGATTTCAACTTTGTATTTGGTAAAAATGTAGTTGAATCCCAATTTTCAATGGGTAGGCTGGTTATTTTTATGCCCCCGCTGTAGCGGAGGGGCATAAAGTGTTACCAGGCTTATCAGTCCCGTCCGTCCGTCCGTCCGTCGCGTACGTCCCCATAATTGGTTTCCGTTCTCTTACTTTAGTTTGCCTCAACCAAATGTTATAAAACGTATTTTATTTACAATGCTTATTACCAAAAAACACAGATCAAGTTCGAAATTGGTTGGCGTCACTTTTACCGTTCATGAGTTATGCCCATTTATAAACATAAAAAAATGCTGGATTTTTCGTTTCCCTTCTCAAACTTTAGTTTGCCTCAACCAAATGTTATGAAACTTATAAACAATGATTATTACCACAAAACATAGATCAAGTTCGAAATTGGGTGGCGTGACTTTTACCGTTCGTGAGTTATGCCCCTTTAGGCTTTATAAACATACAAATTGCTGAATTTTTCATTTCCGTTCTCTAACTTAGTTTGCTTCAAACAAATGTTATAAAACTTATACACAATGCGTATTACCACAGAACACAGATCAAGTTTGAAATAAGGTGGCGTAAATTTTACCGTTCTTGAGTTATGCCCCTTTATAAATGAAAAAATTGCTAAATCTGTCGTTTCTGTTCTCTAACTTTAGTTTGCCTCAACCAAATGTTATGAAACGTGTACACAATGCTTATAATCACAAAACAGTCTTAACTACATGAATCCTGCATCTGTATGTGGAAGTTGACTCGTGCATATTTTCAAGCGGGGTCATCTGTGGCCCATAGACAAATTCTCCATTTATTTTAAATGTGTTCTGTCAGAATTTGCTCAAATAAATACCTCGTTTCTTTTAAAACAGTCTTAATTTCGACTTATTGGACTGGACGGAACCCCATTTATTTATATCTGATAATTAGTTTGTTGTTGCTAGTCTTTGTTTAAAGCTCTTTATAATGTTGTCTTAATGACCAGATCAAAAATTGTTGATCCGTGGGAGAGGATATTTTTTTATGGACACTCATTTTTTCAATAACATGTCCTGCAAAGATTAGACAGACACAGTTAGAAACGAACTATGTTTTTTCACTTCCCTTCTGAAACATTTTTTTCATAGATAAATGGTTGATGCTTTATCAGCATAAATTAAATATATATAGGGTTCTTTCAAATGCTGAATCTAAACCTGTATTTAAATATTAGATTTTTGGGCCCAGTTTTCAAGTTGGTCCAGATCAGGGTCCAAAATTAAACTTTGATTGATTCAACAAAAATTGAGTTTATGGGGTTCTTTGAAATGCTGAAACTTTTGGATTGTGGGCTCCCTTATCAAATTGGTCCACATTGAGGTCCAAAGGGTCCTAAATTAAACTTTTGTCTGATTTCATCAAAAATTGAATTCTTTGGGTTCTTTGATATGCTGATTCTAATATGTACTTAGATTTTGGATATTGGACCATAATAGGTAAATGTCTAATTTCAAATATTTCAGTTCTTTGACCACATTCATTTTGTATCACAAACCTATGCTGTGTCAAATATTCAATCACAATCCAAATTCAGAGCTGTTTTAAGCTTAAATGTAGTGTCCATACTTGCTCAACTGTTCAGGATTAGACCTCTGCAGGTAAATCCGGTTTGCTGTCACTCTGACAGCCTCTTGTTCATACTGAAACCTTACACACTTCTGAATCAGTCGTTTTTTATTTAAAAAATTTAAAATCTTAGATGTGCTCTTGAGAAGTTCATTGTCTAGCACTAATTTCTGGAATCTTCCAACTCCCTTATGGATTTGGCTATTTAAGGTCCTTATTGGTTATATAGCTCTTCAACTGTTTCGGTTCTTATACATTTTTGGCTTTTAAATATTCGGCTGTGAGCGTTCCTGATGAAGGTAAATCCAGAAAAGTGCTTCGGACGCATGAAATTGATAACTTGCTGTTTTCATTTTTTACCTTGCAGTGTAAGGGATTTTTCTAGTTATAAAAACTTAGTTGCTAGTCTTTGTTTAAAGCTCTTTATAATGTTGTCTTAATGACCAGATCGAAAATTGTTAATCTGTGGGAGAGGATATTTTTTTATGGACACTCATTTTTTCAATAACATGTCCTGCAAAGATTAGACAGACACAGTTAGAAACGAACTATGTTTTTTCACTTCCCTTCTGAAACATTTTTTTCATAGATAAATGGTTGATGCTTTATTACTTTTTGTAAGCACTTGTGTTTTATACTCTTGCTCTAAAGGAGTGGTATACTGGTTCATCTCTTTCCGCCCAACGCATTACATTCCTGTTGCTTTTTTCAACTCAAGTCAGGAACATGGTCAGTGTTTGTCTTGTGTCATGTCTTAATGTTTTTATACAATTGCAGATCTAAAATAATGTCTGTTTAATTTATTCTTAACTTTTATAGGCTCTTATTGATGTAGAGATTGACTGATGTTGCCCTTTAAATGCCTTTTGGTTATTTTTGTCGTTTGGTTTCTGTCATATTGAAGTATACCCCACATTTTCCTTTTTTCATAGACAGTATAGGAACTGATAGCTTTTACATGTCAATGTTTTCTTTTCTTTTAGACTCGATGCTTTACGTGTAATGGTTCCGGTTTAAGAATGGGTCATAATCATCATCACCATGACCACCACCATCATGGTCACCATGACAACCATCATCACCACCATCATGGTTTTGAAGATGATAATAGGTGTACTTGGTGTCATGGAAGTGGATTTCGGGAGTAAGTATGTCAAGTATGAATAAAAGACACGGAGTCAAGGAGTAATTCAAAAGTGTCTACTGTAAATTCAGAAATTATTGCATGCATTTATTATTGCGATTTTGTCATTTTATTCTATGCGATTTAAATTTTTGCGATATTGAGAAAAATCCTGTTTAATTCATAAAAAAAATTTGAAAAAGCGAGTTTAAATTATTGCGATTATAACCCTGTTGCATTTTTCGTAATAATAAAAACATCGCAATAATTTCTGAATTTATAGTATTTTTTATCTAACTGAGGAATACATTAGTGTTTTGTTTGTTATGTGTTTTGGTACATGGGTTTGTTTAATTGACTTGTAAAAATCTGTCAAACACCTGTTTTTATATAGTGCTTTCTTTGTAAACTCGAAGTTTATCAAAGTGAGCAATTGTGTATTTGTTCAGCTCTCTTTTGTGTCACATAAGATAATTATGTATTTTTCTAGCTGTGGCACATGCCACACAAGAGGAATGGTTGTATGTCCCCTGTGTAGAGGTTATCATCAGCTGAAGTGTTACATCTGTCTCACAATTAAATGGTAAGTTATCCCAACTGGAAAACCTTTTAAGCTATAAAGTTGCACATAATTACACTCCTAACTTTTATGAGTGTTCACCAGTTTTCTTGCAATTGGTTTACTGTGTTTAAATTTTATGAAGAGTTGTTTTTATTATACTGCAAAAAAATTTTGCGGTCGTATATTGGTATGACGTTGGCGTCGTCATCGTCCGAAGACACATTGGTTTTCACACAATAACGTTAGTTTAAGTGAATGGATCTCTATGAAAATTTACCATAAGGTTCAATACCACAAAAGGAAGGTTGGGATTGGTTTTGGGGGTTATGGTACAAACAGTTAAGGAATTTGGGGCCAAAAATAAGCATTTTTGTAACTTCCAGACAATAACTTGTGTTTAAGTGTATGGATCTCTCTGAAATTATACCACAAGTTTCCATACCACAAAGGGATGGTTAGGATTGGCTTTGGGGGGGTTAGGGCTCAAACTGTTTAGGAATTAGGGGCAAAAAAGGGGAAAAAACAAGGGTTTCCTGGTTAATGGACAATTTAAAAGCAGTGTGAGGGAGGTAATCCAAAAACAAAATTGTACAATGTTGTACAATGTTGGATTACCTCCCTTACACTGCTTTTAAATTATCTATTTAAGACTTTTATGATGTATTTAATTTGGTAATTATGGTTGCAAACTCCATTGGAAATTTGAATTGAGATTATGACCATATCTTGAGGGTAAGAATTTTTTTTTTTGAAAAGGGGGGAGGGGGGGTATAAAAGAAATTGTGGGGGGACAATATTTTTTTTAATTTCAGATTTCAGAAATTAAAAAGAAAATTTCTTCAAATATTATTTTTTTTTGCAAAAAAAAGGGGGGGTATATTTTTTTTTTTGGGTGGGTGGTTGGGGGGGGGATGGGGTCAATACACAACAGCATAGTGTATTCACAAAAGCAAAAAAAAAGGGGGGTGTCAATTCGCAACACTCGTTACAGCATAGTGTATTGCACAAAAGCAAAAAATTGAATATAAATTCAAATCATATAACCAATTCTAAGTTCTTTGACTACAGTTATTCGGTGTCAGAAACCTATTATGTGTCAAATATTTAATTACAATCCAAATTCAGACCTGTATCAAGCGCGAATATTGTGTCCATTTTGGCCCCAACTGTTCAGGGTTGGACCTCTGTGGTCGTATCCAGCTGCGCTCAGTGAAGCAATTTATTAAAAAAATGTCTGGGATTAAAAGCAAAAAAAAATTCAGAAATATAGACCTGTATAATTATATGTTAAAGTCACATGAACCAATATTGATTTTCATACCTAACAAATTGTCTATGCAGGTAAAATTTAATTAAAGCAACTTACTAATCGCTTTTAGTGCAGTTCTTGAATGTATAGTAAAAGACTTTTACTATACATTGAATAACTGCATTAAAAGGGCAGTTACTTAGGTTTTTTCATGTGCTTTTCGTAATTTTGTGTTATAAAATGGGTAATACCATATCCTATATTTTCAATTATATTTACAATAACTATGTCACTGTTTTAATAGAAGATAGACAAAGATTTAAAACAAATTCATGTGATTGCAGACAACAAAAATATATTCTATAACCATACCCCCCCCCCCCCCCTTTTGAAGTTAAATGGTTGCTCCCTAATGGAACATTTCATTTAAACTTCATTGTTTTTAAATATTTGTATTGTAAAATTTGGATATCAATAAATAGGCATACAGAGGAGGACCACCATATTGTGGAGAAAACAGCATTGCCAGACCATCTTATAAAGCAAGCACAAGGACAAGTAGCATTTGAGGAATCAATGCCAAGGGTAAACATGAAAGCATATCTAAAATTTTACCTAAACAGATTTTTTATTTAATGATGGTCTGCTTACATATTATGAAAAAATTGTCATGCTTATTAATGACTAAATTAGAAAACAAGTATTGCATCTTCTTATTGCAGTCCTATTTTTTTGTAATTCAATTGAGCTTGAACATAGTCCTGACTTTGATGGAACACACTCATGTTGAATCTTGATTATAGCATTTTTCCATGTTTAATGTATTCTTCTAAAAATACTGGTTATGACTGTACTAATTTGATATTTATTTTGCCAAATGTGTTAAGTGCTATATGTTTCAACCAGCAGTTCCTATTCTGCATAAATTGTGCAGATTGATTATTAGTAAGATTCTATTTGAAATGATTGTTGCTTGCGTATGTTTTTGGTAAAGATTGATGGTTTCCCTACAGCTTCAAGGAGCTATAGTTATGTATGATCAATTAAATAGAACTTTTTAAACTTAATACTTTTGTAAAATTATGTAACTTTATATCTTAATTAGATTTTTTATTTAAACTAGAAAATGCCACGTTGAATCAATAAAAAAATGAAGATGAAATGTGAAACATGAAACACCATTTAGTGAAGCAGTGCCATTTATAATCTTACTCAATACAAAAGCAATTTAAGTCATTCTTACTTGTTAGGTTTATCCAATAACACAATTCCAAGAAAGTGAATTGAATCAAGCCTCAGCAACACTGGTAGCAAAACATCAATTCCCAAGTAAAGCTATTTTAATGCAGGTAAGTCAAACAGATATAGTACAAAAGGTATTTAGTATCAATGCACACTTACTCAGGTAAGTCATACAGATATAGTACAGTAGGTATTTGGTATCAATGCTTATTTTATAGTGTGTCTTTCTATGTTGTAATGTTACACTATTGTTTCAGATAAGGTTGAAGGTTGGTACCTATTAAAATGTTTAAACCCACTGCATTTGTTTGCACCTGTAAGGAATCTGATGTTCAGTAGTTGTCGTTTGTTGATGTGGTTCATAAGTGTTTCTCATTTCTCTTTTTATATATAGATTAGACCATTGGTTTTCGCGTTTGAATGGTTTTACACTAGTCATTTTTGGGGCCCTTTATAACTTGCTGTTCGTTGTGAGCCAAGGCTCTGTGTTGAAGACCGTACTTTGACCTATAATGGTTTACTTTTACAAATTGTGACTTGGATGGAGAGTTGTCTCATTGGCACTCAAACCACATCTTCTTATATCTAATTACTTACTCAGGTATGTCAAACAGATATAGTAAAGTAGGTATTTGGTATCAATGCACACTTACTCAGGTAAGACAAACAGATATATTACAGTAGGTATTGGGTATCAATGCTTACTTACTCAGGTAAGTCATACAGATATAGTACAGTAGGTATTTGGCATCAATGCTTGATTACTCAGGTAAGTCAAACAGATATAGCACAGTAAGTATTAGGTATCAATGCTTACTTACTCAGGTCAGTCAGACAGATAGTGTACAGTAGGTATTAGTATCAATGTTTACTTACTCAGGTAAGTCAAACAGATATAGTACAGTAGGTATTGGGTATCAATGCTTACTTACTCAGGTAAGTCAAACAGATATATTACAGTAGGTATTAGGTATCAATGCTTACTTACTCAGGTAAGTCATACAGATATAGTACAGTAGGTATTTGGCATCAATGCTTGATTACTCAGGTAAGTCAAACAGATATAGCACAGTAGGTATTAGGTATCAATGCTTACTTACTCAGGTCAGTCAGACAGATAGTGTACAGTAGGTATTAGTATCAATGTTTACTTACTCAGGTAAGTCAAACAGATATAGTACAGTAGGTATTGGGTATCAATGCTTACTTACTCAGGTAAGTCAAACAGATATATTACAGTAGGTATTAGGTATCAATGCTTACTTACTCAGGTAAGTCATACAGATATAGTACAGTAGGTATTTGGCATCAATGCTTGATTACTCAGGTAAGTCAAACAGATATAGCACAGTAGGTATTAGGTATCAATGCTTACTTACTCAGGTAAGTCAAACAGATATAGTACAGTAGGTATTGGGTATCAATGCTTCCTTACTCAGGTCAGTCATACATAGTACTGTAGGTATTTGGTATCAATGCTTACTTACTCAGGTCAGTCAAACAGATATAGTACAGTAGTTATTTGGTATCAATGCTTACTTACACAGGTAAGTCATACAGACATAGTACAGTAGGTATTGGGTATCAGTGCTTCCTTACTCAGGTCAGTCATACATAGTACAGTAGGTATTTGGTATCAATACTTACTTACTCAGGTCAGTCAAACAGATATAGTACAGTAGTTATTTGGTATCAATGCTTACTTACACAGGTAAGTCATACAGACATAGTACAGTAGGTATTTGGTATCAATACTTACTTACTCAGGTCAGTCAATAGATATAGTACAGTAGGTATTTGGTATCAATACTTACTTACTCAGGTCAGTCAAACAGATATAGTACAGTAGGTATTAGTATCAATGCTTACTTACTCAGGTCAGTCAAACAGATATAGTACAGTAGGTATTTGGTATCAATGCTTACTTACACAGGTAAGTCATACAGACATAGTACAGTAGGTATTGGGTATCAATGCTTACTTACTCAGGTCAGTCAAACAGACATAGTACAGTAGGTATTGGGTATCAATGCTTACTTACACAGGTAAGTCATACAGACATAGTACAGTAGGTATTGGGTATCAATGCTTACTTACTAAGGTAAGTCAAACAGATATTATACAGTAGGAATTTGGTATCAATGCTTACTTACTCGGGTAAGTCAAACAGACATAGTACAGTAGGTATTGGGTATCAATGCTTCCTTACTCGGGTCAGTCATACATAGTACAGTAGGTATTTGGTATCAATACTTACTTACTCAGGTCAGTCGAACAGACATAGAACAGTAGGTATAGGATATCAGTGCTTACTTACTCAGGTCAGTCAGACAGATATAGTACAGTAGGTATTTGGTATCAATGCTTACTTACTCAGGTCAGTCATACAGACATATTACAGTAGGTATTGGGTATCAATGCTTCCTCACTCAGGTCAGTCAATAGATAAAGTACAGTAGGTATTGGGTATCAGTGCTTACTTACTCAGGTCAGTCGAACAGACATAGAACAGTAGGTATAGGGTATCAGTGCTTACTTACTCAGGTCAGTCAGACAGATATAGTACAGTAGGTATTTGGTATCAATGCTTACTTACTCAGGAAAGTCAAACAGATATATTACAGTAGGTATTAGGTATCAATGCTTACTTACTCAGGTAAGTCATACAGATATAGTACAGTAGGTATTTGGCATCAATGCTTGATTACTCAGGTAAGTCAAACAGATATAGCACAGTAGGTATTAGGTATCAATGCTTACTTACTCAGGTAAGTCAAACAGATATAGTACAGTAGGTATTGGGTATCAATGCTTCCTTACTCAGGTCAGTCATACATAGTACTGTAGGTATTTGGTATCAATGCTTACTTACTCAGGTAAGTCAAACAGATATAGTACAGTAGGTATTGGGTATCAATGCTTCCTTACTCAGGTCAGTCATACATAGTACTGTAGGTATTTGGTATCAATGCTTACTTACTCAGGTCAGTCAAACAGATATAGTACAGTAGTTATTTGGTATCAATGCTTACTTACACAGGTAAGTCATACAGACATAGTACAGTAGGTATTGGGTATCAATGCTTACTTACTCAGGTAAGTCAAACAGATATATTACAGTAGGTATTAGGTATCAATGCTTACTTACTCAGGTAAGTCATACAGATATAGTACAGTAGGTATTTGGCATCAATGCTTGATTACTCAGGTAAGTCAAACAGATATAGCACAGTAGGTATTAGGTATCAATGCTTACTTACTCAGGTCAGTCAGACAGATAGTGTACAGTAGGTATTAGTATCAATGTTTACTTACTCAGGTAAGTCAAACAGATATAGTACAGTAGGTATTGGGTATCAATGCTTACTTACTCAGGTAAGTCAAACAGATATATTACAGTAGGTATTAGGTATCAATGCTTACTTACTCAGGTAAGTCATACAGATATAGTACAGTAGGTATTTGGCATCAATGCTTGATTACTCAGGTAAGTCAAACAGATATAGCACAGTAGGTATTAGGTATCAATGCTTACTTACTCAGGTAAGTCAAACAGATATAGTACAGTAGGTATTGGGTATCAATGCTTCCTTACTCAGGTCAGTCATACATAGTACTGTAGGTATTTGGTATCAATGCTTACTTACTCAGGTCAGTCAAACAGATATAGTACAGTAGTTATTTGGTATCAATGCTTACTTACACAGGTAAGTCATACAGACATAGTACAGTAGGTATTGGGTATCAGTGCTTCCTTACTCAGGTCAGTCATACATAGTACAGTAGGTATTTGGTATCAATACTTACTTACTCAGGTCAGTCAAACAGATATAGTACAGTAGTTATTTGGTATCAATGCTTACTTACACAGGTAAGTCATACAGACATAGTACAGTAGGTATTTGGTATCAATACTTACTTACTCAGGTCAGTCAATAGATATAGTACAGTAGGTATTTGGTATCAATACTTACTTACTCAGGTCAGTCAAACAGATATAGTACAGTAGGTATTAGTATCAATGCTTACTTACTCAGGTCAGTCAAACAGATATAGTACAGTAGGTATTTGGTATCAATGCTTACTTACACAGGTAAGTCATACAGACATAGTACAGTAGGTATTGGGTATCAATGCTTACTTACTCAGGTCAGTCAAACAGACATAGTACAGTAGGTATTGGGTATCAATGCTTACTTACACAGGTAAGTCATACAGACATAGTACAGTAGGTATTGGGTATCAATGCTTACTTACTAAGGTAAGTCAAACAGATATTATACAGTAGGAATTTGGTATCAATGCTTACTTACTCGGGTAAGTCAAACAGACATAGTACAGTAGGTATTGGGTATCAATGCTTCCTTACTCGGGTCAGTCATACATAGTACAGTAGGTATTTGGTATCAATACTTACTTACTCAGGTCAGTCGAACAGACATAGAACAGTAGGTATAGGATATCAGTGCTTACTTACTCAGGTCAGTCAGACAGATATAGTACAGTAGGTATTTGGTATCAATGCTTACTTACTCAGGTCAGTCATACAGACATATTACAGTAGGTATTGGGTATCAATGCTTCCTCACTCAGGTCAGTCAATAGATAAAGTACAGTAGGTATTGGGTATCAGTGCTTACTTACTCAGGTCAGTCGAACAGACATAGAACAGTAGGTATAGGGTATCAGTGCTTACTTACTCAGGTCAGTCAGACAGATATAGTACAGTAGGTATTTGGTATCAATGCTTACTTACTCAGGAAAGTCAAACAGATATATTACAGTAGGTATTAGGTATCAATGCTTACTTACTCAGGTAAGTCATACAGATATAGTACAGTAGGTATTTGGCATCAATGCTTGATTACTCAGGTAAGTCAAACAGATATAGCACAGTAGGTATTAGGTATCAATGCTTACTTACTCAGGTAAGTCAAACAGATATAGTACAGTAGGTATTGGGTATCAATGCTTCCTTACTCAGGTCAGTCATACATAGTACTGTAGGTATTTGGTATCAATGCTTACTTACTCAGGTCAGTCAAACAGATATAGTACAGTAGTTATTTGGTATCAATGCTTACTTACACAGGTAAGTCATACAGACATAGTACAGTAGGTATTGGGTATCAATGCTTACTTACTAAGGTAGGTCAAACAGATATTATACAGTAGGAATTTGGTATCAATGCTTACTTACTCGGGTAAGTCAAACAGACATAGTACAGTAGGTATTGGGTATCAGTGCTTACTTACACAGGTAAGTCATACAGACATAGTACAGTAGGTATTGGGTATCAGTGCTTACTTACACAGGTAAGTCATACAGACATAGTACAGTAGGTATTTGGTATCAATACTTACTTACTCAGGTCAGTCAAACAGATATAGTACAGTAGGTATTAGTATCAATGCTTACTTACTCAGGTCAGTCAAACAGATATAGTACAGTAGGTATTTGGTATCAATGCTTACTTACACAGGTAAGTCATACAGACATAGTACAGTAGGTATTGGGTATCAATGCTTACTTACTCAGGTCAGTCAAACAGACATAGTACAGTAGGTATTGGGTATCAATGCTTACTTACACAGGTAAGTCATACAGACATAGTACAGTAGGTATTGGGTATCAATGCTTACTTACTAAGGTAAGTCAAACAGATATTATACAGTAGGAATTTGGTATCAATGCTTACTTACTCAGGTAAGTCAAACAGACATAGTACAGTAGGTATTGGGTATCAATGCTTCCTTACTCGGGTCAGTCATACATAGTACAGTAGGTATTTGGTATCAATACTTACTTACTCAGGTCAGTCGAACAGACATAGAACAGTAGGTATAGGGTATCAGTGCTTACTTACTCAGGTCAGTCAGACAGATATAGTACAGTAGGTATTTGGTATCAATGCTTACTTACTCAGGTCAGTCATACAGACATATTACAGTAGGTATTGGGTATCAATGCTTCCTCACTCAGGTCAGTCAATAGATATAGTACAGTAGGTATTGGGTATCAGTGCTTACTTACTCAGGTCAGTCAAATAGACATAGTACAGACGTTATTAGTATCAAATGCTTACTTACTCAGGTCAGTCAAACAGATATAGTACAGTAGGTATTGGGTATCAGTGCTTACTTACTCAGGTCAGTCAAATAGACATAGTACAGTAGGTATTAGTATCAAATGCTTACTTACTCAGTTCAGTCAAACAGATATAGTACAGTAGGTATTAGTTTCAATGCTTACTTACTCAGGTCAGTCAAATAGACATAGTACAGTAGGTATTGGGTATCAATGCTTCCTCACTCAGGTCAGTCAATAGATATAGTACAGTAGGTATTGGGTATCAATGCTTCCTCACTCAGGTCAGTCAATAGATATAGTACAGTAGGTATAGGGTATCAGTGCTTCCTTACTCAGGTAAGTCATACAGACATAGTACAGTAGGTATTAGTATCAATGCTTACTTACTCAGGTCAGTCAAACAGATATAGTACAGTAGGTATTGGGTATCAATGCTTACTTACTCAGGTAAGTCATACAGACATAGTACAGTAGGTATTAGTATCAATGCTTACTTACTCAGGTCAGTCAAACAGATATAGTACAGTAGGTATTTGGTATCAATGCTTACTTACTCAGGTAAGTCATGCAGATATAGTACAGTAGGTATTGGGTATCAATGCTTTCTTACTCAGGTAAGTGGTACTATAAAACATTATTCTGTTTCTGTATTTTTATATTATTTGTAATATAAATGTATTTAAGAGCAAAGAAAGACGTTTCTATATATTGTTTGGTAGATTTTCTCTTGTCATGAAAGTTTAAATTTGCTGGTCAATTTTATGTTGATATCACTACCACAGGGTCTGCAGCTGCTATTGAATACATTCTCGAGGGTACCAACCAACCAGTGCATCAAGTTTTCTGTTTATTAGTTCTAACTTCCTCAGAAAACAACTGACCTTCATTGTTTCGATTGGTCCAAGTCCTTTTGGTTTTGAAGGTTCCAATAAATATACTTTCATGCAAATCTTTTGGTAGAGTATATCTGGAGATAAATGTTCCAGCAACTTGTGTCTACTCAATTTTATATAATTTTCTAAAAACCGTTTTATTTTTTCAATATTGAATAAAAATATATATCTCAATTACACTTCTGACAAAACATTGTCAGAGTCTGTTATCTCTGTTATATGTTTCACTTAACATTTATTTCCTCCCATAAATTTCAAATGACTAGACAACATCAGACAGGAATGGCCCATTCTGCTGAATGACAAATTCCATGAAAGTTGGTAATCCAGAACATAACCTGTTTGTAAATCACTTTATTGCGAACCCAATGAAAGTTTTCCACAGTGCCATTTCTATCTTGACCAGGTATTTAAACTTTTGTAAGTTCACCTGTCCTTTTGAATAAATACTATAGCTATTGTTCTCCATGTAGTTTTTTCACTGGGACCTTTAAATTTCTTCTAAGAGAAATCTATCACTCATTGATTAATTTACCTGAGTAAAAAAAAAATCTTGTAAATAGAGGAAAATAGATATAGGAAGATGTGGTATGAGTGCCAATGAGACAACTCGCCATCCAAGTTTTATACTCAAAACTGCATGTGATGTTATATTTATTCAATATTGATAATATATTTTCAATCGGTTGAATGTAAACAGTGATGCAAAGTTGAAACATTAATAAAATATAAAAAAGAAGATGTGGTGTGATTGCCAATGAGACAACTCTCCACAAGAGACCAAATTTATGTACAAAAAATGAACGAAAAACAAATATGTAACACATAAATAAACAACAACCACTGAATTACAGGCTCCTGACTTGGGACAGGCACATACATACAGAATGTGGCGGGGTTAAACATGTTAGCATTGATTTATGTTATATTAATAATATATTTTCATTCAGTTTAATACATGTATAAACATTGATTCAATCATAAAAAGTGGATTTCTGACAAAACTTTCAATATATTGTTCCTTTTAAAAAAAAATTTGTTTGACATGAATAAAAACTTGAAAATTATGATGTCCAAATTAAGATCTTCTTAAATGTATTCTATAACTAGACAAAAAAAATCAAATTTCAATAGGAACATTGATAAAACTTTTGTTTGAAATCAACTTTTTATGATTGAATCAATTTTTATATTAAACCGAATGAAAATATATTATTATAATATTGAATAAATACATCATCACACGCATTTAATGAGTATAAAAAAGTATTTTTGTCTATATATAAGAAAATTTTTTTACTCAGGTAAATTAATCAATGAGTGATAGATTTCTCTTAGAAGAAATTTAAAGGTCCCAGTGAATAAACTACACAGAGAAAAATAGCTATTGTATTCATTCAATAGGACAGGTGAACTTACAAAAGTTTAAATACCTGGTCAAGATAGAGATGGCACTGTGGAAGACTTTCATTGAGTTCGCAATAATATACTTAGGAATCAAAAACAAGTTCAATCTCTACAGAAAAAAAAGGGAAACTCCTGAGACATTCTTATCACACCAAATAAAATATTTTTGCAAAAGCTTCAATTTTAAAAAATAAGAACACAGATTTATCAGTTGTCCCCCCATTATTATGTAATATACATTCACTATTAAAAAAGAAGTAAGTTTATGGCAGTAATATGTTTCAGCAATGAACATCTTTAAGTAAATTAAAAATTTTCACATATTTTTTTCCAGAGACAGAGAGTTCGAATTGTACCAGTAACTGTATGTTTATACAAATGGAAAGACGCGGATGCTGATTTTATAGTGTATGGATTTGAGAAGAAAGTGTATGCGCCAAATTATCCCCAGAAATGCTGCTGTGGATGCTCTATAATATAGAAACTGTTGTACACTATATCAGAAACATATATCTTGTATCAATTTAAAATACTGTATTCATTCTTTACATATATATATATATTATCATTGTTTGTAAACTTCATACAAAAGTAGATTGTGCTATATATCTTGTTTTCTACCTATCTGTTTATAGAAATCATCTGTGCCATAGAATGAGGACATCTATTATATATTGAGACTTTTTACTGGAATGAAATTGTAATGTGGACTTGATTTTTTTTTAATATGAAATACTAAGGTAAAAATAACCATACAGCTTATAATTAATGTTATTGAATAAAATATTTATGAATATATACTTTTTTGAAATGATTTAATCTTAAATTATTGTGTTTTACCACCATGTTTACTATCACAATAATGAATATCAAAGATACCTAATTAGTAAGAATGTTTAAGACAATGAACAAGTTTTTAATTTAATATAAAGACGGTGTGAGGCATGTTAGGTGAACAAAATAAAAAGGTAAAACTTGTTAACCATCTGGAATATTCTTTAACCTGAAGGTCTTTACATTTTCAGTATTCAAAGCAAGGGCACCGATGGCTTAATCTTGTTCTGATTAACTTTTAACAAGATAAAACTGATAAGTTTGGAAACAGTGTAACCTATGAAAGATAAAAAAAATTTCGATTGCAGAAAATTATCCCATTGCGAACAATCACTTTTAATTTCTGATGTCAAGTATTATCTCGTATGAATATCTATTTTGAGAAAACCCTTATTATCTTTCATAAAGAATGATGAAGGGAAAAGGAGGAGGTAAGATAAGAATGTAGATCCTGTATTGCTGATCATTTTTGCTGTTTACAGTTCCTACCTTTCTGTTATAGTTTTCATGATCAAAGGAAATAAAATGCTCCGCTGGGCACAGCTTGATACGACCGCAGAGGTCGAACCGTGAACAGTTGGGGCAAGTATGGACACAACATTCAAGCTTGATACAGCACTGAATTTGGATTGTGATTAAATATTTGACACAGCATAGGTTTCTGACACAGAATGAATGTAGTCTAAGAACTTAAATTTTTTTTAATTTGCCTATTCAAACCATATCATTATTATTTGCTTTTATATATAAATCAGAAATAACCAATTTAAAATGGAAAATTTTAAAGAAAAAAAAAGGAAAAAAAGGAAACAAAAATCCCCCCCCCCAATTTTTTGAACCCCCTTATGATTCATCAACCCCAAACTCAACCCCAGCCTTCCCTTTGTGGTATGGTACCTTGCAGTACAATTTCAGAGAGAGATCCATACACTTGAACACAAGTTATTGTCTGGAAACTCGAAAAATGCTTGTTTTTTGGCCCCAAATTCCTAAACATTTAACGCAATTACCCCAAACTCAAACCCAGCTTTCCCTTTGTGACATGGAACCTTGTAGTACAATTTCATAGAGATCCATACTCTTACACACAAGTTATTATCCTGAAACTAGAAAAATGCTTGTTTTTGGCCCCTAATTCCTAAAATTTTGAGGCAATTACCCCAAAATCAATCCCAGCCTTTCCTTTGTGGTATGGTACCTTGCAGTAAAATTTCAGAGAGATCCATACACTTGAACACAATTTATTGTCTGGAAACTAGAAAAATGCTTATTTTTGGCCCCTTATTCCTAAACGTTTTGGACAATTGCCCCCAAACTCAATTCCAGCTTTTCCTTTGTGATATGGAACCTTGTAGTACAATTTCAGGAAGATCCATACACTTACACACATGTTGTTGTCATGAAACTAGAAAAATGCTTGTTTTTTGCCTTTTTTGGCCCCTAATTCCTAAAATTTTGAAGCAATTATCCCCAAAATCAATCCCAGCATTCCCTTTGTGATTTGGAACCTTGTGGTACAATGTCACAGAGATCCATACACTAACACACAAGTTATGTCTGGAAGTTACAAAAATGCTTATTTTTGGCCCCTAACTCCTTAACTGTTGGTACCATAACCCCCAAAATCAATCCCAACCTTCCTTTTGTGGAACCATATGGTAAAATTTCATAGAGATCCATTCACTTAAACTAAAGTTAGTGTGAAAACCAATGTGTCTGAGGACATCGACGCCAACGTCATACCAATATACGACCGCAAAATTTTTTTGCGGTCGTATAAAAACTTGAGTCAAAATAGTGATTTAAAGGTCAATAACTCCTATAAGAAGTCATCCAATGGTTTTGGTGTTTTTGACATTTTTGTAGATCTTTATTGTTGGTAATTTTTGCTATTTACAGTGTCTACCCATCTTTCATAGTTTTCAAGATAATAGGGGAAAACTTGAAAATTTGTCCAAAATTGTCATTGAAGGTCAATAACTCCTATAATGTGTCATATGATGGATTTGGTCTTTATGGCTTTTTGTTCAGATGTGAGAAGTAGACACAAACTTGAAAGTTAGTCAAAAATCTTTATTTAAGGACAATAACTCCTAAATGGAGACATTCAATGGTTTCACTCATACCAACATTTACTTTTGTCTGCGTTGATTACTTTTGCTGATACAGTTTCTGACTACCTATTCTAGTTTCCGAGATAATAGGCAAAAACTTTAAATTTATAAAAAATCATAACTAAATTGCAATAACTCCTGGAAGGATTCATATGTGTTTTGGTCATGTTGGCATTTTTGCTGATTATTTTTTGAAGTTTACAGTTTCTTCCTACAAAATGAACATGTAAATATTTAAGTTTTGGTGATAATAGGCAAAAACACACAATTAATCAAAAAATCATCATTTAGGAACAATAACTCCTTACAGGAGTGATATGATAATTGTGGTAAACATGTGTGTAGATGGCTTTACATTTTGAGCATATTTGCTCCAGTCAGTTTTTCTCATTATATTATGGTATTCAACTTTTCAAGATATTGGAAAATCAATGCATTTTTCACAAATGTTCTATTGTTAGCCTTGGCAACAATGTTGGTTGATTAGCCATTAGTTTTCTAGTTTGAATTGTTTTACATTTTTAATGTCGGAACCTTTTAAAGCTGACTAAATGGTATGAGTTTTTCTCATTGTTGAAGGCTGCATGGCTGCATATAATTAATTACATCCATTTGAACTCTGGTGGATAGCTGTATCATTGACAATCATACCACATCTCCTTATTTTTATATAGGAACAAAAAACATAAAATGTATACTAGATACCATAAGCATCTTCTAATTCAAGTTTGGATGAAATTGGTCCAATTGTTTCAGAATAGTTGTTGGAACCCCCCTTTTTTGACAATCAATGCATTTGAATGGGGACATATATTTGGTACCCTCCTTTTAAAAATGGCTGGATCCGCCCCTGTATAGAGACAATAAATGGGGTAATCATCTTTAGACAATTTTATTTATTTTCTCTCTACAAAATAGTCTTCAACACCATCCATAGTGGAGATTTCCAAGTGACTTCCTAGGGTCCCATATAATATATGCTTTAAGTAACAGCCCTAAGAAAATATAATCTGGTAACTTAAGTGTCGAAATGTCTGATATATTGATAATAAACAGCTGAACCAAGAGCGCATGAGACGCCCTTATTGTGTATAATTAAATTATTGCAAGAATAAAATGAGATATTTTGAAGGCATTTTAATCATATGTTCACCAATTCCAACAATTATGTCAAGTTTTCACTGAATCAATCAAAGCAAACTCAAGTTATGGTACAATATGTAAAAAATTTACTAAAATCTGACAATTAAAGTCCCCTGAACTGACATCAACCCCAGTTTTTGGTGGGGTTTGTGTTGCTCAGTCTTTAGTTTTCTATGTTGTGTTTTGTGTACTATTGTTTCTCTGTTGGTCTTCTTTTTTTTTTAAGCCATGGCATTATCAGTTTATTTTTGACTTGTGAGTTTGGTATCTTTCGCCTCTCTTCTGGAGTGACAAACCGGAAATTTAATAAATGAAAAGATAGCCTCCTCTCATCAATCCCAACGATAATGTAAAGTTTGGATGATGATGATGATGATGATGGATGGCTGCTTAACATCCAGCGACAAATTAATATGCATATTCAGGACAAGAGCATGTTAATGAAATATGAATATTAACCCTGCTTTGTACTAGACCGACACGCTGAGCCTGATTTTTAACATGCTAGTTCACAAGGTAACAGTCCGCAGGAAGACATAGTCACCTTACCTGGACACATTATTCTGACACCAAGCTGACCAGTCTTTGCTTTTACTACTTAATGCCACGTGCTTAGCAAAGAAGTAGTAAATGCATATTTTCAAGTCTTTGGTTTGACCCAGCTGGGGTTCGAACCCATGACCTCCCACACTCATGATTTGCAATTTTTTTTTAAATCTAAGGGTCAAAGTTCTGTTACTCTGTGGAAGGACAAATCCAAAAGTTAAAAATAATCAAAAGAGAGTTCTGCTCTCAATTCTAATGTGTTAAAGTTTTATGAGATTTTGTTTAAAGCTAATTTGAGTTATCGTACAAAGTGTGTATGGAAGGACATTGGTATTCCATAATAAATCCCCATCTCCGATAGGCATATAAAACTAGATGCTCTAAAGAGCCTGTGTCTATGTGCATATTCAACAAAGGACACTTTCCAACATTGTAGACAAAAATAGAATTCATGACAAAAAATCCCCGCCATAGCAGAGGGGACATTAAGTTTTACCCTTGTCCGTCTGTACGTCCGAAAGTTGGTTTCCGTTCTCTTACTTTAGTTTGCCTCAATCAAATGTTATAAAACTTGTACACAATGCTTAATACCACAAAACACAGATCAAGTTTGAATTTTGGTGGTGTCACTTTAACGGTTCTAGAGTTATGTCCCTTTAAAAATGGAAAAATTGCTGAATTTTTTGTTTCCGTTCTCCAACTTTAGTTTGCCTCAACCAAATGTTATCAAACTTATACACAATGCTTATTACCACAAAATACAGATCAAGTTTGAATTTTGGTGGCGTCACTTCATTTATTGATCTTGTATTGCTAATTGTTTTTTGTCTCTTTAGTTTCTCTCTATCTTCTTTAGTTCTTGCTCAAAACACAAAAAAGGTTAAAAAAAATCCTCATTTAAGAGCAATCGCTTCTATAAAAGAGGGACAATCTACTAACTAAATCAACATAAATTGACTGGTTTATAGATCTTGCCTTGCTGATCATTTTTGCTATTTAAAGTTTCCATTTATCTATTTTAATTTTTATCATACAAGGCAAAATGCAAAAAAAATGGTAAAAATCTTGTCATTAAAGGGCAATAACTCTAATAAGGTGTCATCAGAAAATTTCCTCCATATTGTCTTAATTGTAGATCTTGGTTTGCTGATTGTTTTTGCTAAATTAAGTTTCTATCTATCTGTTATAATTTTAAGATATAAGGCAATAAGTACATTGTTTGAATCAGCATATCAAAGAACCCCAAGAATTCAATTTTTGATGAAATCAAACAAAATTTTAATTTAGGACCCTTTGGACCTCAATGTGGTATTATCTAATTAACAATGCAAATGAATACAGGTTTAGGTTCAGCATTTCAAAGAACCCTACATATATTCAATTTATGCTGAAATCAAAGTTTAATTTTGGACCCCGATTTGGACCAACTTGAAAACTGGGCCCAAAATCAGAAATCTAAATATATGTTTATTAATAGACAATATAAGCTTTAATAGTTTTTAAAGGAGTTTGCTTCATCAAAAAAAATATATAAATATAGCATTCAGAAAATAAGTTTATACAGAATAACAAACAAACCTACCACAAAATTCTTCAAACAATTTACCAAAGAAAAGAAAAAAAAAATCCAAAATGTCATTTATCATTAATACAATGTCTTTTAAAAATCTATAAAACTTATCTGTAATTAACCTCAAAATGTCTAATAATGAACAGTAAATTTCAAACTATATTAGGGGGCCTCGGTGGCCGAGTGGTTTAAGTAGTTACTACTGTAATCACTAGCCAGTCAACACTGAGGTTGTGAGTTTGAACCCCGCTCGTGTGTGTGCACTCGACTCCAATCTTAATTGACTAGGATTGTCAGTTTTCCTATCGAAGGTCGGTGGTTTTCTCCGGCACTGCAGCTTCCTCCACCGATAAAAACTGGCCGCCACGAAATAGCCCAAAAGCTGTGCTTAAAAGTGGCGTTAAAACACCAAAAATCAAATCAAATCAAACTATATTATTATGTCCTACAGAGCTTACCATCATCAACACTTAGGAAACAGAAAATTTTCAAATAAATCTGTCACTCCAATTATAATTGTGTGATTGATATTTACCACATGCTTTCTTATCTGATAACAGGTGAAAATTATTTAAAAACACTTAGTGTAATAAAACTTTATATATATAATTAATAGTTCCCAATATTTTTTTCTTTCATTTGTCACAAACTAATATAGATCTGCAACTTATCTATCAATGTCAACAACTTTATCTACACAATGTAATATAATGAAATTTATCCTTTAATAAAAATAGATTATTATCTAATGAAAATGATATTTGCAAATCTGGACCCCCAAACAGGATCAAGTAAAAATTAAACATTAACACACACAACAAAAATAAAATACCAAATAACAACTGTGACATCTACCTTCAAAACACACATGACTTAAAAAAAATACCGGTAGTTATAAAGAAATTTTTGACAGCTCCTGACTAAAACCAATTGATCAGATACAATCATTGATAGACTATTTATACACAACTTATTAATTACACCATTTCTGTTCAAAGGGAAATAACTCAATCATATAATAAATATCACTTTTGGCTATTGAAAGGTCTACAACTCAACAACGAGAAAAGCTAAAATCATGAAAATTGAACTTGACCTTCATTTAGTCACAGGAAACAACATATTTAAATTTGAAAAAATATCGTCAAAGAGTTTTCATGTTAATGAACAGACACTGTTTGCTTCGAAGTTAACAGACGACGATGATGAACGCCAAGTGATGAGAACAGCTCACTCAGCTTAAAAGTAGTAAATATGTTGAAATTTGACATATTTGACCTAAAATGACAATTTTACTAATTGTTTTTGGTAAAATTAAATATGTGGTACAGCTTTACCTCAAAAGATATTTGACCAAAATAAACATCTTTGCATAAAACATTTTTCTTTATATTGGGTCAAGTTGTAGCTCATATTCATGTTGGAGACTATTTTGTACAGGATCTCAAAATGATTTTGCAGTTTTTAGTCTTATGTCTTTTGAACATCTGAAGGATGTTATTCAACTTATTGTTTTTGATAGTGGCCTTATCATACCTTCTACTTAATGCATCGTAATTGCTTATGAAGTGAGCCCATCAGTACTCAACAAGATCATGGTTTACTTTATAATTTAAAGGATATTGTCTCAGCTATATCATTTATTTTTACACTATTCTTCATTTCCCCCTCCACACACAAAATAAAATCTGTTAGAATTTTCACTTTTTTATTAATATTTGTTTACTGTCAAACTTCAAAATAAATCTATCACAACAGGACTTGATGGTCCACTGAAATAGCACTAAAATGTCCTGAGTTCATTACAGTGCAGATGCACCAGAGATAATTTCTATCAATTCTCTTGTAATTATTCCCTGTCTAGTTCTGTTGAAGGTCAAGGTCAGCTTATCAATCATTTCACCTATTAATGAATACAGAAATACTTTAGAAAAATATACAAAGAAACATGAAATACAACAAAGTGTTTATTGATATTTGAAATTAGTTCTTTCATATTCAAATCCTTATATAAATGATTCCAATGGTAATGATAATTTTTTTAATTAATTTTGCTTTTGAAACTTTCAAACCATAAGTTGAAATATGATAACTAAATTTATGAGTGTTTATTTCTGATCTAGACAGGATGATTTAGAGTTTCAAATATGGAAAGGGCGCTTGTCAATTGTTTAAGGCTGTTTATTGATCTTAAGATGTCTTTCCTAGTTTGATTTTTATGTTGCTCCCTTGTTGATTTAAAACACCTCACATCTTGTTTTTATCTTATCACAAGATAATTCACTTCATGCTTACCCCGTAAAATCCTACATAAACACAAGTTAATGATTCCAATTAAAAACATACACCCATAATGTTTAGTTACTGAGAAATAAACAAATCAACTTTTAAACTAATTTTCAGATTTTGAATGATTTGACCTGTCGCTTCCAAACTTGTATGTTGAAAATTGACACTAGACTTACCAGCATTCTTACTGGCTCCTTCCATAGCTGTCATTCTAGAGCTTTGTTCACTTGTAGCAGATTCTTTCATAGCAAAGTAAACCAAACTAGCTAGCTGGAACTCATTATAATTTGTGACAGTTTCATCATCTACACTGTCATATACTGAAAATTGTTCTGATTTCATGATGGACTCTTTAAGATGAATCTGCTGCTCAGTTGTTTTATATGAAATCACGCTCCTGTAATATATAAAAAGATGTAATTTGTGTATCTTAATCAGTGATACATGTAGGTCAGAAAAGTAGTTTGTCTCCCCCTGAATCAACATATACATCACAGTCCTGTAATAGATCAATGAAATATTGCATTGCTGAAATTTAGGGTAGAAGGTAGAACTGTAAAACTAGTTATATGAATCTGTCAACAGAGATATATATCATTTGCTTAAATGCAGGAAATGAAAAGCAACAATTTGGGGGATTGCCTTATAATTCCATATATGAGTTAATATAAAAATATGAAGTTGTGGTATGATTGCCAATGAGACAACTCTCTACCAGAGACCAAATGACATAAAGACCACTTTTTTGTAATAAATAAACTGTTAACACAGAGATATGTCTCGCCTTTTTGTTATTTTGACATTAAATGCAAATGTTGAAATTCAAATAGCAATACTTTAACATGCAAGTTATGCAAAATTTTCAAAGTCAATGAACCATAATGACTGAAGGTATAGGGCTTAACAATCTCAATGGAAAAGAGATGGCAATGCTAATACATATGCAAACCAAATATCATTGACCTACCACTAGTGGTTCCCCATAAACTGAGCTAAACACAAACTAATACATGTAAACAAAGGAAAAGTGTCAAAGTCAATAGACTATGACTGAGAGGGTGGGGGCCAAACAATCTCCATGGTAATGAGATGTGCCAATGCTAAGACAACTGCATACCAAATATCATTGACCTACCACTAGTGGTTCCCCATAAACTGACCTAATCACAAACTAATACATGTAAACTTAGGAAAAGTGTCAAAGTAAATAGACCATGACTGAGGGGGCAGGGCCAAATAATCTCCATGGAAATGAGATGTCATAATGCTAATACAACTGCATACCAAATATCATTGACCTACCACTAGTGGTTCCCAATAAACTGACCCAATCAAACTAATACATGTAAACTAAGGAAAAGTTTAAAGTCAATAGACCATGACTGAGGGGACGGGGCCAAATAATGGAAATGAGATGCACCAATCCTAATACAACAGCATATCAAATATCATTGACCTAACACTAGTGGTTCCCCATAAACTGACCAAACACAAACTAATACATTGTTGACGACGTGGCCGCCACTGGAAACAGCATACATATGTCTCGCTTTTTGACTCTGTCAAGGTGAGACAAAAAACCCACACAAATGTGACACCAAATTATTTATATTATATAAAATGTGATAACAGTATACATAAGCGACATTAGAATACTGTTAATTCAGAAATCAATGTAATATTTTTTGTAAATGCGAAAATGCAAAAATATGAAAATAGCAATAATTAAATGTCACAATTAAACAGTTTAAACTATAGTCTTCTATTATGTGTACATATTATGTGTACAGCCTTTTGCATTAATTTATCTAACATTACTGTTTTAAATATTCACAGATTTGCAGTAACAAATACATGAATTAAAAGTTTGAATTTAACAATAGAATCTTTATTAAACCCCCACTTTGAGTGCTATACCATGTGATCTATTTCAGATTCATCATTCATCAACTTCCTAATTACCAAATACTTATATATTCTAACACATAATGGCTATATATAAAATGAGTCACATTTTTCTATGGACTACAATTAAGAGCTTCGTGAAATTTGATATCAGGCTTCATATGAACCTGCTATACTGTTTGATGTGGTTTCAGATTCATCACAAATCAACTTCAAGTTTACTAAATACTTATATATTCAAATTAAATATTCTAACACATAATGCTAATGCATGAAAATTTTGTCACATTTATCTGGAGAACTATATAGCTACAAATAAGAGCTTCATGAAAAAGCTAGAATTGGGATCAAAACGTAGAACTTTACATCAGCTGACTAAGCATAAAATGTGGGACATGATCCAAATAATTATTTTGTAACATAATGAGAACATAAGGGTTTCATTAAGACATCAAGTCAAAACATAACATGTGTCTCCAGCTTGACCTGAAGGTCATGGTGACCAAAATATTGCTGAATAGTTTTTTATTATAAGAGAATTTTAGCAAAGAAAAGATCATGGATTTACCAAGATTGGTTCCTGGTCCATGGACCAAAGGCAAAAGTTCATAAATTAACTCAAGCATGAAATAAAGGTCATGGTCTTTCATGAACTTGAACAAGAACATGATTGCAGTTGTAAAGTATTCTTACTTGTATCTCATTTGATTCCTACGAAATGGATATAAGCAGATCACAAAACAAAAGTCATCAAATGTAGGTCACATTTCAGAACTTGTTACAATTTTACATGTTCTATGGTTTATTTGGGAAAAATAATACTATAAACTGATGACACAGAGATATGTCTTGAAATACATGTATAAAATGGCATATTTAAAAATGTTAACTATGCAAATCATTCAAAGTAAATGAATCATGACTGCAGGTGCAGGGCCAAATAACATCCATGGAAATGTGAAATGCCAATCTTATAAAACTGCTTATCAAATACCATTGACTTATCATAAGTGGTTCCATTTAAACATGTTAAACTAACCTAAACATAAACTTTATCTTATAAACTATGTAAAAATTTCAAAGTCAATGAACTTGCAAATGCCAATACAACTGCATACCCAATATCATTGACTTTACATTAGTCATTTACCTTAAACTGATCTAATGACAAACATTAACATGTAAATAATGCAATACATTCAAAGCCAATGAACCATGACTGAAGGGGGAGCCAAAAAATATCCGTGGAAATAAGATGTGCCAATGCTAATACATCTGCATACCAAATATCATTGATGTACCACTAATAGTTCCCCTTAAACTGACCAAATCACAAAATAATTCATATAAACTACGCAAAAGTTTCAAAGTCAATAGACCATGACTGAGGGGGTGGGGCAAAACAATCTCCATGGAAATGAGATGTGCCAATGCTTATACAACTGCATACTCAATATAACTGACCTACCACTAATGGTTCTCCTTAAACTGACCTAATCACAAACTAATACATTTAAACTAAGTAAAAGTTTCAAAGTCATAAGACCATGACTGAGGCCAAGGGGGCGAGCCCAAATTATCTCCATGGAAATGAGATGTGCCAATGTTAATACAACTGCATACCACATATCATTGACCTATCACTAGTGGTTCCCCATAAACCTGACTTAATCACAAACTAATACATTGTTGATGCCGCCGCCGTCGGGAAACAGCATGGCTAAGTGTTGCTTTTTTGACTTCATCGATGCGAGACAAAAATGTCATTGATATATTCATCATTGATTCCTGATTAAAACTCACTCAAGCATAAAATTCCAGTCAGGACAAGTCAAATGATGTTCTCTACAGAGTTTCTAGGACTTTTCCATTAAAAAATAAACAGCTACGCCATGAGCGCATGATACGCCCGTTGCGTTTTCAAAGAATAAAGATCAATAACTTCTCAATGTCATATCAGAAATTTATAAAAAACACTAAAGGGAGGTTATCTTAATAGATATAAATCAGTTGACAAAGTTTAATGAAAACTGCTAAAAGCATTTTTGAGTTATTGTCGGAAAACTGGAAAATCCCCCTTTTTTAATGAATAAAACCCCATAACTCGGAAGCGTAAAGTCTAAAATTTATAAAAATCGAAAGATAGCTCATGTCAATAGCTATAAACAATTCACCAAAGTTTCTTGCAAATTGCTGAAAGAGTTTGAGAGTTATTGTTCCGAAAACTTGAAAATCCCCCTTTTTTTAATGAATAAAACCCCAAAACTCGGAAATGTAAAATTCATTAAAAACGAAAGGGAGCTCACGTCAATAGATATTAACAATTCACCAAAGTTTAATGCAAATTGGTTAAAGTGTTTTTGAGTTAATGTCCGACATGTTGACGACGGACAGACAGACGGACAACGTTATGCCATAATACATTCCGTAAACGGGCGTATAAAGATGTCCTAAGGAAATTCTGTGAAAAGGGACCTTGCCAAATATTTCATATGATAAAGAATAAAAATTAGGGTTTAGACCACCTTTATCTCCCATTTTCCCTAAAACGGACACACCATCCATAAAAGTGACACAAGGAGTAATTATGGTTTAAACAAGTCCTGATTAAATACCCTGTAACCAAAGCGAACACTAACAATGGTTAATTGGTTGGCAGACAGCTATGGTTAACCTGTTCACCTGAATGTACAGGTACTCTAGAACTGAACATTCAACTCTTTTTGAAGTTGTTTCTCATGTCTTAACTGGTTTGCAACCAAGTAATTTTAACCAAATATTATTGAGCTTTCAAAACAATATTAACCGTTTAAAATCAAGTTGTTTAGGGAAAATGCACAGAACAATGATGGTTTATATGAGCACAAGTGAGCATTTGCACAGGAGTGGAACTTGATGAACCCCAAAAAATAAATACGGTAGGTTATTTTAGTTAAATCACCTTCTTTATAATTCCTTCAAGTTTTTACATGAAGAATGGAAATGAAAAGAACTACTACATTTTGAGGCTGCTTGACAACAATGTATAAGAACTTCAAAACTTCATAATGGGTAAGTAAAAATACTTACTTGAATACGTTATAAAACATCCTGGCATTATCAAATTTGTAATCAGAATCCAGAATATTTTGTGCTACACGAGTTGCATCTCCAAAAGTTGGTGATTTCCTCCCAATATCATTAAATGACATAAGTATGTTCTTTGCATACAGTCTGAAAGGTAAAATACAAGTCATTCATATATTGTTTGATATGTATAGTTAGTCAGAAAGTTAAACCCCCCCCCCCTTTTCATAAACTATTCTAAGACATTTAAATATTATTATAATTTTTTTAATGAATGCCAGACTAGAAAATTTCCCATCATCTCCTATGGTATAAATAAGAAATAATTCATGGCAGCCGTAGATTTGTTTTCATTTAACCATGGATTGGGCCGAACGACAGCGAGGGGTAAAATACGATATCAAAACCCAACTCTTGGTTAAATGAAAACAAATCTATGGCTTCCATGAATTATTTCAATTCTAATATTAAAGACAAATAAAGTAATTTTTTTCAACTGTGAAAACCCTATACACACGATACTGTTTTGGCTGTTCTGTTTTACCCCCATATGATAATATTATATTATTCAATAATAAATTAAATAACTCACATTTTTCAACTTAAACTATTCTTTTTATGTAATTTTATTACATTTTGAGGCATACAAGAAGCCTGAAAACGTCCAGTGTTTTACATTTGACACCAGAAGCATACATGAGACGTCACCTTGTTTGGTTTCCATTGAAAGGTGATAACGCCATTTTGAAGAATTTTCATTTATGATATTTTACATCGAAATAATAACTGAAATGGACTGATATGTTTATTTTGCATTGGAATTGAGATAACAATACTGCATTTGAAGCTTCGAATACCTAAAACATGGGTTTTACTGTCAAAAATTTAGTTTACCTGGTTGTATTAATAAGATGGGCGTAATGTGGACCAGCAATTTAGTGTATTAGTGTGTCTGCACTAAAAGTAGATATACTGTGATAATTGTTGACAATATATAGGTCGTCATACTAGAATTCTGATTTATTGTCTACTTGTCCACCAAACTTATGTTTTTATTGTACATGTAAAGCTGATAATTTTACCAAGAAATTGAGATTATGACCATATGTTTACTTCTATGTGTCTTGTATGAGGTTTTTTTTCAGTTGCTAACTTAATGACTTATACACTGCATCTCCTCTTTTTCATATTACAAATAAGATTATATATATATAAAAAAAGATATGGATGTCTACATCCATTTGACATACAAGTATATGTACAACTAAACCTGTCTGTATGTGTACTGAATTAGCTAAGATAAGTGAAGGAACATTCTGCCTTAACGGTAATGAATACCTTGATAACAGTGCCTTAGACTTATCACCAATCAGTACAAGTTTAGTGTCAGCGGTGTTTTCCATCTCATTCATAGCGATTTTAATAGCTTTACATACATTGGAGTGTACACCACCACACAAACCTCTGTCTGATGTTACTGCCACTAGAAGCTGATAAGGTGAGGTACTGTCACCTTTTATCTCAGCCTGGTCATAAAATGCTGGAAATAAACAACAATAGACAAGTGTCAACAATGTGAATTATCCTACATGTATGCTATCCATTATCAATAATGTAAAACTACATTTGTATTAGGCAAACTGAAATTAATTAGATTTTCATCCAAATTTTTGAAAAAAATGGGGCTGGTGGGAGGATTTTATTTTTTTAATTTTTATTTCCTCCAAACCCTTTCGTGACGTGTTCTTCATATGCCAGTCTGATTAAAACCAGCCCCCACTATCCATTCGTAGATAGTGGCAGTCAAGGATATAACTCTATAGGGTTATTAGAGAAAAATAACATACATTTGTTATTGTGGACTAAAAAATCAAAGATCTGTGATAACATATGTATGTTACATATTTCAAAGGGCCAATAAACATCATTTGTTTTGTTAAAATGTATACAAGTTCTATTGATATTATTATTGTCTTTATGTATACTATACTATAGAAAGATATAACAGTTCAAAGTTTGCCAATCATGCATAGTACATCTATGTTATTACAGAAAGAAATATGCCTGTAATAACTAAAGGGTGTTATTACAGCTTCTCTACATCACTTCAAAGCCTTTGCTCAGACATACATCATACTTAATCAAAATGTATTTTAATTTATTGTAAGATATAATGATCAGAGCATGTAATGAAGTTCTGTGCAAGCTTCTCAGTAATTCCCAAGTGTCTCATATAACAAGTTACATGCTTTTAACAACTACGCCTTGTTATTACAGCTAAGTTTATCCCTTAAAAGCCTTGTCTCATTGATTTACCATTGTTGATGAAAAATGTATTAATTTAAGTTGAAAGTTACATGTAGTTATCAAGGCTATGTATTTAGTTTCTGCCCAAAGTTTCAAGAATTCCCCAGTGCCCACTAAAAATTATAATACATGTACTTATGATTTATTAAACAAATAACAAACATATGTTATACTTATTTACTACAGATTTAGAAAATTTAAGAAACAAGCATTCTGAGAGTATTGCATGGCAGTACATAGTCCCCTACCGGGTAAAAATTCCATTATACTGGAACAAAATGCTAACTTGTTCTATAACTTGTCATGGTGTAAACAAAAAGAAAATATCAAGTCATTATATTTAAGCATGACTAAAAACAGTGTGAATAAAATGCTCCGCAGGGCGCAGCTTGATACGACCGCAGAGGTCGAACCCTGAACAGTTGGGGCAAGTATGGACACAACATTCAAGCTTGATACAGCTTTGCATTTGGATTGTGATTAAATATTTGACACAGCATAGGTTTCTGACACAGAATGAATGTGGTCTAAGAACTTAAAAATTTTAAATTGGACATTCACCTATTATGGTCCAATATCCAAAATCTAAATACATGGTTAGATTCAGCATATCAAAGAACCCCAAGAATTGAATTTTTGATGAAATCAAACAAAGTTTAATTTTGGACCCTTTTGACCTCAATGTGGACAAAGTTGATAACGGGGCCCAAAAATCAAAAATCTAAATACATGGTTAGATTCAGCATATCAAAGAACCCCATATATTCAATTTTTGTTGAAATCAAACAAAGTTTAATTTTGGACCCCGATTTGGACCAACTTGAAAACTGGGCCCATAATCAAAAATCTAAATACATGTTTAGATTCAGCATATCAAAGAACCCTAAGAATTCAATTTTTGTTAAAATCAAACTAAGTTTAATTTTGGACCCTTTGGACCTTAATGTAGACCAATTTTAAAACGGAACCAAAAATTAAGAATCTAAATACACGGTTAGATTCAGCATATCAAAGAACCCCAATAATTCAATTTTTGATGAAATCAAACAAAGTTTAATTTTGGACCCCGATTTGGACCAACTTGAAAACTGGGCCCATAATCAAAAATCTAAATACATGTTTAGATTCAGCATATCAAAGAACCCTAAGAATTCAATTTTTGTTAAAATCAAACTAAGTTTAATTTTGGACCCTTTGGACCTTAATGTAGACCAATTTGAAAACAGAACCAAAAATTAAGAATCTAAATACACGGTTAAATTCAGCATATCAAAGAACCCCAATCTTTCAATTTTTGATGAAATCAAACAAAGTTTAATTTTGGACCCTTTGGACCTCAATGTGGACCAATTTAAAAACGGGGCCCAAAATCCAAAAACTAAATACACGGTTAGATTCAGCATATTAAAGAACCCCAAGAATTCAAGAATAAAACCCCATTGAAATTGTTTAAGAAATAAGCAATTTATACGAAGTATCTTCTTTTGCACAATACTTCTTTTGTGCAATCAAATATTTCTTGCTATTGTGCAATACTGTACAATTGACAATTTCTTGCTATTGCGCAATATTGTGCTATTGGATATTTCTTGCTATTGTGCAAAACTGTGCAATTGAAGATTTCTTGCTATTGCGCAATACTGTGCAATTGAAGATTTCTTGCTATTGTGCAATACTGTGCAATTGAAAATTTCTTGCTATTGCACAATACTTATTATATAATAATTTACACATCCTGTTTGGTGTGTATCTCCTACCATATCATAATTATTTGCTTTTAAATATAAATCAGAAATAACCAACTTAAAATGGAAAATTTTAAAAGAAAAAAAAAAGGAAAAAAAAAAAAAATCCCCTCCCCCAAATTTTTGAACCCCCTTATGATTCATCACCCCCAAACTCAATCCCAGCCTTCCCTTTGTGGTATGGTACCTTGCAGTACAATTTCAGAGAGATCCATACACTTGAACACAAGTTATTGTCTGGAAACTAGAAAAATGTGTTTTTTGGCCCCTTTTGGGCCCCAAATTCCTAAACATTTAGGGCAATTACCCCCAAACTTAAACCCAGCTTTCCCTTTGTGATATGGAACCTTGTAGTACAATTTCAGAAAGATCCATACACTTACACACAAGTAATTGTCATGAAACTAGAAAAATGCTTGTTTTTTGCCCCTTTTTTGGCCCCTAATTCCTAAAATTTTGAGGCAATTACCCCCAAAATCAATCCCAGCATTCCTTTTGTGATATGGAACCTTGTGGTACAATGTCAGAGAGATCCATACACTAACACACAAGTTATGTCTGGAAGTTACAAAAATGCTTATTTTTGGCCCCTTTTTGGCCCCTAATTCCTTTACTGTTGGTACCATAACCCCCAAAATCAATCCCAACCTTCCTTTTGTGGTATTGAACCTTGTGGTAAAATTTCATAGAGATCCATTCACTTAAACTAAAGTAAGAGTGCGAAAACCAATGTGTCTTCGGACGACGCCGGACGACGCCAGACGACGACGACGACGACGACGACGACGACGCCAACGTCATACCAATATACGACCACAAAAATTTTTTTGCGGTCATATAAAAACTGATTATATGAGTGAATTTTTCAAGTCCAAGAACCATAACATGCACAAAATTATCAGACAGAAACAAAAATTTGAACTTGATCTGTAACTTGTCATGATAAAACTATATACCAATTATCAATCAATATCTTCAAGCATGAAGAAAAAAAGTGTGGAAAACACTCTTAACATTGGATATGATTTATAGTTCTCTAAAATTAGATATGATGTAATACAATGTATATCTATTTTCAAATTATAATCAAATATAATTTGTAGTTCCAAATATTTTTTCTTTCATTTGTCACAAACTAATATAGATTTGTAACTTATCTATAAAATGTCAACAACTTTTATCTACACAATGTAATGTAATGAAATATATACCTTAATAAAAATAGATTATTATCTAATTAAAGGATTTCACTTAATAATTTTTTTTTATATATATATAGCATTCAGAAAATTAGTTTAAATACAAAATAACAAACAAACCTGGCACAAATTTTTCAAACAATTTACTAAAGAATTTCTTTTAAAAAATGAGTTATCTGTCTTTGTATAGAAATATGGTTTAACATAGTATTCTAACATTAGATCAAGGCTTCCAAAACGGTCATATATTCCGGACATTTGTATAATGTCCGGTAAAAGTCCGGCTGGGCAAAGCATGAAACGGACATCTACTTTTTAGTTTTCAAGGCTTAAGTCTTAAGAGACGGTCATTTTAACATAATTCGCGATCTTTTTGACCCAACCTTTTGCCTTTAACAGCCACACATTTCCGGTCATAAAAGTGACATGATCATTAAGTACTATCAAAACAACCCCTACTTTCATACCTTCTCATTTTAATCAAGGCTAATTAGTTGTCGAACAGCTGAAATTTACCTGTTCAGGTGACAGGTAAACTATTTTGAACCGGACATTGATCGGTCTATTCAAAGTTATTTTCTTACATTTCAGCGGTTTGCATCTAATTAATTTAGTTAAAAAGATTTAAATTATCAGAAATACGTTTACAAATATGATTTGATGAAAAAAGGTGAAAATGAAAAATCGTCATAACCACGTTGTTTGAACCAGAGACATGTCTCTGTTTGAACTAGTACACGTGTGCGCATGTGCGCAGGTGTGAAATTTAATTATGCATCCTAATTTCTTCAAAAAATGCTTTAATTGTCATTGATACCTTTATCTCACGTTTATTTCGAATATTTTCTTGAAGAAATAACGTAGAATGAGCTACTTACACTCATTCATGCTTTGCAAACGTACACGGAATTTACGTATCCGTCTCTGGTCCATGTTTTACCATTGTCAAGATAACATCCGGTTTAGATTTAAAAAACGAAAGTAAAGTTTTTGACAACGTTATTTTGCACAAATAAAGAGTCTAAGCAGATATAAGTACGCTGATGTTGCACACTTCGAATGATGCACTGCCAATTAAATAGTTTACGTCAGAACTTTGAATTTGAATCAAAGAAAGTTTAATATCGTTTTTTTTTTAATGTCAATCATTGGGATGGCCAACTCGGCAACTGATTACCATAATTGCCTTTTATTTATTTAGCCTTAAGGGATTAAAATCGGGATAATATATAAAATGTCCGGCTGGCTAAAAATAATTTTGGAAGCCCTGCATTAGATATGGATTTTTTTTATGGACCATAGCTCTGGACTAAATCATCAGACCGGAACAAAATTCGAACTTGATCTATAACTTGTCATGATAAAAAAATACACCAAATATCAAATCAATATCTTCAAGCATGAAGAAAAAAAGTCTGGAAAACTAATTTGCCGGACTGACGGATGGACAGACGGACAGAGTGCAAACATAAAGTCCCCTTCGACTTCGTCGGTAATGGACTAATTAAAGAACCTTAGTGAGCGCGCTCACATACCCCACGTCCCACATTGTCAATGGAGAAATAAAATTTCTGTAAGAAAAAAAAATGAATCATAATTTCCTGTTGAAATGCACATCTACATAGTATGTCCTTATCATCTACAAAGTTTCATGAAATTCTGTTGTGTGGTTTCAGAGGAGTTGCGATGACAAACTGTTGCAGAGGTATATTGAAGCAAATAAGTTCAAAGGGGCATAACTCCTAGAAAAAAAATTGAATCATAATTTCCTGTCGATATGCACATCTACGTAGTATGTCCTTATTATCTAAAAAGGTTTCATGAAATTCTGTTGTGTGGTTTCAGAGGAGTTGTGATGACAAACTGTTGCAGTAGAATATTGAAGCAAACAAGTTCAAAGGGGCATAACTCCTACAAAAAAATTGAATCGTAATTTCCTGTCGATATGCACATCTGCATAGTATGTCCTTATTATCTAAAAAGGTTTCATGAAATTCTGTTGTGTGGTTTCAGAGGAGTTGCGATGACAAACTGTTGCAGTAGTATATTGAAGCAAACAAGTTCAAAGGGGCGTAACTTCTACAAAAAAAATTGAATCGTAATTTCCTGTCGATATGCACATCTGCATAGTATGTCCTTATTATCTAAAAAGGTTTCATGAAATTCTGTTGTGTGGTTTCAGAGGAGTTGCGATGACAAACTGTTGCAGTAGTATATTGAAGCAAACAAGTTCAAAGGGGCGTAAGTCCTACAAAAAAAATTGAATCGTAATTTCCTGTCGATATGCACATCTACATAGTATGTCCTTATTATCTAAAAAGGTTTCATGAAATTCTGTTGTGTGGTTTGAGAGGAGTTGCGATGACAAGAAACAGGACTGACGGGTCAAAAACATTATACCATCCGCAACTTTGTTGCATGGGGTATAATAAAGAGTAGACAACTCATGCAAGTATCTGTAATAACAGATGCAAGATATTTTCTCTAATAACCCTATAGAGTTATATGAGTGGTTTCAATCAGACTGTTCGTATGTAAGGGTAATTGAGCTTATATCATTATGATTCATATATATATAAGGAATTCTGCATAATTTTTCAAGTTCTTAATAATATTTCTGATTGGCAACCACTGTTCTACATGTAATTGCCTATTTTTAGTAAATAGCAAAAAGGTGGAGAAATGCTCTGTTTTTGACTACCTACATCAAATTCATTTTGCTTTCTAAGCTATGGTTTGTAGTGCCCATTACAAGTATTATGAGTACAGAGTGATTAATGAAAACTCAAACTGTGTTGAAAATACTAGGGCTTATGCTTTTATGATTCTTATGCAGCCGTGCAAAAAATACAATGTAAAACATGAACTTAACCAAAAAGAAGAAGTTGATTAATGACTCTATTGAGGGGTTGGGAACAGAGGGTGTTTGCTGTAATTCCACAAAAACCGACATTCTTGGGGGTAAATCTAAGGGCTTGCTATCATACATTTTGTACGCTAGCCGACTTTTTGTTATTTCATGCCCTTCTTGAAAGCAATCTCTATTCTCGGAAGATAATGTTGTCATTATAGAGCAGCAGAATATTTCGACTTAATCATTTTGGTTAAATTACTCAAAGAAATACGACAACCAAAATTTGCAACAGGAAGTTTTGAAAGAAAAGAAGCGGTTTGAGTGATGCTATCAATTTCAAACATGATCTATATTTGGTGGTAATAAGCATTGTGTATAAGTTTCATAACATTTGGTAGAGGCAAACTTAAGTTAGAGAAGGGAAACTAAAAATTTTGCAATTTTTCCATTTATAAAGGGGCATAACTCTAGAACAGTTAGAGTGACACTACCAAAATTCAATCTTGATCTGTGTTTTGTGGTAATTAGCATTATGTATAAGTTTCATAACATTTGGTTGAGGCAAACTTTAGAGAACGGAAACTAAAAATTTAGCAATTTTTCCATTTATAAAGGGGCATAACTCTAGAACAGTTAAAGTGACACCACCAAAATTCAATTTGATCTGTATTTTTGGTAATAAGCATTGTGTATATATAAGTTTCAAAACATTTGGTTGAGGCAAACTAAAGTTAGGGAACGGATACGAAAAATTCAGCAATTTTTCCATTTGTAAAGGGACATAACTCTAGAACAGTTAAAGTGACACCACCAAAATTCAAACCTGATCTGTATTTTGTGGTAATAAGCATTGTGTATAAGTTTCATAACATTTGGTTGAGGCAAACTTAAGTTTGAGAACAGAAACCAACTTTGGGACGTACAGAAGGACAAGGGTCAAACTTAATGCCCCTCCGCTATGGTGGGGGCATAATTAAATAAATGGAAAAATGTGTCCCCATGGACACAGATGATGCCCCCACTTGCAAGCAACATTATAAAGGGACATAACTCAAGAACAACAAGCATTCTGTGAGTATTGCATGGCAATACATAGTTCCCTACCGGTTACAAATTCATTGTAATGGAACGAAATTCTAACTTGATCTATAACTTGGAAATGTGTAAACCACATAAAAATATCAAGTCAAAATCTTGAAGCATGACGAAAATAATAACCAATAAACTGCTTCGCTGAGCGCAGCTGGATATGCCAGCAGAGGTCCAACCCTGAACAGTTGGGGCAAAAATGGACACAATATTCAAGCTTGATACAGGTCTGAATTTGGATTGTAATTAAATGTTTGACATATTATAGGTTTCTGAATAAATGTAGTCAAAGAACTTGAAATTGGTTATATGAATTGAATTTAAATTAAAGATTTCTTGCTGTTGTGCAATACACTGTGCTGTTGCGCACTACATGTACTTAGTAAATCTGTTGTCAGACTATAAACAAATAAAGTTCAATTTCTTCTCAATGTCATATTTGAAATTAATGAAAATCAATAAGGAGATTACATCAATAGCTATAAATAATTCACCAAAGTTTCATGAGAACTGCTGAAAGCATTTTTGAGTTATTGTCCAAAAACTGGAAAATCCCTCCTTTTTTAACATTTTAATGAATAAAACCCCATAACTCAGAAATGTAAAATCTAGAATTTATAAATTTCTAAAGGGAACTTACATCAACAGATATAAACAATTAACCAAGGTTTCATGAGAACTGCTGAAAGCATTTTTGAGTTATTGTCTGAAAACTGGAAAATCCCCCTTTTTTTATGAATAAAAACCTGTAACTCGGAAACGTAAAATCTAAAATTTATAAAAATCCAAAAGGGAGCTCATGTCAATAGATATAAACAATTCATCAAAATTTCTTGCAATTTGGTGAAAGTATTCTTGAGTTATTATTGAAAAACTGGAAAATCCCCCCTTTTTTAATGAATAAAACCCCAAAACTCAGAAACGGTAAATCTGAAATTTATAAAAAACGAAAGGGAGCTCACATCAATAGATATAAACAATTCACCAAAGTTTCATGCATATTGGTTAAAAGCATTTTTGAGTTAATGTCCGACATGTTGACAACGGACGGACAGGCAGATGGACGGACGGACAGACGGTCAACCACAATACATCCCGTAAATGGGCTCATTAGTTGATATCTTTGGCGGAAGTACATGTGATTCATCCTCATTTTTCAACATCCAAGTGGTTGGTTTAAGGGCTATACTTGGTCAGGCAATAAATATTGACTGTTTGGGTTGATGAGGTCCTTGATATTTCCCCCCCTCTCCCACCCATTAGTACCAAAATGTGGATAGGTTTTCATATTCAGATTTTGTTATTGGTATTACATGTATGCATGAGACAACATTAGAAAATCACAAGAATTACAATGTGATCAAATGTTTGAAGGAACACACCTTTACTTTTTTCTAAATTTCTTATTTCATTCGAATGGTAAATAAGATTATAGATCTCAGATGACAATAATGTAGATTATTATGCTTCATTTTCGATCTCCAGAGTAGTTATGCTGTAAACAATTCAGCGATATATCCAGTGTGCTCTTATGCATTAAATTGTGCAAAGTAGTTCACATTTTGGTTTTTGAAATGTAGATATCAATCACTGATGAGGATATGGGTAAATTCTGAAATATCAAAGGTTACACACAATAGAAACTCGTTGGGCTTCTCCCGATAATAGATATTAAATCATGTACCTTGCCCTCTATATGTCTGACAAACCTTTTTGTTTATACTGTGTTATATGTTTATTTGTAACTTAATCATAATTTGTCCTCATAGTTCCTTTGGTCTGGCAGATCTAATTATTTATCTTATATCTAAGCTTACCTTTAGCTCCTAGTCCATATGGCCTGGCAACTTTAAGATCCTTCTCAGCTCTGGAATATTTAGCTGCTGACACCATCTTCATGGATTTGGTGATCTTTTGCATATTAATGACAGACTTCAGCCGAACTCGAACTACAAAATGACAATATGGCTTTTTTCACTTAAGCAAAGTCTGGAAGACATCTAGTGATACAATATAAATAGATTACCATGAGTGCTCTTCAAATACCTTTAGATTAGCGTCTTTATTTTCAAATGACTAAGTCATACATCTTACATTATACAACTGTATCAAAACAAAACTGATAATAAATTAAGGGCATACGATAAAGTAGCAGGGGGCAGTCAGATATTGTAGCGTGCAAAATTTGTAGAAAATACAATAATTTAATCAAATCAGTTGCAAAAGACAAAAAATTCTTTTGACGGAAGCATATGAAATCTACAGCTGGAAATTAAGCTAAGGCAAATGAAGAGTGGTTGCTACTCTAATGTTAATATGTTCAAATTAAATGACAGTTGTAATTAAGTGACGTATAACATGAATGCCTCAATTATGATGTAGCAATAAGAATATATTGTTAACTAATAATGCCCCAAATAGGGAAAATAGGATTTCCATCATTAAAAAGTTAGCTTTTCTGCTTTCAGCTAAATCAATAAGCACATGGACCCCCTTTTTTATGCCCCACCTAGGGGCATTATGTTTTTCAGTCTGTGTGTCTGTTCATTTGTTCGTTCGTCCATCTGTCCTGCTTCAGGTTAAAGTTTTTGGTCAAGGCAGTTTTTGATAAAGTTGAAGTCCAATCAACTTGAAACTTAGTACACATGTTCCCTATGATATGATCTTTCTAATTTTAATGCCAAATTTAGAGTTTTGACCCCAATTTCAAGATCCACTGAACATAGAAAATGATAGTGCCAGTGGGCATCCATGTACTATGGACACATTCTTATTTCTTCTAGAATTGATTGTGTACTGATTCAAAAAATATAATATCAAAATGCAAATGAAATATAAAAGGTAAGAAAGATATTAATGCTAACTTACTTTCCTTTAATGTTGCCATCCCACGCACTTGCGTGCTGAAATAGAAAAAAATGAGATTGTGACTAATTTGGTAATGCCATACTTGCATGTTATCATACAAATACAAATAAAACATTTTTCTACTAAAAATTTCTGTAAAAGTAAATTAAAAGGAAAAGATAATTGTGATTGCTTTCAACAATCTACAATACAGGGTTGCATATTGTGATAATTTTCAGACATTGCATTTCGAACATTTGTCTGGCAGTCATAAATCAATTAATTGACATGCATAGAAGGTGCAAAAATAAACAAAGTTAAGAAAGATGTTTGAGAACTTCCACATAGGTAATAATTGGCCCAATGAATTTTTTTTTTTACTTACATTGAAAATGGTGCTCTCTGATGAGGCATCTTCAGACTGTTCATAAAAAATGAGGTTTCATAGGAATAATATTTTCTTTTAGCTTTTGTTTTAGTAAGTTTAATCTTATTAGTAAGTTGTGATATTGCTTATCAAATAAAAATATTTTGATATTAATAATAATCTTAATTGTAATCAATCATATATTGGCAGAATTTTTAATAAAATGCTTCGCTGGGCGCAGCTTGATACGACCGCAGAGGTCGAACCCTGAACAGTTGGGGCAAGTATGGACACAACATTCAAGCTTGATACAGCTCTGAATTTGGATTGTGATTAAATATTTGACACAGCATAGGTTTCTGACACAGAAAGAATGTGGTCTAAGAACTTCAATTTTTTTAATTTACCTATTATGGTCCAATGTCCAAAATCAAAATACATGGTTAGATTCAGCATATCAAATAACCCCATATATTCAATTTTTGTTGAAATCAAACAAAGTTTAATTGTGGACCCCAACTTGGACAAACTTGAAAACTGGGCCCATAATCAAAAATCTAAACACATGTTTAGATTCAGCATATCAAAGTACCCGAAGAATTCAATTTTTGTTAAAATCAAACTAAGTTTAATTTTGGACCCTTTGGACCTTAATGTAGACAAATTTAAAAAACGGGACCCAAAATTAAAAATCTAAAAACACGGTTAGATTTGGCATATCAAAGAACCCCAATAATTCAATTTTTGATGAAATCAAACAAAGTTTAATTTTGGACCCTTTTGACCTCAATATGAACCAATTTGATAGCGGGCCCACAAATAAAAAATCTAAATACATGGTAAGATTCAGCATATCAAAGAACCCCATATATTCAATTTTTGTTGAAATCAAACAAAGTTTAATTTTGGACCCCAATTTGGACCAACTTGAAAACTGGGCCAAAAATCTAAAATCTAAATACATGTTTAGATTCAGCATATCAAAGAACCCCATATATTCAATTTTTGTTGAAATCAAACAAAGTTTAATTTTGGACCCCAACTTGGACCAACTTGAAAACTGGTCCCATAATCAAAAATCTAAACACATGTATAGATTCAGCATATCAAAGAACCCCAAAAATTCAATTTTTGTTAAAATCAAACTAAGTTTAATTTTGGACCCTTTGGACCTTAATGTAGACAATTTAAAAAACAGGACCCAAAATTAAAAATCTAAATACACGGTTAGATTTGGCATATCAAAGAACCCCAATAATTCAATTTTTGATGAAATCAAACAAAGTTTAATTTTGGACCCTTTTGACCTCAATATGAACCAATTTGATAGCGGGCCCACAAATAAAAAATCTAAATACATGGTAAGATTCAGCATATCAAAGAACCCCATATATTCAATTTTTGTTGAAATCAAACAAAGTTTAATTTTGGACCCCAATTTGGACCAACTTGAAAACTGGGCCAAAAATCTAAAATCTAAATACATGTTTAGATTCAGCATATCAAAGAACCCCATGTATTCAATTTTTGTTGAAATCAAACAAAGTTTAATTTTGGACCCCAACTTGGACCAACTTGAAAACTGGGCCCATAATCAAAAATCTAAACACATGTTTAGATTCAGCATATCAAAGAACCCTAAGAATTCAATTTTTGTTAAAATCAAACTAAGTTTAATTTTGGACCCTTTGGACCTTAATGTAGACCAATTTAAAAAACGGGACCCAAAATTAAAAATCTAAATACACGGTTAGATTCGGCATATCAAAGAACCCCAATAATTCAATTTTTGATGAAATCAAACAAAGTTAAATTTTGGACCCTTTGGACCTCAATGTGGACCAATTTAAAAACGGGGCCCAAAATCCAAAAACTTAATACACGGTTAGATTCAGCATATTAAAGAACCCCAAGAATTCAAGAATAAAACCCCATTGAAATTGATCAAGAAATAAGCAATTTATACGAAGTATCTTCTTTTGCACAATACTGTGCAATTGAATATTTCTTGCTATTGCGCAATACTGTACAATTGACAATTTCTTGCTATTGCGCAATATTGTGCTATTGGATATTTCTTGCTATTGCGCAATACTGTTAAATTGAAGATTTCTTGCTATTGCGCAATACTGTGCAATTGAAGATTTCTTGCTATTGTGCAATACTGTGCAATTGAAAATTTCTTGCTATTGCACAATACTTATTATATAATAATTTACACATCCTGTTTGGTGTGTATCTCCTACCATATCATTATTATTTGCTTTTAAATATAAATCAGAAATAACCAACTTAAAATGGAAAATTTTAAAAGAAAAAAAAAAGGAAAAAAAGAAAAAAAAAAAAAAAAAACCCAAATTTTTTGAACCCCCTTATGATTCATCACCCCCAAACTCAATCCCAGCCTTCCTTTTGTGGTATGGTACCTTGCAGTACAATTTCAGAGAGATCCATACACTTGAACACAAGTTATTGTCTGGAAACTAGAAAAATGCTTATTTTTGGCCCCTTTTTGGCCCCCAATTCCTAAACGTTTCGGGCAATTACCCCCAAACTCAATTCCAGCTTTCCCTTTGTGATATGGAACCTTGTAGTACAATTTCAGAAATATCCAAACACTTACACACAAGTTATTGTCATGAAACTAGAAAAATGCTTGTTTTTTGCCCCTTTTTTGGCCCCTAATTCCTAAAATTTTGAGGCAATTACCCCCAAAATCAATTACAGCCTTCCCTTTGTGATATGGAACCTTGTGGTACAATGTCAGAGAGATCCATACACTTACACACAAGTTATTGTCTGAAAGTTACAAAAATGCTTATTTTTGGCCCCTTTTTGGCCCCTAATTCCTTAACTGTTGGTACCATAACCCCCAAAATCAATCCCAACCTTCCTTTCGTGGTATTGAACCTTATGGTGAAATTTCATGGAGATCCATTCACTTAAACTAAAGTTAGAGTGCGAAAACCAATGTGTCTTCGGACGACGCCGGACGACGACGACGACGACGCCAACGTCATACCAATATACGACCAAAAAATTTTTAATTTTTGCGGTCGTATAAAAAGGTAAGAAAGCAGCTGATGGGTCATAATCAACCAATACCAAGAATTCAATGCAATCAAGTTGAGTAAACAAGAAATAACCTCAAAACCTGGATCATAAAAGTTACCAGTCAAAACACACAAAAATAATCGATTCTAACCATAAAGAAATTAAGGCAGTATTTTTCTTAGCCTAGCCAAACATACATTTAAATTTTGTGAAGAAATGAAAACTTGAAAAAAATAACATGCCTAGCCCCTAAAAACAAAAATTGCAGGCCAACCTATATGAAAATTTTGTGATTATTTTTTTATACATGTAATCCAAATTTTCAGAGTAGGTTAGACTATAAAACTATAACAGAAACTGGAAACAGGATAACAATACATGTACATCTACCTGTTGTTACACTGACATATTGTGTGTTGTCGTTGAGCTCTGCGTCAATAATTATAAATATACTTGACAACCATATCAGCGTTGAACAGTTGAATGGTTCCGAAAATTATTATGATCTTTCTTAAAGAATTGTCAGTCACAACAACTATCGATATTCATGCGTAAATTGCATAACATGTGATTCTGTTTTCACCAGCTTATTTTTTCTTTATGGGGGTTGTAAAGAAATCATGCAACGTCGATTTTCTATTTGCTTGTTTACTTGTCATCTTGGGTCAACATGTGTTTTCTCTCTGTGGCAAAAGGGCACTTTATTAAGATGTAGAATCATCATTTTATAAAGCGCACAAATGATCGCATTAAAAATCATTTCAGATGTCTCGCTCCTTATCCATCTTCGTAACGTTGTCGAGAATCTATAAATATATTATAACACAGACCTCAACGAGAACGCCTAAACAAAGCGCAAGCGAAGACAAAAGTCAATTTCAATTGGTAACAACTTGTTTTACGCAACCATAGCACAGTTTTATTTATTGTATTCTATTTGGAAACACAATTTGCATTGGCGAATTCCTTAATTTGAAACGGGGAAAATTCGCCAGGTGCTAGTGCTTACTGAAAACCCTGCATTTAAATTACATATATCTAGGTCATCCTATTCCTTGAAAAAATTTCCAGATGCAGAGATTTGTCTGCATAGTGTAAACATGCCATTTTAGCCTGAAGGTCCAGATGAACATTGGAAATGTACAGAAAACTCATGTGAGGCAGTAAAATGAAGCCATTTCGAATTCCTTCACTTTCTTGTAAATTTTCTGTCACAATGCTTATGTTAGTATGTCACAGTAAGACAGTTCTTCTTGTTAATAATGATGCCATGTATTTTGACAATGTATGAATGACTTATTTAATGCACATATTATAAAAGAATAAATAATTAAAACAACAACTTATACATATTTATCGTCAACATATACAGTAATAGACAATGTGAACATGTGATAAAAAGCTAAGATTGATACACACAGAAACATAGAACAGAAACATTAAGAAGTGCCCTTTCCCCAACCTCAAAAAGTGCCCTGCCATCCACTGGCCCCCTGCTCATTTCTAGCTGGAGCACTTAAAGGTAAAGAACTGATTATTCAGTGACATTGTTTACGCCGATAATTATCTTCACAAGTGTGTTATTCTGTTAGATGGGTATAATTTCTCAAGGTAAGTGAAACATGTTTTATTGTAAATCAAAAACCGGCAGACTGATGTGTTTTTGTTCGTGAGATATGCAAGGAAATGTTAGAAAATATTGGTTGAACCGAACACATAGAAAATCTTCGCTAGCTATCTTGTGATTTTTCGTACAAGTGTGGATAGTAAACCCCCCATTGACAGAAACAAGTGCCTGTGTATCTTGATATTAATGCAGGAACGTTTTTTAGTCCAAATAATATGACGTCTTGAAAGGGCTTAGGCTATTATATTTTTCTGCTTTGATACCTTCCGCTGTAAGGCATCAAAGCAAAAAATATAATAGCCTTTCAAGACGTCATAATTATTTGGCCTAGAACGTTTTTATGCCATTTTCGTCTCAAAATCCTCCTTCTAGTTTTTACTACGTATCAACTCGTTTAAGATCCTTAGATTTTGATAGCCGAACTGTGTAATATTAAACTGAAGTATTTTTTCGAAAATCAAGGCATAAAACTCGAAAGACCGATTTATTTTGTCAACTTTGACAGAGGTCACAAAGCCGGTCAGATTGCAGTTGCAAAATCTACAAGCACCACATAAGAGGGGCGTTTTCCTGTTTTCCTATAAATCAAATGGTTCATTATTAATACATTTTTTGGTTTAATTTGTATTGCACTGACCATTGTGGGATAAATTGTGTTGTTCGGGAGAACATGATGATTGTTTGATGGAACTTCTCCCAAAGCGAGGCACTGAGCGGAAGCTATTTAAGGGAGGCAACTCCACATAAATTAACAACTTTCAGCTTTTGAAAAAGCTTGTCTCAATGTAAGACTTCTATATAAGCAGAAGTCCATTACTAGAGGAAGTGTGCAACCGCTATATAGTAAAGCGTACTTCCAACTGTGATTGAAAGGGGATTTGAGCGATATTACTATTTATAGTAACAAAAATAATTGGCCAAATTTTTTGCGATGCATTCTGGGTAGAGATAATTTATGCAAAACACCCTATAACTTAATTAGCACACAGTTGAAAATAAGAGTCATTATGATGGTTGTTAATTTTAAATAATAAAATGTTTGTATTATTAATTAATTTAAAAACTACAATTATAACCGTAGAAAAATTGTCAGCCCGAATAAAAAAAGCTTACTCCTTAATACAATTCACGTTAAGTTTCAGAGCTAATTGTGAAAAAAATGCCATTAAAAGGTTGGCAAGTAAAAATTAGGTTGGGAAATAGTGTATCCATATACAGCATAAGTAACACTGGATTATGAATGAGTTTGATAAGAATGAACGTTTTGATATATTTATTTTAAGAATGTATGTTACGATTTACAAATTTTAAGAAATACGAGGTTGCACTGAAATTCTGCAGATATAACCATTTTTAGCAAATTAACAAATTGTACCCTCAATTTTGAAAAAAGAGGGAAAAATAATTGTATGCCCTTTCTTCAATTTCGAATATCTTCCTGCGTAAGATCTTGACGTTTATACTCCCTCGGATGATGGTGTGGACGAACAAAGGTTGTCATTTCAGTCGGATATTGTCACATTTATCCATTTAAATACATGTAAAAATGGAGTTCACAACACATGCGTTCGACATATGAATCTAATAGGTTAAATTGTAAAAGTTGCGATCTATACCTTTGTAAACAAATAAGTAATAAATACATAATCTTTATGTAAGTATACTTCATACTGAAATATGTTTAAGTTTTACTTAAAAAAACCTAGCTGTAGGACAATTTGATTTAATTTGTTCAAATACTAAATCAATCTCAACAGTTGAGTTGGGTAAAAAATATAGTAATCCCTGGAATTGTCCGGTTCCAGAATGTATTATATGTCTCTGGTGGGATGTATAAATTAGGAGCCGCGTCAGGTTAGAAGGGACTTTAAATCCAGTACCTCCGACGTATTCAAGATGAATGTTACGCTCTCTGCATGTTGAATAACACTTGCGACAACTCTTTGATGGAATATGCATGATATATTTGCCACTGAATGTTAAGCTAGCAACAAACGATAAATCAAAACTTAAATCCGCATGATATGCAGGTGTTTTCAGTCTTGTGATTATAAAACGACCAAAAAAGGACTAGGAGACGTTGCAACACTGACCGTCACGTATACATCTCATGATGGCGAACGTAATGACAGACAGACAGGAGTAAAGTATTCTCTTACTTTAAAATAGCTTAAAAAGAGAAATTCGAAATTGTTTCGAAGTCATCTGTAACAACAAATGTTCGGTTATTTTTGACAAATGTATTTCGGTAGAATTAACAAAGAAAAATAAATGTCTTTAGCTTATACATCACGGTATACTGCTTCCTTGATGCCGTAAATAACCGAGACATGATTCCTCAACACAACGTTCTGTTACAAAAGGAAGCCATTATTAATTGCTATATCTTGACAAAAACAACTAAATCTTTTAAATAGCTGATACATTTCAGTCCGACACGGCAGATCATATGATTTTATAGTTCTCATTTGCCTTTGAGCGATGAAAAATGGTACCAATGTATTCTTTTATAAGATTTTATATCATTTTCTAAGTGTTGAAAATGAAGCTAAATAATTGGCAATAAGAAACCGCCGCACTAAATCTGCTCACTTTATTTTCAACAAACTGAAAATTAATCAAACACTCAAGGAGACTAATTAACAGCTATCTGTTTGATGATAATATTTCTACCCATGATTCCATAGTTTAAAAACAAGATTTGGGAGGACCACATGATAAAACCAATAGAACTAGGGTCAGAAAGGATACAGTGTGTGGAAATAAAGGAAAACAATAATCCAAACATAATATTAACATCAGTTTATCTACCAGCAAAAGGGAGTAAAAATCATCTGTCTGAATACCAAGAAGTAATCGATCAATTATACGAACTATACCAAAAGTATAATGAAACGCACAAAATTATCATAGGAGGAGATCTAAATGAAGACCTAAATATACAAACAGGCATGAAACGCAACCTCTATCTCCGTAATTTAATAAACAAATGCAACCTGCAATACGACAATAAAGAAAGAACCTTTGTTAACTCGCTTGGGCAGGAATCACAACAAATAGACTATTTTCTGCACAACCTACTAGAAAATGAATTTGACAACAAACAAGTACTCAACAACGTGACAGAAAACACATCCGATCATCACCCAATTCGTATGAGTACCAAATTCACTTACGAAAGCGCAAGATAGCAGCAAAATTGCAAAAAGGGTCAATTGGGACAAAGTAGACAAAGAATGGTATTCTGCTCACATCAACCTGCATATAGACAGCCTCCAAATAAGAGAAAATATGGAAGAAACAGCAATTGAGCAAGCCACGTCCAAATTATGTGAACTCATAAGGGAAACAGCTAACCTAACATCATCATCAAAGGCAAAATTCAATGCAAAGCCAAAATTAAAAGTATGGACGCCTGAAATACAAGCAGCGTTAAAAATTGCAAGGCCAAAATTTAATCATGTGCGGAAACATCACGGGAGACCCAACAACAAAAGTAACGTAATGCTCCAGGAGAAAAATCAAACAAAGAAGGAATTCCGTCGGTCAATAAGAATAGAGATTGCCAAAATAAGAGACAAGGAGAAGGAAACTATCCTTAAAACAAGATTAAAGGATACAAAAATGTTCCATAAACTCGTACGTAACAACAGGAGGAAAGGAAATATTGTAATCACGGAGCTAAAGGTTAACGGAGTCAAATACATGGAGAGTGAAAATATCATCACTGGATTTGAGGAACACTTTAGAAGTCTCGCAACATTCAACAACCAGACAGACATAGATAGCACATATCATAACCAAGATGAAGATGATATACAGAGTATAAACAGACTTGTGCAACGTAATAACATCAGAAACGTCACACACAATGAAATTACAAACGCCATCAGATCAATAAACAGAGGTAAATGTGCAGATTTCCAGGGCATAACCATCAAACATATTATCCATGCAGGATCCAACATAGAAACAACGTTAGTCACTATCGCGGGATGTATCTTCAAGCACGGAAAAGTATCAGCATCGTTAAAAATGGGACTACTAACACCAGTTTTCAAAAATAAAGGAACAAGGAACAAGACAGCAAGCTACCAACTATAGAGGAATTATACATTGCTACCAGTCATAGGCAAAATGATTGAAACAGTCATCAAAGAGCGTACGAACAACAAAGTATTAGAAACACAAAATAAAAGACAAAAAGATTTCACTGCAGGATCATCACCAATGAACTCAGCGCTGCCAATAGAAGAAAGTTACAGAGAATCCAACGACAACAACACAACTTTCCACCTGGTACTCTTAGATGCAAAAGCAGCATTTGACACTGTTATTCATAGTCATATGCTCAGAAGAGTTTTTATGGCTGGAATTGATGATGGACACTGGGGACTGATTAAAGATCTGCACGAAAACGCTAAAAGTGCTATTAAATGGGAAGGAAACATCTCGCAGCCATTCAACGTTAACCAGGGAGTGCGACAAGGAGGTATACTTAGCACCAATCTCTACAAAATATACATCAACCAGCTATTAAACATGTACAAAACAACTGAGGCAGGATATAGAATTGGAAACGTAAGTGTAAATAGTACTGCGTGTGAAGATGATATCGCACTGATTAGTGAAGAACCAGACCAAGCGCAACTACTTATAAACATGGCATGTGATTCTGCATATATGGAAGGCTACCAATTACAACCTACCAAAAGTGTAGTCCTCAACATAACCAACAGGAAGCGAAAACAGGACCCCCACGAAATGCCATCAGTGAAGAGTGCCACACACTTAGGAATCATCAGAACCACGTCACTAAAAGAAAACATGACTGCTAACGTGGAGGAAAATATAAAAAAAGCAAGGAGAAGCTCATATAGCCTCCTTGGAGGAGGATTTCATGGTCATAATGAATTAGATGTAGAGACAATGGTGCATCTATACAAAATATATGTATCTCCAGTACTTCTCTATGGATTAGAGCTAATATTACCAACAACAAGCTCATTAGCACTAATCGAAAACTTCCAAAAAAAAGCTACTTAAGCAAATACTTTCGTTACCAACTTGTGTAGCAGAAATAACTATAAACATCCTAACCGGAACACTACCAATAGAAGCCCAATTACATATCCGAGCACTTGGACTATTCAACAACATCTGTAATCAGCCCGAAGAAAGCATAGAAAAATCGCTAGCTAGACTACAACTTATATTAAGAAATAAACCATAGCCACCAAAATCAATCCGAACCTTCCTTTTGTGGTATTGAACCTTCTGGTAAAATTTCATAGAGATCCATTCACTTAAACTAAAGTTATTGTTTTTGGAAACCAAATGTGCCTTCAGACATCGATGACATGATAGCATTATACAAACGCAAAAATTTTTTTGCAGTCGTATAAGAACGCAAAAAATTTTTTGCGGTCATATAAATGAGATGGTACACTTAAAACTTGTGTAAAGTAAGAATTTCATTCAATAGGTAGAAATTAAAGTGGAAAGATTGAAATCTATGTGTGCATAATTTCAAACCAGATTTTAGTCTTCTATTGAGGTTAACAAAAAGGCACTATTGCATATAGTTGCATTGGTGTCATTCTTCAGAGTTATGCAATGCTATGAATGCTATAAGCGCAAATTATGTGTCCTTCATTATGTCTCTTAATTCAAATAACAATTTCTTTTAAAATGCAATTCTATATATTTTTATCAAACATGTTCAGATTTATAATAAAATTGAGAATGGAAATGGGGAATGTGTCAAAGAGACAACAACCCGACCATAGAGCAGACAACAGCCGAAGGCCACCAATAGGTCTTCAATGCAGCGAGAAACTCCCGCACCCAGAGGCATCCTTCAGCTGGCCCCTAAACAAAAATATATACTAGTTCAGTGATGATGGACGTCATACTAAACTACAAATTATAAACAGGAAACTAAAATTAAATATGATACAAGACTAACAAAGGCCAGAGGCTCCTGACTTGGGACAGGCGCGAAAATGCGGCAGGGTTAAACATGTTTTTTTAGATCTCAACCCTCCCCTATACCTCTAGCCAATGTAGAAAAAACAAACGCACAACAGTACCCACAGTAAAACTCAGTATAAGAGAAGTCCGAGTCCTATGTCAGATTAGGAAACAAAAGAAAATAAACAAAATGACACTAATACATAAATAACAACAGACTACTAGCAGTTACTGAGTTTATGTTTACATTTTTTTTCAAAGAGAAGAAATGACCATATAAAGATTACTTCTAAAGTTAGTTACTACATTTATGCATGTAGTTCCTATGTGAAACATGTATGATGAATGATGCATAACATATCAGCTTCCATGCCATAGGAACAATTGACTTATTCCAATTTTCTGGATAAAATAATGATTATCATGTATTTTTTCCATTTCATGTTGAAGTGTGTATCTTTTTTCAGTATCATTGGCTTAAGTCTTCACTAAGGTATTTATACATGACTATTGCATGGTCCCAGCTTCAATTGAGAGATTTTTGAAGACAAACCAATACATTTGTACCAAAATATTTCCCCTTAATTACTGCATCAATGCATTTTTCTTATTTGAAAAATACTAACATCTTAACTCTATTTTCATCAAATCAATGTTTAAGGTTTCCACCATGTTATTTAAATTCATCACGTCTTTATTAAACATAAACCATCATATTGAGGTGAGAAGTGTATTGAGTTGTGTTTTAAAATATGCATCTCTTCATTGACATAGACAGGAAGTAATCTCAGTAAAAATTTACTGTACACACTAAATTTTGCAAGTGTAAAGTTTGGTAGTTCATCAATTAAGATTGACTTGAATGAGGAAGAGTTTCAAATTAAAACTTTGCCTTTGTCTTTGTTTGTTGATCATGACAGATGTCAATCTTAATGGTAATGTATCAGTATACTTACTTAATAACAATGACCAAACAAGCAATAAAACTAATGACATACATACTTGGGTATAACTGCTCTAAAGATATACCCCAAATTTTTCACAGTTCATTCATTCATATTTATGCTTCAGATGCATAGAATAAATAAAGCGGAAAATGTTAATTTTTTTACGTAGACATTTGAAGTCTTGGAAACTACATTTCAGTTATGTATATTCAGTGGCAAAGGTGGCTACATCCTAGTTTGTCTGGATGTTGCTATAGAAAGAAATAGAAACGGTTTCCAATTTTTCCAAAAATAGAAATTTTACGGTAACTTGAAGGAGCAAATAATGGAAAAGTTAACTGACCAATTAACTGTTGTTTACCCATTCTTTTCTGTTAACTAATAGTAAATCAATAGGGAGTAACACAAAAACAAAAAAGTCAAATTGCATAGAAAGTGTTTAATGTAAATCAAAACCTTTTTAACTTACACTAAAACAAATGAATATATTAAATATCATGTCCAGATATGTCAAGTACAAAATTATGTCTATTTTCTATGACAATCTTCTCCTTCAAAATCAAAAATGTAAATCTACTCTACTGAAGGACATTAATATGTTAATTGTAATAATCTTTTGTCAAATTACCTACAAAGTTTCCAATGAAAGAATTTTCTGCCAAGGGAAACAATTCCTAGGTAGGACAAACTGTATCCCTGCATATACAATCTATACAGAAACAGCATGTTTTGATGGTTTTGATGCATGTAAGCTTTTATGATCTTTCTTAAGATAATCATCTATTTTACATTCCCATTTTAACTTGAAATGTTTAATGCAATTAGGAAGCAAATAGTTACCAAAGGTATCAGGCTTATAATTTAATACGCCAGACACGCGTTTCGTCTACATAAGACTCATCAGTGACACTCAGATCAAAATAGTAATAAAACCAAACAAGTATCAAGTTGAAGAGTATTGAGGACCCAAAATTCAAAAAAGTTGTGCAAAATACGGCTAAGGTAATCTATGCCTGGGATAAGAAAATCCTTAGTATTTCGAATAATTCATACTTTTCCAAACAGTTAATTTATAAAAATTACCATATAATTGATATTCATGTCAACACCGAAGTGCTGACTACTGGGCTGGTCAAAAGTTATCTTCAGATCCCACTCATTACAACTTGCTCTTTCCACCTGTTTGGAAAATGGTATGCAGGGATGCAGTTTGTCCTTTAAAGGTTTTGTTTCCTCTTGCAAGTTTTTTATCATAAAAAATTAAAAACAAAGTTGATAATTTGAAAATGAATTACTAGTTTATAGTCCAACTGTGAACATTGATGGAGATTATATCTTAAATTTTATTCTACAGACTATAATTGAGCTAATAACTACCTTTAATTGAAACTTTAATAACTATGGTTGAAAAATCATTAATGCATAATTTTACTAGGTAATTTTATGTGAATAAATTTTGTTAACATAAAAATGTGGTTTGTTTGATGAATTAAAAATATCATTTACTTAAACTGACATTCAATTTTAAAACCATTGAGAAAAACACCCATCAAACTTGTTTATCATAGTAAATTAAATGTGAAAAATCTCTTTAAGTGGTGTGTTTCTTCAAATTCTAATTTTCTTAGATCATGTACCCTAGTTTGCAATAAAATTACAATGCTACCATAGAAACCACATCTCATATAATTTTAATCATTAAATGCAGGCCATTTAAACTGAAATGTTCTGTCATCATCCTGTTTTTTAAACTATGGTGCAAACTTGAGGACAGATCTTGCATTTATTATTACTTTTATTTACTAAGTTTCCACTTTCATCCATTTCTGGTATATAGGTCGTACTGGTAAGAAATATTAGGACTGAAAACATGGTTTACTGAAATAAGTATAATATAATATATTTTCAATTAGGAGATACAGACTGGTATATCCTTTACAGGTACTCATTACATTTTGTCCTGAAGCGGATTTAAAACACAGCAGGTATATTGCCTGTAGCGCCAGATAACACTATCAACCACTTGTGTATTTGAATTCTTATTTTCAGTTACACAATTAATCACCTGAGTAAAACTTAAAGCTTTCTGTTTTCTTTTGATATCTGGAAGCACATTACGATTTCTTTTTAATAATTCTGAACTACTAACTTAATTGATTAATTTGACAAGAGTTATTTGTAACTACATGTACATGAATTCATTAGGAAAAAAAAAGGTATTACACATATTTTGTTTACAAATAAAGAATGCATTGAGGTCTTTAAAATATAACCGAATATTTCACTAAATTAGTGAAATTAAACTGAACATTAAAATAAATACATTTTTAGTTTTTAAACAAAAGAAGAAAAGACATATATTACTGGAAATGTTCCAGACTGCAAACTTATAAAAAAACATGTCATTACACCTTATTAATTCCATGTACCACTATCCTATTTTACAATCCACATCAATTTGATAATTTGACAGGCATCAATATAACAGTTAAATCTTCCTTCAGTTAAAGAACCTTTTCTTTAAAGAGTAATGTATTAGCAAGTATAAAATTATTATGCTTCTAGAGTTGGTTAACAGTTTCAGTATTATTGGGCTGCATAAATTCATTTTTTCAATGCAGAAAATTGTGCATCCGACATTCTGTAAACCATAAAGCATTAGACATATCTGGACAACTGTGAATAAGAAAAATAGGAAACTGATAGAAACTGAAGCTCTGCGAACCTAAAATAAATAACCTAAAATAAAACTCCAACTAAACAATTGTCTGCAATAACTGGACACATCTAGCCATCTTACTTTATTCATTGAAAAGGTTTTTTCCAGATAACATTTTTTTCAAATGTTTGTACTCTGGGTAATTTAAGTGGCTTATATTCTTATATTAGGCTTTTACATTAAAATATCCAGTAGCCATGGACTATGATCAAAATTGATATGTTGAAAAATATGAGATATTAATAAGCAAAAAAACATATGTCAATGAAATAGATTTATGGAAGTAAAGAGTTAAAATTATTCAGTTTCATATTTTTCTCAAACACTGTAAAACAGTTCAGAATTGCCCATTCCATAAAATGTAAAGGAAAATCTTCAAAACAAAGTATAATATAGTCATAATAAACCACATACACATTCATACTTATTCATCACATTCATTTGTTCATTTATCTCAATCACATCAAGCATATAAATAAATTAAAACAAAAGTATTTTTTCCCACATACCATGAAATTTTGAAACTTTGAGCATGTGATTTTAAGTTCACTTTGTTCAAATTTTGTTAGATATTTTCACTATGTCTTACATAAAATGCCTTTAATTGAATGAAAAGTTATCCCCTACCAACACTCATTTATTTATATCGAAGAAAATCTTTTTTATATTGTAAAATTTGAAAACAACCATATTGCTGATTTCATTGCATGTTGTTTTTATTTGGCACATGATGTATATACAGCTAATCCTCACAAATTATGGAGAGAAAACATGCCACATACCAAACAATTACTATTCTTTACAGAAAAAATTCACAGATGCAGAAATCTATAAATTTTTCATATCTTAAAGAAATGACCGAATATGGTTTCTACTGTTGGGGTTTGGTATGAATGTTCTTGTTTGACCAACTACCGAATTCTTATAACAACATAAACTTTAAAGTTTGGTAGCACATTAGGAATACATGATAAAATATAAACAAGAGACTAGAGTTCATTAGACCATAAAGAAAAGTTTTTCTTATATACAATTTTTTTATGACATAATGCAATCATTGTCAAACAATGTGGATTTCATCTGATTACTTGTGTGAATATAGTGCAAGATTCAAATTTATACCATAGCCATTTGTGTCTATTATATAATATATCTCAAGTCATATAAAATACTTTTTATTTGACATGGACTTGTTCACATTATGACAAAGGCTGTTCCATAAAAATATATATTGTTTATTTGAAACTGCTACATTTTAGTTACAAACAAATATAGGGGAATTCTCCTACATCTTGGTATGGTTACATTTTAATGTTTGAAACACAAGGCTTGTTGAGCCCTATAAAGTTTATAAAGAGTTATCAACAGGTTTAGAGTAGCATAAATTGTCTAGAAATAAACATACTTTGAGTACATATTATCATCAATATATATATATAGTTCTTAGGATCAGTAAAAATGCTTCAACTATACCATATATACATTTCTTGGGAACAGCCTAAAGTATATTGAAGAGGATTACATAAACAAAAGCAAAATAAGTCTTTAAATAATAAACGGAAAAAAATGATATGCATTTTGATAAAAGTATATTTTATGCAGTAATTCAATGTGAATGTAATTCTATAAGCAAATCAAAGAAATATTTTAACAATTATCTATTCTCTTATTTCTACATTAAAATAAAATTGATCTACTTTTTTCTCAAAAATATAAGATGTATCAGAGATACTACATATAAAAACATGTGAATTTTCATTATAAATAATAAAACAAATATTCTACACCTTAAAAAATAAATAACTATGACAAGTTCTGAATATCATATATTAGTACTCTCAATCATCATCTACAGGAGTTTGTAAACTGTACACAAAAGTATATATTTCATGTACAGTATTAGATGAGCCTATAGATGTGCTACTAACAATTATTAACTTTCAACAAAATTTTGGCATACATATATACACTTTTCTCAATTTTTACATACACAATATGAAAGACAATTTTAAAATTTCTATCTTGCAAACCATATCAAAACTTTTATTAATATATTTATGCATAACTCCATCATGCAGCATTTGTTAAAGTGTAGAATCTCTAAACTTAAATAAAGCCATGTTAAAGGTTCTTATAAAACAACTGTTTAAGAAAAAAGTAATATTCCCCCTTCAAAATGTAAAGACAGTGAACATTATAGATATAATATAAAGATATGTGTATGTCCCACATAAAACATTTTATGAATAGCATAAAGTCAAAGATACACATAATTTCTTATTAGGTAAGGTTAACTATGTATCACACTAATTCTACCCAAGGCTGTCTGTGTGTCATCTTTGGTGAGTGGTATGTTTAAATATATGTAACCATTAGAATATGAGAAAAATCCTATTTTTTTTCTATAGAGTGTTTCCAGATATGCAGATTGTTTCTATGGAGAATGTTAAGAAAGGAATTTGTTTCAATGATCATTTTCGAGAAAGGATATTTGTTTCTAAGGAGTATTTTGAGAAAGTCATATTTGTTTCTATAGAGTGTGTTGAGAAAGGAAATTTGTTTCTATGGAATGTGTCGATAAAATTAAATTTGAATCTGAAGAGAGAGTTGAGAAAGGCAAATATGTGTTATGGAAATTTATCCTCTTTTGCCAAATGACTTTCTCAGACACACATATAAAAAGTAAATAGAGCAGCCATAAAAACATAAATATTTCCTTCTTGAATGTATAAAACTCCTTTCTTAGCTTTTCATTATTAATAACAAGATGAAGAAAAAAGCAAATACAAGCATTTAACAATAACTTAATACTTATTATCATTTCTATACAAGTAAATGAAGAGTATTTAATGAAATAACCCAACACTGGAATGGATTTTGTATCAATGGGATTGTATAGTTTGTTCCCTGTCCTGGATTTCTCATCCCTTGGAGAATGAGATCTGGGAATGTTGAGAATTCTCCTCCGTCCATATCACAGTTGTCTATTGAATCATGTCCTAAAATTAGTCAAATTTACATCTCAGTTATTTCAAATTTCTTCAGTGCTGACTATAATTTTAAATGGCAGAAATCCTAATCAACATGAAACAGAAGTGAAATAGCAAATGATTTTCTTCTACATAAAAACTTTGCATTAAAAAATTCTGCAATTATTACCATTCTATTGAAAAATAAACAGCTGCGCCATGAGCGCATGATACGCCCATCGTCTTGTGTGTGAATTTTTATGCAATAAGCATAAATAGTTTCTGACATACAGCGTGACATGCGAAAACAGAAAACAAAAAACTCAATATCTCTAAAATAAAATTTTGAATCAAAACCAAAAAGTATACAGATCTTTAGATTAATATAACTAAGAAGTGTGTAAAATTTTAAGCAATAATCATAAATTGTTTTAGAGATACGGCGCGACATGTGAAAAACCCCTCCCCCTTTTTTTTATAAAATACTCAATAACTCAAAAATAAAATTTTGAATCATCACCAAAAAGTATACAGATCTTAAGGTTAATATAACTAAGAAGTGTGTAAAGTTTTAAGCAATAATCATAAACTGTTTTTGAGATACGGCGCGACATGTGAAAAACCCCTCCCCTTTTTTAACAAAATACTCAATATCTCTAAAATAAAATTTTGAATCATCACCAAAAAGTATACAGATCTTAAGATTAATATAACTAAGAAGTGAATAAAGTTTTAAGCAATAGTCATAAATTGTTTTTGAGATACAGCGCAACATGTGAAAAAAAACACACACCTGTTTTAGTTACTAAGTCCCGTAACTCAAAAAGTTTTAATCTTATTTTCACCAAAAAGTATACAGATCGTTTGACCATCATAAGAAACAACTATATTAAGTTTAATGAAATTTGGATAAGTCATTCTCAAGTTACGGTGCGACATGTTTACGCCAGACAGACGGACAGACAGATGGACGTACACCGGACATTTGTATACCATAATACGTCCCGTCTTTGAGATACGGCGCGACATGTGAAAAACCCCTCCCCCTTTTTTAACAAAATACTCAATATCTCTAAAATAAAATTTTGAATCATCACCAAAAAGTATACAGATCTTAAGATTAATATAACTAAGAAGTGTGTAAAGTTTTAAGCAATAATCATAAATTGATTTTGAGATACAGCGCGACATGTGAAAAAAAACACACACCTGTTTTAGTTACTAAGTCCCGTAACTCAAAAAGTTTTAATCTTATTTTCACCAAAAAGTATACAGATCGTTTGACCATCATAAGAAACAACTATATTAAGTTTCATGAAATTTGGATAAATCATTCTCAAGTTACGGTGCGACATGTTTACGCCCCACAGACAGACAGACAGACGGACGAACGACGGACATTTGTATACCATAATAAGTCCCGTCAAAAATTGACGGGCATATAAAAAACCAAATATGTTTATTCATATGACAATAATAATTATTATTCTTTTTCATTTAGCAAATGAAAGTCAAACGAATGCCTAGTTTGAAATAGTCATGCTTTAAAATGTGGTGTATGTGTATGTGTATGTGTTGTGAGTTGAACCTATTTGAAGCAAATAGTCAATTTATTGTGTATTTTGTGTGTTTACTCACCACATCAGAATCATCATGGTATGATTGTACATCACTTTTAAACTGATTTTTCCTTGATGGTCTCTGTTCCTTTGGTACATGTGATCCACCATTACTGGCCGTATCATTCTGTTTCTTCACAGCAGGGGAATTCAATTCCTAAAAAAAAAGTCTAAATAAAATTTTCCATCTTCAGTGTCAATCCTTGCATTATAATATTATTAGTTTTATGAGAATTCATATTATTTACTTGATACATTTTTTTACAAATTCACCACTCTAAAAATCCAAGAAGGTTTATGAATCTAATAAATGTTCTAAAAACTTTAACTGCAGACTGTACGTAATGTTAACTTGAATAAAACTAAGTCCATTTATAAGTAATATACAGAAAAACAGGAAATAAATTTTTACAAAATTTCCTTCTGGATACTAGCTTTTGATCACAAACAAGCTTTTGTCCAAGTTTGGTACAAATCCAGGATTGTTTAAGAAAGTTATTAAAGTTTTGAAAGCTTTAACCACCGAGTGAATGAAATGTTAACTGGCAGAAAAACTAAGTCCATTTATAAGTAAAATACGGATAAACAGGATTTTTTTTTTTAAACAAAATTTACTTTTGAATGCTATCTTATGATCACAAAAAATCTTCTGTCCAAGTGTGGTACAAATCCAGGATAGTTTAAGAAAGTTATTAAAATTTGAAAAACTTTAACCACAGAGTGAATGTTATGTTAACTGGCAGAAAAACTAAGTCCATACATGAGTAAAATACGGATAAACAGGATTTTTATTTTTACAAAATTTTCTTCTGGATACTATCTTATGATTATAAACAAGCTTCTGTCCAAGTTTGGTTGAAATGCAGGATAGTTTAAGAAAGTTATTAAAATTTCAAAAACTTTAACCACAGAGTGAATATTTGTGGACGCCGCCACGCCGACGGAATGTAGGATCGCTATGTCTCGCTTTTGCAACAAAAGTCGCAGGCTCGACAAAAACCATCGATAATCTATAAATATCAAATAATTCTTTGATAGTGTCGACTGTGTTTTAGATAAGAAAGCATCTGTCAAGATGAAAAACAGCAAAAAATGCCATAGGTATTTCCCAGAATTCCATTTATCATGTATTCCTTCTTTAACCATACTATACCTCATCATCTGAAGAATCGTGATATAATCCTGCTTTGGTTAATGCATTTTCTAATTCATCATCGTAACTTACACCATCATTTTGGTTTAGTAATGAATATCTATAGGTCACATTACTGAAAAAAAAAAAATAATAACAAATTATTTTTTACAGCAGTGAAATGCAGTTTTTCTCCATTAAATAAAACAAATTTGTAATAAAATGATCTTTTACCAGTGATCATATACTGCTTCAGAAAATGTTATTTGCTTTCTAAGTAGAATAATTTTTGGTGAATGTTATAATCAAATAATTCATCAATAATAATAATAATATAATAATAATTCTTTATCTAAAGAGGGTTACACTGCAGTTAGCTTTATCACTAATCTTCCCTGAGGCCCTCATGAAATGCAATGAAATATAACAAACAAACAATTTACAAAATAATCAAACTAACACACACATATAAGAAAAATCAAATAAGAAACTGTTATGAATTTTCAAAATAGGTAAAAATTATGAATTCATATAGTATTGGCATCAATAACACATTGGAAAGCGTTGAATAGGGTACTATTTATTCATCAAATACCATGTTTGCTTGATGATTTTAATGATTTATGTAACTGTCATGGTGATTAGTGTTTTCTTGGTAACCGGAGTAACAGATGTGAATTCCTGATATGTGGTAAAAAGCTGATAAATCTCACATTCGAATAGATTAAGTGAATGTTTTTTTACAATAATGTTTACAGACTGGAGTAAGGTATGCAGGAAGATGTTGATCAACTTAGATCGCTTACAATTATAAGTAAAAATGAAATTCACAAAATACTGACAGAACAACAAATCATCTTAGCAACACAATTTTTTTACATTCTTTTTTTTTTCGTTTCAAGTTTTTACCTGGGATTCCATGAAATACATAAATTTTGTTTGCTTGTTAATGTACACATTATACTTACTGTTTACGTAATATGATATATTTATAAACAAAAAATCCAACCATAATTGTTACTATTAAAGCAACAATCACAAACACAGCTACTATAGCACTGGCATTGTGAGATTTCTGAAAGAACAACATAAAATATAGTAAACTAATCTAAATCTTTCATAAATAAATTTTATTAATATTACTTTAACTCACAAATCCCACAAAGGAAAAACACAAGAGTTTCTGAGAAGCCTGTAAGACTCAACTCATAAATGTTACACATGTTCAATCTCACATTGATTCAAAAAAGTGATAAAATCTCTAAATGGAATGTACCAGTCATGATTGACAGCAACATGAGTTGTCACCTATAATGCTTGCCAGAAATAAAAGTCTGGTAGTGCATAGCATTTTTTAGGACATATTCTTGAGGTTCTATTTGGATAAAGATGGTACTTTTTTAATGTCTACACATTTATTCCTAAGAGCAAAGTCAACGTTTTATATTGCAAACTTGAGCAATGGCAAAACCTGTTTTCTGGATTTTTTAGTTTTTTTGATTGTTTTTATTTTTTATAGGGAGGTATTTATAATAAAACTACTTTTTCACAATATATTTTGCCTAGTGAAATTTTCTGAATTTTTATATTCAAATACTTTTCATCACACTTCAATATTATACCTAAGATATGAAGCATAGGTAACATTTCTCATTACATCTTACCATATGTTTATGATTTCATAAAGTAAATTATGACAAAATATTGTTTTGTTTTATGACTTGTCAGTAAAGATTGAACAATGCATGTTGATATTCAATTAACATATAAAGATGTCTCTTATGGTTGTGGCCTGTTATCTATTTCTTGCATGAATAGATATTCCTCGTATTACACTGCATGGAGTGTGATACAAAAAAGTGATATGAAAATCTGCATTAATTTGATTGGCTTATCCAGCATCATAAGACGATATTACGGCATTTCCATTGGCTATTCGTTAGTTCATTGATGACTTTCAAAGGTTAAGACGATGTACATTTCGTCCATGGCAATGGACATATGTGATTTCTTCAATAATATATAAAACAGTCACACTTTTCACCTTGCAATCTTCTTTTTGTCAAATTTTATTACAATCTGAAGGGTACAAAAAGTTTTAAAATGTCTGATGTTAAAGTTTGACACCGGAAAAGGACATATGACGTCATACTGGCATGTGCAACAGACTAGATCAACGATTCGCACAAATTTTAATTTAACACAATGACAGTGTTGACCATAAGAGAAATAGGTTTAACAACTTGTAAGAATCGGATATCGCTTGATATCAACTCACGTTATTTAATTTAAATAGTAATAATAAACTCGCCGAAAGGCTCGTTCATTATTATATTGAAATTAAATAATTCAAGTTGATATCAAGCGATATCCTATTCTCACTCATTATGAAACCTATAATTATCAGTAACAAACTGTTTATATATATTCACAATTAACAGTTATTGTACATTAATTAAAGTAGATTTAATTAATATCATAAGTTGAGTCTGAAATGATTTTGTTTATATTACTTTATTTTCTTCAAATTATTTTTACTGTTTAATACATGCATATTATTACATAGGTTGCAATGAATTACCGTGATTTCCCAGTGAAATAAAAACCTGATGTCATACAACAATGGGTGTAGTCAAGACGTTGTCAAAGACTCCTTCATTACAATAGAAAATGTGTAAAAAAAATAGAGTTCCTTTCATTTTTGACTTTACTTCCATTAAAAAAGTCAATGGTCATTTTAATAAAAAGAATAACTAATCCAAGAATTAAAATATTGAAAAATATTCATCTTGTGACCAAACAACACTGATAATAAACTCATGTGCTATGAACTTTCGTGAATTTATGTGTTGTTCGGTCACTTGTTTAATATTTTTCTACATTTGAATACTTGGATTACTGTCTTTTGGTATGTATAGTGTGCACATTTATACCCTGAATCATGTTTCTTGTAAGAGGGGTGTGCGTTATACATGCCTACAGACATTTTCTTAGTCTTTTTTCAGGTCCAAACTCCGACAAAGAAATTTCCAGGAGAAGTGAAGAGTATGGAATATTTTTGCTAAAACCTCGATTGTTTTTATGATTTACATGTTATATTTGTAATATGTATTTTACTGTTCTTGATTTGTCATGTTTTATTCAAATAAAATACATTTTATATACATTTATCGTGTAAATTTGTCCATCTGTTTGCAATCCGGAAATTTGCCATGTCTTAATAAAGACACAATAAAGCTTTTGTTGTCGGTTAAATTAGCCTCTGTGTTCCTTGTTGTCATAACTTACTGTTTTTGTATGTGTTCATCATGGAGAGTAGAAGAAAAGTGTATGAAAATTGAATAAACCACGCTCATTTTGAAAAGATAAACCACCATTTTTTTCTTATGTATCAGGTGATTGCCAGTTATGTGGGTCAGTCATGTGACTTGATATTGTAAAGTGATGATCTAGTCTATGAGAAGTTTATTTTTATAAATACGTTTCTACTTTGTAACATTTAAACAACTGTTTAAAACCGTTCAAGAAGAAATTATGATCGAAAACATGATAATCCCATAATTGTAACCTGAACGAATTTAATTAGGAACAAGGTGAACCTGTCACTGATTTGTTCTGACATCGATTAGACCCGTTGATTGAGGTGTGATAATCCGGATTAACAGCTAGAATCAACCAACAAAAAATAAAAATAATGAGATTTTAACAATTTATTACAGCACTAATGATGTTAATGATAATCATTTGACTGATTCGTCATTATGTTATTGTTTCAATCAGAACATTAATTTGGATATTTATCTTGTCCTTGATACTCAAACAATTTATTAAATTTGGTTTAAAAAAAACAAACTTAAATGTAGATTTATCTCAATCTAATAAAATTCTTATTCATTTGTCAGAATATTTGCAATTTCATATTAATTACGTATTCCGTACGGAATTCTCCGACATCGGTGTCCATTTAAAAAAACTTCCTGTTTACCAATAGACTTCCTGTTTGCCGATTTTGAAGCTGTAACTTTTCCGAAAATGTCTATGAGTCTTATACAAACAATAAACTTTTTTTCTCACGTTTCTTGGACCATAAAGGGGGTGTGCGCACTATACATCCCAAAAGACGGTAGTTATTCTATAAACATCTTTCTTGTTTTTTGCATTATACTGTATGTAGATATAAGAAGATGTGGTATGAGTGCCAATGAGACAACTCTCCATCCAAGTCAAAATTTATAAAAGTAAACCATTAAGGTCAAAGTACGGTCTTCAAACTGGAAAACCAACGGTCTAATCTATATAAAAAACAAGAAACGAGAAACACTTATGAACCACATCAACAAACGACAACTACTGAACATCAGATTCCTGACTAAGGACAGGTGTATGTTTATTGTCTGCAATATCATGTTTCAGCATTAGTGTTACATTGGACTGTTCTCTTTCAAATATTTGCCACAGTTTTATTTTTATCTTCAAAATATCACCACAAAAAAAGCCCCAAAACCAAAGAAAAAAAAACACTGATGAAACAATTCCCTGATGTACAGTAATGAAATATCCTTACCTTTGTTTCTTGCGGTACTTCTTCCACCTGTATTTGACCCTCGTGTTTTGACGCACACTTTTCACCTAAATTTATCAGTTTTCCTTTAGGTGAAAATCCTCCTACACATTTATCATTCGGTATTTTTCTATATCTGTGAAAAAACAAAATAACACATTGTATTACACTTCTGTAAACAATATAACCCATGCTTCCTGCCACATAGGCTGGCCTGGATTTCTATATATTGAGTAGTCCATCTTCTTCCTTCACAACTTTTTACTATGGAAAATGTGGCACTGTCTCACAGAAAATTCTCTTATGGTTGTGACCTGCTATCTATTTTTTGCATGATGAGATATTAAAAAGTGATACTAAAACTGTGTTAATTTGATTGGCTTATCCAGCATCATGAGACTATATTATGACATTTCCATTGGCTATTCATTAGGTCATTGATGACTTCCAAAGGTTAAGACAATGTTCATAAAGTTTGACGCCGGAACAGAACATATGATGTCATATATGTCTGTGCAAAAGACTAGATCAAAGATTCACAGAATTTTTAATTTAACATAATGAGAGTATTGACCATAAGAGAAATAGGTTTAAAAACTCGTGAGAATTGGATATCGCTTAATATCAATTCTCGTTATTTAATCTAAATAGTAATGATAAACTTGCACAATGCTTGTTTATTATTATATTGAAATCAAATATCTTGAGTTGAATACAAGTGATATCCAATTCTCACTCGTTATGAAACCTATAAGTAACAATTGATATTGTCCTATTCATTATATGATGTAAGTTTCAGATAAAATTTACCTTTATGCTAATGAGGGGGAGACCATACTATATGATGTCAAAGTTATCAGTATTTGACAGAACCACAAGAGGACCACACTATAGAAATACATGAAAAGCACCTTTGGCATCCATTACAGGATATTATAGATATTCAAAGAATACTTTGATAAAATATTTTGATGTTATTACTCAAAAGTAATTGCTCTCATGGCAAAAAATAATCTTGTTAGAAAGAATTACACCTTTCAATAAAATGCGACTGGGTTAGTATCGCAATTTTATAAGAACTCACATCTTGATATCTGATACATATATCTGTATGCAGCTTTCCCCAAATGGCAATAACTAATCTTGCATTTTTGTCCATTCTTTATAAATAGCATTAATAAATGCGTGCAATACTTTCTGAATTAACAGTATAAGGCAAACTAAAAGTTGCTTACATCCACACTATTTGGACATTATCCATACAGTGTCTTTCTAATATTCATTTTTTGGTTTAACAGAGGGACAGACAGACCTATTTCAGGACATCAGGATTGAGTTGTTTAAATTTTTAGGAATTTGGGTTATAGCCAACTGAATTGTCAGAAATTCAGGATTTAATGAAAGAAACTTAGTGAGCGCGCTCACATACCCCACGTCCCCACATTGTCATTGGAGAAATAAAATAAGTGTAAGAAAAAATAAAATGCTCCGCAGGGCGCAGCTTGATACGACCGCAGAGGTCGAACCCTGAACAGTTGGGGCAAGTATGGACACAACATTCAAGCTTGATACAGCTCTGAATTTGGATTGTGATTAAATATTTGACACAGCATAGGTTTCTGACACAGAATGAATGTGGTCTAAGAACTTAAAAATTTTAAATTGGACATTCACCTATTATGGTCCAATATCCAAAATCTAAATACATGGTTAGATTCAGCATATCAAAGAACCCCAAGAATTCAATTTTTGATGAAATCAAACAAAGTTTAATTTTGGACCCTTTTGATCTCAATGTGGACAAAAATGATAACAGGGCCCAAAAATCAAAAATCTAAATACATGGTTAGATTCAGCATATCAAAGAACCCCATATATTCAATTTTTGTTGAAATCAAACAAAGTTTAATTTTGGACCCCGATTTGGACCAACTTGAAAACTGGGCCCATAATCAAAAATCTAAATACATGTTTAGATTCAGCATATCAAAGAACCCTAAAAATTCAATTTTTGTTAAAATCAAACTAAGTTTAATTTTGGACCCTTTGGACCTTTATGTAGACCAATTTGAAAACGGAACCAAAAATTAAGAATCTAAATACACGGTTAGATTTGGCATATCAAAGAACCCCAATAATTCAATTTTTGATGAAAACAAACAAAGTTAAATTTTGGACCCTTTGGACTTCAATGTGGACCAATTTAAAAACGGGGCCCAAAATCCAAAAACTTAATACACGGTTAGATTCAGCATATTACAGAACCCCATATATTCAATTTTTGTTGAAATCAAACAAAGTTTAATTTTGGACCCCGATTTGGACCAACTTGAAAACTGGGCCCATAATCAAAAATCTAAATACATGGTTAGATTCAGCATATCAAAGAACCCCATATATTCAATTTTTGTTGAAATCAAACAAAGTTTAATTTTGGACCCCGATTTGGACCAACTTGAAAACTGGGCCCATAATCAAAAATCTAAATACATGGTTAGATTCAGCATATCAAAGAACCCCATATATTCAATTTTTGATGAAATCAAACAAAGTTTAATTTTGGACCCTTTTGATCTCAATGTGGACCAATTTAAAAACGGGGCCCAAAATCCAAAAACTTAATACACGGTTAGATTCAGCATATTACAGAACCCCATATATTCAATTTTTGTTGAAATCAAACAAAGTTTAATTTTGGACCCCGATTTGGACCAACTTGAAAACTGGGTCCATAATCAAAAATCTAAATACATGGTTAGATTCAGCATATCAAAGAACCCCATATATTCAATTTTTGTTGAAATCAAACAAAGTTTAATTTTGGACCCCGATTTGGACCAACTTGAAAACTGGGCCCATAATCAAAAATCTAAATACATGGTTAGATTCAGCATATCAAAGAACCCCATGTATTCAATTTTTGATGAAATCAAACAAAGTTTAATTTTGGACCCTTTGGACTTCAATGTGGACCAATTTAAAAACGGGGCCTAAAATCCAAAAACTTAATACACGGTTAGATTCAGCATATTACAGAACCCCATATATTCAATTTTTGTTGAAATCAAACAAAGTTTAATTTTGGACCCCGATTTGGACCAACTTGAAAACTGGGCCCATAATCAAAAATCTAAATACATGGTTAGATTCAGCATATCAAAGAACCCCATATATTCAATTTTTGTTGAAATCAAACAAAGTTTAATTTTGGACCCCGATTTGGACCAACTTGAAAACTGGGCCCATAATCAAAAATCTAAATACATGGTTAGATTCAGCATATCAAAGAACCCCATATATTCAATTTTTGATGAAATCAAACAAAGTTTAATTTTGGACCCTTTTGATCTCAATGTGGACAAAGTTGATAACGGGGCCCAACAATCAAAAATCTAAATACATAGTTAGATTCAGCATATCAAAGAACCCCATATATTCAATTTTTGATGAAATCAAACAAAGTTTAATTTTGGACCCCGATTTGGACCAACTTGAAAACTGGGCCCATAATCAAAAATCTAAATACATGGTTAGATTCAGCATATCAAAGAACCCCATATATTCAATTTTTGTTGAAATCAAACAAAGTTTAATTTTGGACCCCGATTTGGACCAACTTGAAAACTGGGCCCATAATAAAAAATCTAAATACATGGTTAGATTCAGCATATCAAAGAACCCCATATATTCAATTTTTGTTGAAATCAAACAAAGTTTAATTTTGGACCCTTTGGACCTTTATGTAGACCAATTTGAAAACAGAACCAAAAATTAAGAATCTAAATACACGGTTAGATTCAGCATATCAAAGAACCCCAATAATTCAATTTTTGATGAAATCAAACAAAGTTAAATTTTGGACCCTTTGGACCTCAATGTGGACCAATTTAAAAACGGGGCCCAAAATCCTAAAACTAAATACACGGTTAGATTCAGCATATTAAAGAACCCCAAGAATTCAAGAATAAAACCCCATTGAAATTGATCAAGAAATAAGCAATTTATACGAAGTATCTTCTTTTGCACAATACTGTGCAATTGATTATTTCTTGCTATTGCGCAATACTGTACAATTGACAATTTCTTGCTATTGCGCAATATTGTGCTATTGGATATTTCTTGCTATTGCGCAATACTGTGCAATTGAAGATTTCTTGCTATTGCGCAATACTGTGCAATTGAAGATTTCTTGCTATTGTGCAATACTGTGCAATTGAAAATTTCTTGCTATTGCACAATACTTATTATATAATAATTTACACATCCTGTTTGGTGTGTATCTCCTACCATATCATTATTATTTGCTTTTAAATATAAATCAGAAATAACCAACTTAAAATTTTAAATTTTAAAAGAAAAAAAAAAGGAAAAAAAGAAAAAAAAAAGAAAAAAAAAAATCCCCCCCCAAAATTTTTTGAACCCCCTTATGATTCATCACCCCCAAACTCAATCTCAGCCTTCCCTTTGTGGTATGGTACCTTGCAGTACAATTTCAGAGAGATCCATACACTTGAACACAAGTTATTGTCTGGAAACTAGAAAAATGCTTATTTTTGGCCCCTTTTTGGCCCCCAATTCCTAAACGTTTCGGGCAATTACCCCCAAACTCAATTCCAGCTTTCCCTTTGTGATATGGAACCTTGTAGTACAATTTCAGAAATATCCAAACACTTACACACAAGTTATTGTCATGAAACTAGAAAAATGCTTGTTTTTTGCCCCTTTTTTGGCCCCTAATTCCTAACATTTTGAGGCAATTACCCCCAAAATCAATTACAGCCTTCCCTTTGTGATATGGAACCTTGTGGTACAATGTCAGAGAGATCCATACACTTACACACAAGTTATTGTCTGGAAGTTACAAAAATGCTTATTTTTGGCCCCTTTTTGGCCCCTAATTCCTTAACTGTTGGTACCATAACCCCCAAAATCAATCCCAACCTTCCTTTCCTGGTATTGAACCTTATGGTTAAATTTCATGGAGATCCATTCACTTAAACTAAAGTTAGAGTGCGAAAACCAATGTGTCTTCGGACGACGAAGACGACGACGCCAACGTCATACCAATATACGACCAAAAAAATTTTAATTTTTGCGGTCGTATAAAAATTGTATCAGAAAAAAAAATTGAATCATAATTTCCTGTCAATATGCACATCTACATATTATGTCCTTATTATCTACACAGTTTCATGAAATTCTGTTGTGTGGTTTGAGAGGAGTTGCGATGACAAAAGGTTGCAGTAGTATATTGGGCAAATAAGTTCAAAGGAGCGTAACTCCTGGAAAAAAAATTGAATCGTAATTTCCTGTCGATAAGCACATCTACATAGTATGTCCTTATTATCTGAAAAGGTTTCATGAAATTCTGTTGTGTGGTTTGAGAGGAGTTGCGATGACAAAAGGTTGCAGTAGTATATTGGGCAAATAAGTTCAAAGGGGCGTAACTCCTGGAAAAAAAAATGAATCGTAATTTCCTGTCGATATGCACATCTACATATTATGTCCTTATTATCTACACAGTTTCATGAAATTCTGTTGTGTGGTTTGAGAGGAGTTGCGATGACAAAAGGTTGCAGTAGTATATTGGGCAAATAAGTTCAAAGGAGCGTAACTCCTGGAAAAAAAATTGAATCGTAATTTCCTGTCGATAAGCACATCTACATAGTATGTCCTTATTATCTGAAAAGGTTTCATGAAATTCTGTTGTGTGGTTTGAGAGGAGTTGCGATGACAAAAGGTTGCAGTAGTATATTGGGCAAATAAGTTCAAAGGGGTGTAACTCCTGGAAAAAAAATTGAATCGTAATTTCCTGTCGATATGCACATCTATGTAGTATGTCCTTATTATCTGAAAAGGTTTCATGAAATTCTGTTGTGTGGTTTGAGAGGAGTTGCGATGACAAACTGTTGCAGTAGTACATTAAAGTCAATAAGTTCAAAGGGGCGTAACTCCTAGAAAAAGAATTGAATCGTAATTTCCTGTCGATATGCACAACTACATAGTATGTCCTTATTATCTAAAAAAGTTTCGTGAAACTCTGTTGTGTGGTTTGAGAGGAGTTGCGATGACAAGAAACAGGACTGACAGACTGACGGACAGACAGACGGACGGACGGACGGGTCAAAAACATTATACCCTCCGCAACTCGTTGCGTGGGGTATAATTATACTGTGATGCAGGAACGGACACATTATTTTCATATATTATTATATGTGTACCTTGTTTACTTAATTAAAATAATTCAATTTGAAGTATGCATTTATCCAATGACCATTGAAATATTTCATGCAAAACACAATAAAATATGCACATAATACCTAATAAAAAGTCTGAATATTTCATAGTTAGACATATCAAGCCATACATCAAGTATTTGAGAACTTATAAGTCTTTGATGATCTCTAGATGACTATTATGTTTTTCAAGGATTTTTGGAGGTTGCTGACTCTTGCTTCCATAAATCAACTTTAGTTAAATTAAGTTAAAATAAGGATACCTACCCTTGTGTTATAACTTGTTCTTCGTGACCTTGCTTACATACATCCACCTTAGGTAAATTAAAATTAGGCTGTTCTACACAATCATCCCTACCATCAGGTCTGTAAAACCCATAATCACTGAAATATTTTTATAATACATGCATTATTATTTTTTTGGTATTTTACAATGTTGTTTTATTTAAATCTCTTTGGCTTTTATGTATTTGTTATTGCAACCTTTTGCAGTGGTCTTGTTAACCCATTTAAAATTTCTCAGAGGATGGAATTTCAGGAAATTGCAATTTAATGTGAAGAATTGTATATTTTTCACTGCTTTTTACATACATTCTTTATATTTGTAAACCTATTTTAACATATTTTTAATCAATTTTATCTTCGCAAATATAAATGCTACATCTATACTTTTTCAATATTCAGATGCAGTTCAATTATATTCTAAGTGCATACGAAACTTCATCAAAATCCAAAATATCGCCATATTACTTTTACTTTGCATTAAAGTGCACCAACTGTAACATAATGGAAAGACTGTACATCTTGTAAGTTGTAATTACATGTAAACATACAATAGTTTTCAGTCTGTCTATTAAAGACATTCATGTTACCAGAGATTTATACCACAGATTTGTTCATAGAAACTTGACGAAATTTAATGAAATCACGAGCCCTCGAGATTATTGGTAATATTAAAGTACAATATTAAGTCTTAATATCTCAAAAATGACAAAAAATATTGAACTAATACCAGCAATACTCTGTTTAACAAGAGTGCACACGCTGAAATGTCTCGCCTGTTTTACTGACCATTGATTTTATGTTGAAAGTCTTAAAGACAAAGGTTTTACTGCAAGTATCACATAAACTAAACATTTTTAAAGATCCATGACAATGAGGTCAAGGTCAGATAAAAACTGTCACACAGACATGTACATCTTACAATTATTCCATACACCAAATATAGTTGACCCATTGCTTATGGTAATTGAAAAACAGACCAAAACACCATAAATGCTTCACCAAGCACAGCCTGATACGACCGCAGAGGTCTAACCCTGAACAGTTGGGGCAAGTTTGGACACAATATTCAAGCTTGATACTTTCTGAATTAGGATTGTGATCAAATTTTTGACATAATATAGGTTTCTGACACAAAATAAATGTGGTCAAAGATCTTAAAAATTTGAAATGGGACATTTAATTTACCTAGAATGGTCTGATATCCAAAATCTAACAACATGGTTAGATTCAGCATATAAAAAAACACAAAAAATTTAATTTTTGTTGAAATCAAACAAAGTTTAATTTTGGACCCTTCAAACCTTAATATGGACTTATTTGAAAACAGGGCCCAAAATAAAAAATCTAAATGCACAATAAGATTCAGCATATCATACAGCCGCAATATTTCAGTTTTTGATGAAATCAAACAAAGTTTAATTTTGGACCCTTTTGACCTCAATGTAGACCAATTTAAAAATGGGGCCCAATATCCAAACTAGAGGCTCTCAAGAGCCTGTGTCGCTCACCTGACTCTACTTTGGTTTTAGAAATCATGTAAAGATAGATAAAAATAATAACAGATACCCAAATAATGATTGAGGCCAAATTTTGATTAATATTGGTCCCGTTATTTAATAAAATATCCTGGTGGCCATCTTGAAGAGTAAATCGGCAACAAAGTAGCAACACTTGGTCAGCACTTCATAAGGAACATTCATGCCATGTTTGGTTTCATTCCATTCAGTTGGTACTCTAAAAGAAGACATTTGTATGTATTTCCCATAGGGTCCTATGTTAAACTAAGCCCCCCCCCCCCCCCCCCCCCCCCCTAGCGGCCATCTTGGATGATGGATCGACAGCAAAGTAACAACACTTGGTCAGCATCTCATAAAGATTCATGAAATGTTTGGTTTCATTCCATTCAGTGGTTCACTAAAAGAAGACATTTGTATGTATTTCCCATAGGTCCTTTGTTAAACTAAGTCCCCTGCTGTCGGCCATCTTGGATGATGGACCGACTGCAAAGTAACAACACTTGGTCAGCACCTCATAAGGAACATTCATGCCATGTTTGGTTTTATTCCATTCAGTGGTTCTCTAAAAGAAGACATTTGTATGTATTTCCCATAGGTTCCTATGTTAAACTAAGTCCCCCGATGGCGGCCATCTTGGATGATGGATCAGCTACAAAGTAACAACACTTGGTCAGAACCTCATAAGGAACATTCATGCCATGTTTGGTTTCATTCCATTCAGTGGTTCTCTAAAAGAAGACATTTGTATGTATTTCCCATAGGGTCCTATGTTAAACTAAGTTCCCCGATGGCGGCCATCTTGGATGATGGATCGGCTACAAAGTAACAACACATGGTCAGCACCTCATAAGGAACATTCATGCCATGTTTGGTTTTATTCCATTCAGTGGTTCTCTAAAAGAAGTCATTTGTATGCATTTCCCATAGGGTCCTATGTTAAACTAAGTCCCCCGCTGTCTGCCATCTTGGATGATGGATCGGCTACAAAGTAACAACACTTGGTGAGCACCTCATAAGGAACATTCATGCCATGTTTGGTTTCGTTCCATTCAGTGGTTCTCTAAAAGAAGTCATTTGTACGCATTTCCCATAGGGTCCTATGTTAAACTAAGTCCCCCGCTGGCGGCCATCTTGGATGATGGATCGGCTACAAAGTAACAACACTTGGTCAGCATCTCATAAGGAACATTCATGCCATGTTTGGTTTCATTCCATTCAGTGGTTCTTTAGAAGAAGTTCAAAATGTAAAAAGTTAACGCCGACGACGGACGACGCCGGACGACGGACGCCAAGTGATGAGAAAAAGTAATACTTGGTTAGAACCCCCAAAAATTAAAGACTTTAAATTAATCCCATTGAAATTGGTTAAAAGATTTGTATTTATTTTCAATTGAAGATTTCTTGCTATTGCGCAATACTGTGTAATTTAAGATTTCTTGCTATTGTGCAATACTGTGCAATTGAAGGTTTCTTGCTATTGCGCAATACTGTGTTGGTACGCAATACTGGCCAATAGAAGCTTTCCTGCTATTGCGCAATACTGTATAATTGAAAATTTCTTGCTATTGCGCAAAACTGTGCAATTGAAGATTTCTTGCTATTGCCCAATACTGTGCTATTGGGCAATACTGTGCAATTGAAGATTTCTTGCTATTGTGCAATACTGTGCTATTGGGCAATACTGTGCAATTGAAGATTTCTTGCTATTGCACAATACTGTGTTATTGCGCAATACTGTGCAATTTAAGATTTCTTGCTATTGTGCAATACTGTGCAATTGAAGATATCTTGCTATTGCGCAATACCCTGTTGTTACGCAATACTGTGCTATTGCGCAATACTGGCCAATTGAAGCTTTCCTGCTTTTGCGCAATACTGTATAATTGAAAATTTCTTGCTATTGGGCAATACTGTGACTATTGGGCAATACTGTGCAATTGAAGATTTCTTACTATTGCGCAATACTGTGCAATTGAAGATTTCTTGCTACTGCCCAATACTGTGCAATTGGAAATTTCTTGCTATTGTGCAATACTGTGCAATTGAAGATTTCTTGCTATTGCCCAATACTGTGCAGTTGAAGATTTCTTGCCATTGCCCAATACAGTTTAATTGAAGATTTATTGCTAATGCGCAATACTGTGCTATTGCTCAATACTGTGCTATTGTGCAATACTGTGCTATTGCACATTACTTTGCAATTGAAGATTTCTTACTATTGCGCAAAACTGTGCTATTGCGCAATACTGTGCAATTGAAGATTTCTTGCTATTATGCAATACTGTGCAATTGAAGATTTCTTGCTATTGCCCAATACTGTGCAATCATTTGAAATTTCAAAAATTTTGAAGAAAAATAGATATGAACCCCCCAAAAAAATTGGAAAAAAAAAATCCCCCCCAAACTTTTTGAACCTCCTCCCCCTTGGAGTAATTACCCCCAAATTAATCCTAGCCTTCCCTTTGTGGTATGGAACCTTGTAGTACAATTTTAGAGAGATTCATACACTTAAACACAAGTTGCTGTCTGGAAACTAGAAAATGCTTGTTTATGGCCCCTTTTTTGCCCCTAATTCCTGAACTGTTGGGGCAATTACTCCCAAACTCAATCCCAGCCTTCCCTTTGTGATATTGAACCTTGTGGTACAATTTCTGAGAATCTATACACTAACACACAAGTTATTGTCTGGAAACTACAACAAGAGTGCACACGCTGAAATGTCTACTATACTGACCATTGATTTTATGTTGATAGTCCTACATATCAAGTTTTACTACAAGTATCACATTAACATTTATGATCCAAGAAAATGAGGTCAAGGTCAGATAAACCAAGCCGGAAATACATGTACACCTTTAATACAATCCCTCCATACACAGAATATAAATGACCTATTGCTTATAGTATAAAAGAAACAGACCAAACCATGGAAAGTATATATATTGTTCAATGAACCATGAAAATGAAGTCAAGGTCATTTGAACCCTGCCAGACAGACATGTACACATTAAAATCATTCCAAATATAGTTGACCTATTGCTTAAGGTATCTAAGAAAAAAAGTTAACCAGGAAAACTGAACATTGACCAATCAACCATGAAAATGAGGTGAAGGTCAGATGATACCTGCCAGACAGACATATTCACCTTACAATCATTCCATACACCAAATATAGTTGACCTATTGCTTAAAGTGTACGAAAAACAGACCAAAACACAAAAACTTAACATAAGCAATGAACCATGAAAATGAGGTCAAGGTCAAATAAAACATGCCAGACTGACATGTTCATCATTAAATATTTCCATACACCAAATATAGTTAACCTACTGCATACAGTATAAGGAAAACAGACCAAAACACAAAAACTTAACATTTAGCAATGAACCTTGAAAATGAGGTCAAGGTCAAATAAAACATGCCAGACTGACATGTACATCGTAAAATATTTGCATACACCAAATATAGTTGACCTACTGCATACAGTATTAGAAAAACAGACCAAAACACAAAAACTTAACATTGAGCAATGGACCGTGAAAATGAGGTCAAGGTCAAATAAAACTTGACAGACTGACATGAACATCGTAAAATATTTCCATACACCAAATACAGTTGACCTATTGCATACAGTATTAGAAAAACAGACCAAAACACAAAAACTAAACTATGACCACTGAACCATGAAAATAAGGTCAAGGTCAGATGACACCTGCCAGTTGGACATGTACACTTTACTATCATTACATACACCAAATATAGTATATCTATTGCTTATAGTATCTCAGATATGGACTTGACCACGAAAACTTAACCTTGTTCACTGATCCATGAAATGAGGTCGAGGTCAAGTGAAAACTGTCTGACGGGCATGAGGACCTTGCAAGGTACGCACATACCAAATATAGTTATCCTATTACTTATAATAAGAGAGAATTTAACATTCCAAAAAATCTGAACTTTTTTTTCAAGTAGTCACTGAACCATGAAAATGAGGTCAAGGACATTGGACATGTGACTGACGGAAACTTCGTAACATGAGGCATCTATATACATGTACAAAGTATGAAGCATCCAGGTCTTCCACCTTCTAAAATATAAAGCTTTTAAGAAGTTAGCTAACGCCGCTGCCACCAGATCACTATCCCTATGTCGAGCTTTCTGCGACAAAAGTCGCAGGCTCGACAAAAATGCTTGTTTTTGGTCCCTTTTTGGCTCCTAATTCCTACACTGTTGGTACCATAACCACCAAAATCAATCCCAACCTTCCTTTTGTGGTATTGAACCTTCTGGAAAATTTCTTAGAGATCCATTGCCTTAAACTAAAGTTATTGTCTGGATACCAAATGTGTCTTCGGACGCTGCCACTGACGACATGATAGCAATATACGAAATGCAAATTTTTTGAGGAGGTATAAAAACTTAATGTTGACCAATGAACCATGGAAATGAGGTCAAGGTCAGATGATACTGGCTAGACAGACATGTACACCTTACAATCGTTCCATACAACAAATATAGTTGACCTATTGCTTATAGTACTTGAAAAACAGACCAAAACACAAAAACTTAACATTGACCAATGAACCATTATAATGAGGTCAAGGTCAGATGACACCAGCTAGACAGACATGTACACCTTACAATCATTCCATACACCAAATATAGTTGACCTATAGCTTACAGTACTTGTAAAACAGACAAAAACTTAACAATGACCAATGAACCCTGAAAATGAGGTCAAGGTCAGATGAAAACTGCCAGTTTGACATGGACTCCTTACAATCATTCCATACACCACATATAGTTGACCTATTGCTTCTAGTATCTGAGAAACGGACCTAATCACGTGACTTTAACCTTGATCACTGATCCATGAATTGCGGTCAAGGTCAGGTTAACCCTGTCTGACGGACATGTAGACGTTGCAAGGAACCCATATACCAATTATAGTTATCCTATTATGTGTACTCATAATAAGTGAGAAATTCACATGACAAAAAAATTAAAATTTTTGTTCAAGCAGTCACTGAACCATGAAAATGAGGTCAAGGACAATGGACGGAAACTTCGTAACATAAGGTATCTGCTTACAAGGTATGAAGCTTCCAGGTCTTCTACCTTCTGAAACATAAAGTTTTATACAAATAGTTTACGCCGCTGCCACCGCCTGATAGTAATTCCTATGTCTCGCATACTGTGACTTTCATCACAGGCGAGACAAAAATCATTTAGATTTTCATTTTCATTTCATTATAACTGCTTTTTTTTAAATATGATAAGTCCCTTCACCATCCTTCTTTATGTGACTTCTATCATTTTTTTATTTTTGGATAATTCTTGACTTTCATTGTTCACAAAATCTTTATTTTAAACATATATCCATCACAACTTTTAACCAATTATTGAAAATATGCTGAAAATGAGAAAAAAAACTTTGAAAAGGTGACTGATTAAAAAATAACCAGAGAGCCTTATGATATTTCTATATATAACATGACAATTTTATAATACAGTAATAAAATAATAATATAATAATTTGGCAAACTCTGGTATCATATGTCTCTAATGTGACTCTTATGACAATAAACTCATGATATTATGACACTACCCATTATACAGATCTTACCATTCATAATCATCCCTGACACATGTGCAGGATTCTCCTGTATGTTCCAATGGGTAATCTGCACCATTATAGCACCTTTATATGGAAAAATTTCAGACATATCAAATCATTTTCTGTTGAACTATTCAACTTGTACATAATGGATAACAAATTCACAGATTAAAAAAAAGGATTACAGATTGAAATTTCATTTATTATATTGCCTTGATCAATTTTTTTCTTTTAGACAATTTTTCTTTTTCTTGCATGGATGATAGTAATTGATTGTTCATAATAAGACATGCTTTATTTCTATACATATTATTTTAATAAAAAGAAACATTCAAATCATACTCTCAAAAAACGCTATCAACATACCATGAGTCTTTTTTCACTTTCTTAAAAGTTTCTTTTTTTCCAAGTAGGCATCCTTGTATATTTCCTTTTTCATTATTTGTTTCGTGGGGTACCCATGTTACATAATCTGTTGAAGTATCTATTCAAATAAAATAAAATGAACTCTAATGTAACATTGGCAGCCATACAAATAAAATTAACTGTATCTGGGGTCAGATGAATAATACAATATTATCTTGTAAAGAATAATAATACCATGAAAATAAAATGTATTAAATGCATGAGGGGTTTGATATAGCCTTCCACAATAATGTTTACTGTATAGTCAAACAAATTAACCCCCTACTTTAGATAAATAAAGGAGATATTGGGGTATAAATCAATGAGAAATACCAATGTTTTAAAATGTCTGATGTTAAAGTTTGAAGCAGTAACAGGACATATGATGTCATACTAGTATGTGGGAAATAGAAGATCAACAAGTTACGGACTTTTCTATTTAACACAATGAGGATGTTTTCAATAAGAAAAATAGGTTGAACAACTCATGAGAATTGGGTATCAATTGATATCAACTCTCGTTATTTAATTTAAATAGTAATAAACAGCTGCGCCAGGAACGCATGATAGCCCATCGTGTTTTCAAAGAATAAAGTTCAATAACTTCTCAATGTTATATCAGAAACTTATAAAAAACTAATGGGAGATTATCTTAATAGATATAAATAAGTCACCAAAGTTTAATGAAAATTGCTCAAAGCACTTTAAGGACATCGTCCGAAAACTTGAAAATCACCCCTTTTTTATGAATAAAATCCCATAACTTGGAAACATAAAATCTAAAATTCATAAAAATCAAATGGGAGCTTACAACAATAGATATAAACAATTTACCAAAGTTTCATGAAAACTGCTGACAGCATTTTTGAGTTATTGTCCGAAAACTGGAAAATCCCCCTTTTTTCAATGAATAAAACCCCATAACAAGTAAACGTAAATTCTGAAATTGATAAAAATTAAATGGGAGCTTACGTCAATAGATATAAACAATTCACCAAAGTTTCAGGAAAACTGCTCATGGCATTTTTGAGTTATTGTCTGAAAACTGGAAAATCCCCCTTTTTGTAATGAATAAAACCCCATAACTCGAAAACGTAACATTTAAAATTGATAAAAATCGAAAGGGAGCTCATGTCAATATATACAAACAATTCACCAAAGTTTCTTGCAAATTGGTGAAAGTGTTTTTGAGTTATTGTCCGAAAACTGGAAAATCCCCCTTTTTTCAATGAATAAAACCCCATAACAAGTAAACGTAAATTCTGAAATTGATAAAAATTAAATGGGAGCTTACGTCAATAGATATAAACAATTCACCAAAGTTTCAGGAAAACTGCTCATGGCATTTTTGAGTTATTGTCCGAAAACTTGAAAATCCCCCTTTTTGTAATGAATAAAACCCCATAACTCGAAAACTTAACATTTAAAATTGATAAAAATCGAAAGGGAGCTCATCTCAATAAATGCAAACAATTCACCAAAGTTTCTTGCAAATTGGTGAAAGTGTTTTTGAGTGATTGTCCGAAAACTGGAAAATCCCCCTTTTTGTAATGAATAAAACCCCAAAACTCGGAAACGTAACAGACGGACAAACAGACAGACAACCGTAAACCATTATATGTCCCGTAAACGGGCGTATAAAAATAACTCCCCAAAGGATTATTTATTATTATATTGAAATAAAACAAAATGCTCCGCAGGGCGCAGCTTGATACGACCGCAGAGGTCGAACCCTGAACAGTTGGGGCAAGTATGGACACAACATTCAAGCTTGATACAGCTTTGCATTTGGATTGTGATTAAATATTTGACACAGCATAGGTTTCTGACACAGAATGAATGTGGTCTAAGAACTTAAAAATTTTAAATTGGACATTCACCTATTATGGTCCAATATCCAAAATCTAAATACATGGTAAGATTCAGCATATCAAAGAACCCCAAGAATTCAATTTTTGATGAAATCAAACAAAGTTTAATTTTGGACCCTTTTGACCTCAATGTGGACAAAGTTGATAACGGGGCCCAAAAATCAAAACTCTAAATACATGGTTAGATTCAGCATATCAAAGAACCCCATATATTCAATTTTTGTTGAAATCAAACAAAGTTTAATTTTGGACCCCGACTTGGACCAACTTGAAAACTGGGCCCATAATCAAAAATCTAAATACATGTTTAGATTCAGAATATCAAAGAACCCTAAGAATTAAATTTTTGTTAAAATCAAACTAAGTTTAATTTTGGACCCTTTGGACCTTAATGTAGACCAATTTGAAAACGGAACAAAAAATTAAGAATCTAAATACACGGTTAGATTCGGCATATCAAAGAACCCCAATAATTCAATTTTTGATGAAATCAAACAAAAGTTTATTTTTGGACCCTTTGGACCTCAATGTGGACCAATTTAAAAACGAGGCCCAAAATCCAAAAACTTAATACACGGTTAGATTCAGCATATTAAAGAACCCCAAGAAGTCAAGAATAAAACCCCATTGAAATTGGTCAAGAAATAAGCAATTTATACGAAGTATCTTCTTTTGCACAATACTGTGCAATTAAATATTTCTTGCTATTGCGCAATACTGTACAATTGACAATTTCTTGCTATTGCGCAATATTGTGCTATTGGATATTTCTTGCTATTGCACAATACTGTGCAATTGAAGATTTCTTGCTATTGTGCAATACTGTGCAATTGAAAATTTCTTGCTATTGCACAATACTTATTATATAATAATTTACACATCCTGTTTGGTGTGTATCTCCAACCATATCATTATTATTTGCTTTTAAATATAAATCAGAAATAACCAACTTAAAATGGAAAATTTTAAAAGAAAAAAAAAGGAAAAAAAGAAAAAAAAGGAAAAAAAAAAAATCCCCCCCCCTAAATTTTTTGAACCCCCTTATGATTCATCACCCCCAAACTCAATCCCAGCCTTCCCTTTGTGATATGAAACCTTGTAGTACAATTTCAGAAAGATCCATACACTTACACACAAGTTATTGTCCTGAAACTAGAAAAATGCTTGTTTTTTGCCCCTTTTTGGCCCCTAATTCTTAAAATATTGAGGCAATTACCCCCATCATCAATCCCAGCCTTCCCTTTGTGGTATGGTACCTTGCAGTACAATTTCAGAGAGATCCATACACTTGAACACAAGTTATTGTCTGGAAACTAGAAAAATGCTTATTTTTGGCCCCTTTTTGGCCCCCAATTCCTAAATGTTTCGGCAATTACCCCCAAACTCAATTCTAGCTTTCCCTTTGTGATATGGAACCTTGTAGTACAATTTCAGAAAGATCCATACACTTACACACAAGTTATTGTCATGAAACTAGAAAAATGCTTGTTTTTTGCCCCTTTTTTGGCCCCTAATTCCTAAAATTTTGAGGCAATTACCCCCAAAATCAATCCCAGCATTCCTTTTGTGATATGGAACCTTGTTGTACAATGTCAGAGAGATCCATACACTAACACACAAGTTATGTCTGGAAGTTACAAAAATGCTTATTTTTGGCCCCTTTTTGGCCCCTAATTCCTTTACTGTTGGTACCATAACCCCCAAAATCAATCCCAACCTTCCTTTTGTGGTATTGAACCTTGTGGTAAAATTTCATAGAGATCCATTCACTTAAACTAAAGTTAGAGTGCGAAAACCAATGTGTCTTCGGACGACGACGACGACGACGACGCCAACGTCATACCAATATACGACCACAAAAATTTGTTTGCGGTCGTATAAAAATTCGAGTTGATATCAAGTGATATCTAACTCTCCCTTGTTATGAAACCTATAAATACCACTAACTCAAAATAACACAGTTATGAATTTTCAATAAAATATGCATGCTTAATGTAAATTTGATGTTACAAACATTACTTTCACTTAGTATTCTAAATCGCCATGCAAACTGCAAAATGAGCATCAAATCTGGTAACTGTAGGTATTGTATGAAAAGTAGGTGAATCAATAAGCAAGGAGAGACCTCAGAAAATATTAAACTAATCATCATTTTATAAAATGAAATGCACTGTATAGAAAGTTACATATTTTTTTAATACAAAATTTGTCTGGCATGATAGGAAATCATAAGATTTCAACTACTTTTAAACACAACTTTGTGAAATCTATTGTAAAAAAAATTGTAAGGGGTTCTGCGGAACCCTGTGTCTCGCCTGCGATTACTGCTGTCAGTGTAAAAGTGTAATTAGATATAAGAAGATGTGGTATGAGTGCCAATGAGACAACTCTCCATCCATCTCACAATTTGTAAAAGAGTAATGTTGACTTAAAAAAAATCCATTTATCAGAAAAATACACAATTTAAAAAAAAATCAAACTTTTTCTTTAGATGCTATTTCTTGGTCTTGAAGATTAGCTTCTGTCCAAGTTTCATAACAATCCATGAAGATTTACAAATTTATCATGTCAAAAAAATGTAATCCCAGACTGTCTATAAATGTTTACTGTAAAAAACTAAGTCCATCTATTAGAAAAATACTGAAAATAAAAAAAATGTATTTTCAAAAGTTTGCTTCAGACATTATCTCTTAATTGAATAAAAGCTTCTGCCAAAGTTTCATAAAATTCTACATGAATGAAATTTTGACAAAGTAATTGATGTGCAACAAACTTTACCCCTTGTTAACTGTAAAAAAACTAAGTCCATTTATCAGTTAAATACGGAAAAATGAAAATAAATATTTTCTAAATTTCACTCTGGATACTGTATTTTGGTCATAAACAAGCTTCTGTCCAAATTTCATAAAATTCCATGTAGGTTTGACAAAGTTATTGATGTATACTGTTTTTTGGTTATAACCAAGCTTCTGTCGAAATTTCATAAAATTCCATGAAGGTTTGACAAAGTTATCAATGACTGAAAAACTTTAACCTCAGACTAAATCTGAATGTTAACTGTAAAACAAGAGTGCACACCCTGAAATGTCTCCCCTTCTTTACTAATCATTGATATTATGTTGATAGTCCTAAATATAAAGCTTTATTACAACTGTCACATAAACTTCACATTAACCAAGTAAACTAAACATTGACCAATGAACCATGAAAATGAGGTCAAGGTGAGATGAACCATGCTAGGCAGGCATGTACAGCTAACAATTCTTCCATACAACAAATATAGTTGACCTATTGCTTATAGTTTAAGAAAAACAGACGAAAACACAAAAACTTAACACTGAGCAATGAACCTTGAAAATGAGGTCAAGGTCAAATAAAACCTGCGTGACTGACATATAGATCATAAAATATTTCCATACACCAAATATAGTTGAACTATTGCATATAGTATTAGAAAAAAAGACCAAAACTCAAAAACTTAACTTTGACCACTGAACCATGAAAATGAGGTCAAGGTAAGATGACACCTGCCAGCTAGACATGTACACCTTACAATCATTCCATACACCAAATATAGCTGACCTATTGCATGCAGTATTAGAAAAAAAGACCAAAACTCAAAAACTTAACTTTGACCACTGAACCATGAAAATGAGGTCAAGGTCAGATGACACCTGCCAGCTAGACATGTACACCTTACAATCATTCCATACACCTAATATAGTAGACCTATTGCATACAGTATAAGAAAAACAGACCAAAACACAAAAACTTAACTATAACCACTGAACCATGAAAATGAGGTCAAGGTCAGATGACACCTGCCAGTTGGACATGTACACCTTACAGTCCTTCCATACACCCAATATACTAGACCTATTGCTTATAGTATCTGAGATATGGACTTGACCACGAAAACTTAACCTTGTTCACTGATCCATGAAATGAGGTCGAGGTCAAGTGAAAACTGTCTGACGGGCATGAGGACCTTGCAAGGTACGCACATACCAAATATAGTTATCCTATTACTTATAATAAGAGAGAATTTAACATTACAAAAAATCTGAACTTTTTTTTCAAGTAGTCACTGAACCATGAAAATGAGGTCAAGGACATTGGACATGTGACTGACGGAAACTTCGTAACATGAGGCATCCATATACAAAGTATGAAGCATCCAGGTCTTCCATCTTCTAAAATATAAAGCTTTTAAGAAGTTAGCTAACGCCGCCGCCGCCGCCGCCGGATCGCTATCCCTATGTCGAGCTTTCTGCGACAAAAGTCGCAGGCTCGACAAAAAACTTAGTCCTTAAATTAATAAAATACAGAAATATGAAAATAAATATTTTCAAAATTTTGCTCTGGATACTGTATTTTGGTCATAAACAAGCTTCTTCTGTCCAAATTTCATAAAATTCCATGTAGATTTGACAAAGTAATTGATGTCTAAAAAAACTTTAACCACAGACTGAACCTAAATGTGGACAACGCCGACGACGGAATCTAGAATCACTATGTCTCGCATTCACAGGCTCAACAAAAATGAAAATAAATATTTGCAAAATTTCGCTCTGGTGGTCATAAACAAGCTTCTGTCCAAATTTCATAAAATTCAATGAAGTTTTGACAAAGTTATTGATGACTGAAAAACTTTTACCTCCGACTAAATCTGAATGTTAACTGTAAAAAAAAACTAAGTTCATTTATTAGTAATATCAGAAAAAAGAAAATAAATATTTTCTAAATTTTGCTCTGGATATTATATTTTGGTCATAAACAAGATTCTGTCCAAATTTCCTAAAATTCCATGAAGGTTTGCCAAAGTTATTGATGTCTTAAAAAACTTTAACCTAAATGTGCAAATGGACAAAATCTAGGATTGCTATGTCTCCCTTTCGCAACATAAATGTTGCAGGCTCGACAAAAAGTCATTGGGGTTAGTCAAAATAAAGTCTTAGGGTTAGAGTCCAAGACAAGACTATGTGAGACAGACAACTTCATGGCCAAAATAAATTAGATGATAAGTCAATTAAAATTCCATTAAATACTACACAGTTAACTTAAGTTTTGGCATCACTAATTCATCATACATACCACATTTCTTTTTGAATATTTTTTGGAAATCAATGATAAATGTGGTCCACTTCTTTGTGTCTGGTCTATAGCCCCATATACTGACAGTCAAGGCCTTGGACCCTGGCTCTGTTAACAGTCCAGTAAACATGACAGTTTCATTACTCTCCTTGCCAATGAAATCATAGGTATGCCAACATCTTCCCTCGTCTGTAGAAAATCTGATAACTTTTGGTTGAGTGGTATCTGCTGGAACTGCCACCAGTAAACTTCCACTGTCTGCTATGTGATAATGATGGGGACCATCTAAAGCCTGAAAGATAGAGAATACTGCTGGTTTTCATCTTAGCGGTCACTGAAAGAAATTCAATAAGGGATGGTATATTCATTTTAGAAAGCAGTTTCAAGCATGCCCAAGTATTCTCAATATTAATACTTACTATTACATTGAGAAAGCATAATTATAAAAGCTGTTACATAGAGGATATTTAGATGTTTGAAGCTTCCATCAATGAATAAATATATGATAATGAAGTTTAGAACACTAATTTTACTTGATATATTTTATCATGATATATTTAGTGACATTGATAAATTATTTCTACAGGTTCATTTTAGTAAGCCCTTCCAGGTATTTTGCAGTGGCTTATACACTTGGCCATATAATGAAAATAGAAGACAAGGAACATATACATATACAGCATATATTATCAAATGCCCTGTCTCTGCAACCTTCTTCCATTTATTATGGTTTTAATTTGTATTTACCCATTGAATCAAAGTGTTCATTTACTTAATCAAATGTGGTTTACTTATAGTATTTATGAGAGTACCAGACCTTTCTCCATGAATATCCACCATCAGTAGTTATATACACATCTGGTTTGGTAGTCTGTAATGCATCAGCTACATGACCTGCATAACACAAAAGACAACTCACTGTAAACATGTCACTGAAGGTGTAGCAAAGACAATAATAATTTACTTCAAGAGACAATTTGGTATATTCAAACACAACTTCAAGCAGAATAACAAACCAGCAGTAAAACATTTTTCATAATAAGGGGAAAAGGGGACCTTGTATGCAACAACCAACGGTAATATCTCTTGCTGGTAACAAGACCAATAGGTAATCTTCTAGTCAATTATAATAAAGGTTACAATTATATAATAAACCTGGTTTTACAATTGTCAAAGCATATTTAGTTTCAAATGACGATAATGTTACTATTTTTTTTTTTAAATTTGGAGATTTTAGTTTGAAACAGTCAACAAAATGAACCAAATAGATGGTGAGAATAAAATGAACGGCACAGTTTCATCATGTTAATAAACTGCTTCGCAGAGCGCAGCTGGATACGACAGCAGAGGTCCAACCCTGAACAGTTGGGGCAAAAATGGACACAATATTCAAGCTTGATACAGGTCTGAATTTGGATTGTAATTAAATATTTGACACATTATAGGTTTCTGACACAGAATAAATGTAGTCAAAGTACTTGAAATTGGTTGTATGATTTGAATTTATATTCAATTGATTTGATTGATTTTTTGTGTTTTAACGCCACTTTTGGGCTATTTCATGGCGGCCAGTTTTTATTGGTGGAGGAAGCCGGAGTGCCCGGAGAAAACCACCGACCTTTGATAGGAAAACTGACAATCCTAGTCAATTAAGATTGGAGTCGAGTGCACCCGCACGTGCGGGGTTCGTACTCACAACCTCAGTGTTGACTGGCTAGTGATTACAGTAGTAACTACTTAGACCACTCGGCCACCGTGGCCCCCATATTCAATTGAAGATTTCTTGCTGTTGTGCAATACACTGTGCTGTTGCGCAATACTTATTAAATCTGTTTTCAGACTATATACAAAGAATTAGCAAAATAAATTGTAACCCTCAATTCTTTTCTTCAGAAAATTGACAATTTCTTAAATTCCTGAAACTAGAAAAAAGCTTGTTTTGGCCCCTTTTTGGCCCCTAATTCCTAAACGGTTGGGACCATCACCCCCAAAAACTATCCCAACCTTCCTTTTGTGGTATTGAACCTTTTGCTTAAATTTCATAGAGATCCATACACTTAAACTAAAGTTATTGTCCGGAAACCAAATGTCTTTGGAAGATGCTGATGCCGACGACATGATACAAATATACGACTGCAAATTTTTTTTACAGTCGTATAAAAAGTGCACATAAGAGCACTTAAAGCTTTGAAAAAGGACAAAATGCCATCTATCATGGAAAATTCTGGCATATGAAATAAGTCTGTCGTACCTTTTAATAATGATTCTGAAACAAAAATTACCCAAGTGAATAGCTACTGTCCGATGCCATGACATCATAAAAATAAGGCGATGTGGTATGATTGCCAATGAGATAACAACCCACAAGAAACCAAATGAATAGGAAATAAGCAAATAAACGTCACTGTACAGCGTTCAACAATGAACCAAATCCACATTGTATAGTAACCTATATAGACTCCAACATAACAAAATGTAAAACCTTTCTAACGAGAAATCCAACAGCCTGATATATATTAAAACAATAAAGGAAAAACAAATATGATCGACAGCAACCAACAACTACCACTGAATTACAGGCTCCGGACTTGGAACAGAAACATATAGAATGTGGCTAGGTTTAACATAAGTTCCAGCAGTTATTGAAAGCTTGATTAAAGCAAATTACAACTAATAAATAAATCATGTTTTGCAAGCACTATTTCATAAACATTTTGATAAATGTTGAATTCATTATGAATAGACCTACCATGAACTAGTATAACACCTGTAGCACTTGGGACACTAAGAGGTAATTCTGAAATAATCCCTCTGCTCCTACTGTATGTCCCATGTATTTGTAAGGCACATTCCTGAAATAAATGAACAATATCAATTATTACTTTATTATTCAAATAAACCTATTTCCATTTAAATTGTTGTTATAAAGAGCTATGATTTGTTCAGATAAATGGATTCAGCCCAAATTAAAATCTGATGTTTTGTAAGTAGTGTTATCCATTATCACTGAACTTGTATACATATTTGTTTAGGGGCCAGCTGAAGGACGCCTCTGAATGCGGGAGTTTCTCGCTGCATTGAAGACCCATTGGTGGCCTTCGGCTGTTGTCTGCTCTATGGTCGGGTTGTTGTCTCTTTGACACATTCCCCATTTCCATTCTCAATTTTATTACTGAAGGCCATGTATGAGTACAAATCAATTAAATTTACATTTTTTCTTTTATAAAGCTGGACTTTTCTGTATAATTTTCTGTCAACAGTTATCTTCACTGATGATAAAACACACTCATGGTCTAAATGCAAAAGGTCTTCGATGAAAAAACACTCTGATGGTCCAAATGAAAAGGTTTTAGATGATAAAACACACTGACAGTCCAAAGTAAAGGTCTCAGATGATGATAAAACACACTGACAGTCCAAATGTAAAGGTCTTAGATGATAAAACACACTTGACGGTCCAAATATAAAGGTCTTAGATAATAAAACACACTGACGGTCCAGATGTAAAGGTCTTAGATGATGAAACACACTGCCAGTCCAAATGTAAAGGTCTTGGATGAAAAAACACTGACAGCCCAAATGTAAGGGTCTTAGATGATGATAAAACACACTGACAGTCCAAATGTAAAGGTCTAAGCTGATAAAACACACTGATGGCCCAAATGTAAAGGTCTTAGATGATAAAACACACTGACTGTCCAAATGTAAGGGTCTTATATGATAATAAAACACACTGACTGTCCAAATGTAAAGGTCTTAGATGATAAAACACACTGATGGCCCAAATGTAAAGGTCTTAGATGATGATAAAACACACTGCCTGTCCAAATGTAAGGGTCTTAGATGATAATAAAACACACTGACTGTCCAAATGTAAAAGTCATAGATGATGATAAAACACACTGACTGTCCAAATGTAAAGGGCTTAGATGATGATAAAACACACTGACAGTCTAAATAGTAAAGGTCTTAGATGATACAAAACACTGACAGTCCAAATGTAAAGGTCTTAAATGATTAAACACACTGACAGTCAAACTGTAAAGGTCTTGGATGATAAAACATACTGAAGGTTCAAATGTCAAGGTCTTAGATAAAAAAACACACTGACTTTCCAATGTTAAAGTCTTAGATGATAAAACACACTTACAGTGTATTTAAAGGTGATTAAACACACCGAAGGGTTAAATGTAAGGGACTTAGACATTACCCCTATAAAGGTGTAGGTTTCGATAAGGCCCTAAAATGGTTCCTATTTCTAGCTACAATTTAAAATTAGAATTTATTGACTAATATCACAATAAATCATAGCTAATACAATGACTAGATAAGAAATATGTCTTCTTTTGAAAATTCACATACTTGCATTCTATTTAAGACGTCACATATAGCACTCATTTAAATTTTCCACGATAATTCAATGAAAACAGGTAAATTTCCATTGATTTTTTTTGGACAGGATACACAGAGTGCATGTGTAGGCAAAATAAATCTTTTCACATAATATTTGTTATAACATTTTACATATCTGACTTGAATATTTAGTTTGTCGACCTCTGCTCTCTATGTTTTTTAGGCCTTAATTTGGTTGAAATCTGGACAGGTTTGTCAAATTTAGAAAAAATCTCTATTTTTTGGCCTATTTTGGATGTAAAAATCAAAGCTTTAGAATAAAACTTGAACAAAAAAGTTCTATTTAACTTTCTCACGCGTCTTTTCATCAGCTTAGAATTTTTTTTTTTATCTCTAAACATTGAATCTAATAATTGGGGCCAAATATGGCTCTTACCAAAATTACTCCTTTTTGAACCCCTAACATTTGTGTTTATGTTACATCCAATCATATGTTATTGAGGTAGACCCTGCCCTCAAGTTCATTAAGAGGAAATTTTAGTTAGGGAAAACAATGTTACCAATTACAAGTTATAACATTGTTTTTAAGGTCTTACAAACATTTAATGTTGTAATAGGGCTTGCAATTATTTTTTGTATGTTAGTCTTTTTTGTACAACTTGATGTTTGCAGAAATATTTTCTGCTGATATTGAAATTTCCCACTATCGGAATTTTTTAATAACTTTCTGTATAGAATTTATCAAGTTGTCTTTTTAAATGAACCGTTAATTTGAAGAAAAAAAAATATCCTTGAAGCATTGATTGAAATTGCACAACATTGATTTAAACAACTCTGACCGTCAACCCTGGAATTGACAGCAGATATATGTGCAATGTTGCAATGCAAATTTATGTATTTAAAGTTCTTCATTCTAACTCTTTTTAATTTAGTTCCTGATTTATTAAATAAGTGCTAGGTAATTCATTTAAGGTAGATCAGGTGTCTTTTTCTGAGCATCCCTTCTGGTCATGTTGCAAAAATACTTTTTTATTTCAAAAATATTTTACCAAGTATTATTCAATGTACAACTGAAACATCTAAAACTTGAAGTTTTAAGATTAATCTATCAAAATATAAAGTGTCAATAAGTGTATTTAAAATTTAAAGAAAAAAACTTTTTTAAATCAAGGGCAGATAATCATAAACAATTTGATAGGATAATTTGTGTTTTTCAGATTTTTCAAGAAAATAAGAACCGTGACCCCTATTTTTATTTGATATTTTGAAAGTATTTATGAAAAGCAATTCTCTCGTTGAAACCATTCTATTGTTCAATGTTTCCTAAATAAAGAAAAATTAAGTTTTCCTTTATATAACCCTTATAAAATAACTGTGATTTTGTTAATTTCAATGTATTTTAATGTAAAAACAAGATCTGTGACCCCCATTTTTTATATTGAAATTTGAAAGTTCATTGACCCAGAAGTCTATTATATAAATTTAAGAAAAGTCTACCATCGAACATTTACACATCCCAGCTACCTTAATTCTGAAAAAAATTCCTGGATATTATCTATCTATTTTTATTAGTTATCTTCTTTACTTTCTGGTTATCATTTAATTCGTTTACTTCAACAGATGATTTTATTTTTAATTCCTTGTTACATTGTAATTCAGTTCCTGGATAATGTAAGAAGCTTTCTCATTTTTAGTTCCTGGTTACAATTCAGTTCCTGGATTTTACAAGATGCTTTATATTTTTAGTTCCTGGTTACAATTCAGTTCCTGGATTTTACAGATACATTATATTTTTAGTTCCTGGTTACAATTCAGTTCCTGGATTTTACAGATGCATTATATTTTTAGTTCCTGGTAACAATTCAGTTCCTGGATTTTACAGATGCATTATATTTTTAGTTCCTGGTTACAATTCAGTTCCTGGATTTTAAAAGATGCATTATATTTTAAATCCTGGTTATAATTTAGTTTCTTGATTTGAAAAAAAACATTGTTTTTAATTCCTGGTTAAAGTTAGTTCCTTGATTCAAGTGAAGCATTCTTTTTCCATTCCTGGATTTTAAAACAAGTTTTTTTTTAAATTCAAGTTAATACTTTGCTTGGGAAATGCCTAAGATACCTTCTTTTTTTTTACATTCCTGATTGCATTTACTTAAAAGAATGTCATAGAACAATTATATTATATTTCCTGTATCTTATTAGAAGCCTTCTTATTTGATCCTTGCCCATAATTTTGTTCCCACATATCAAAAAAAAATCTATTTTAAGTGCACACCATGTTTTTTTTTTAAGAATCTGACTTATGTTATTGGGAGAAACAGGATCTTTAAAAGCATAAAATAAAATGGTTATCATTTTTTTTTGTATCAAATAAAATGGAGGCTTTTTTGTAACAGTACAAAAATTTATTAAAACTTTTCAAATATGACTAAAATTATAACTTCAGAGCCTAAATGAACAATTTGCTAGCCTTTATTGAGCAATACATGTATTACCATTCTTTTATTTGCATTTTACTAAAATGCTCTTTATCTAAAGTTTCTTGGTATTTTGTTTTCATTTTTTTTGGGTTTTGCATATAAATATAGAATCTTTACATATAGACCTGGGTGGTATGGGAACATGGTGCCAAGGTCCCCTTGACTGTAAAACATATAACTTAACCCTCTTGGGATTTTTACATTTAGACCTGAGAGTTTGGGGAACTTGGTGTCAATATTCCCCCTAGAACCTTCTTAAAAATCTTTACCCTTGAGGTTTGGAAACCACTTGCCATGTATCTCCTAAACTGTATGATATATAATTATACATTCTTAGGATCTTTGTATGTAGACCCTGGAGGTTTGGGAACCACTTGCCATGTTACTCCAAAACTGTATGATATATAGGCATATCTCCTTAAAATCATAACATGTAGACCCCTGAGGTTTGGGAATGGGTGCCATTTTCCTCCTAGATTGTATGATATATAACTACACCTGTCTATGAGCTTTAAAAGTAGAGCCTTGAGGATTGGAAACTGGGTGCCATGTTCCTCCTAGATTGTATGATATATAACTATACCTTTTTAGGATCTTTGCATGTAGAGCCGGGAGGTTTGGGAACTGGATGCCATGTTCCTCCTAGATTGTATGATATAACTGTATGGATGCTATTATCATCTCTCATCTGACTGGCAATATAAACTCCTCTCATTGACTGAACACGGAAAAAATCTGTAGAATCTCCATAGTTAGGGTATAAATGTTTCTGTAAAGATTCTGAATATAACATTCCCTTTCCTGATGATGTGTACAGCGTACCATGACCAGTATCTGTAAATTAAATAATAATGTGTTGTAACCCATAACTCCTTATTACTGTATCTTATTATAAAAATAAACAGTAAGTGAATCAGTGAACAAGTGTTTCATTCTTTTTAATCTTTGAACTTCTATTATATGTCACCAAAAGTTCACTTAGAAACTGCTTCAGGTTGCAGGTCAGCGATATACTATTAATGACTTATTCGTGATAATCTCTTACTTACTTATCATTGATAAACTGTTAATGACTTATCAGTAATACTGTTCATTACTTTGTCATGCTAACATTGTATACATTCAGAGCTGTACTGCAAGGTCAAAACCAACATAAAGTGTTTAGCTAGGTTCAAAATAAACTTCTTCCTACTGGTTATTTTGAAGATGTATCCACTTAAGGTGGTTCATTTAGAAATCAATGAACATGATTTGAAAACAAGAATGTGTCCATAGTACACGGATGTCCCACTCGCACTATCATTTTCTATGTTCAGTGGACCGTGAAACTGGGATCAAAACTCTAATTTGGCACTAAAATTAGAAAGATCATATCATACGGAACATGTGTACTAGGTTTCAAGTTGATTGAACATCAACTTCATCAAAAACTACCTTGACCAAAAACTTTTAACCTGAAGCGGGACAGACGAACGAACGGACGCACAGACCGAAAAACTTAATGGGGCATAAAAATTATACTCTAGTTTAATGAATTTAGTGTAATTTTTTTAAAGGTTAAAGTAATAGATGTTTTCCATGATTCAATGAAAATATACTGGTTACTAAATTAAGATGCACAGATAATATCATTATCTTGCATCTAACTGACAATAGAATCTATTATAATTCTAATGTTCCCATACCTATTGTTAATTGCATTTCTCATCTAAAGCCCTTCTTTATGCTTTAATTTGTGTCAGAGAAAAGCAGAGATTGACAATATCCTTATTTTGAGAAAAGAACATGAACAGATTCAGAGTTCTTGAAATCTTTTTTTTCCTGGTGGTCATTAGGACCACCAAGACTAAAAATCTGGTGGTCCTTGAGAAAATCTGGTGGTCCTGTAATTTTACTTGAATTTATCAAACACCTATTAGTTACATGTATTAAAGTCATTACTCAATACTATATTAACTCCATCCTAGTTTCTATGTTATATATTTGGTTGTTTTTAATTAAATTTTGAACTCTGCATTTTTCACCAATTTTTATACTTTGTCAGTTTGATTACATGTTTGATTACATTGCATTATACAACAATCATTTACAGTGAAAAGTGCATTAAAATGATAGAAATAAAAGACTAAGTCTGCTGTTTATTCCTCAGCTGCAAATTTTGTAATATAGAAAAAATTTTCAGTCTCTGTTTGTTCAAATACAAAGCTTTCTGGTTCGTTTGAACAAGATGGGCCATGCGGCAGCCATGATGACTTTTACGACTGGTTATTTTTTTAAAAGTATTACCGTAATTTTGAGCTATGCTACAAAAGTTAAATTACAGTAGTTACCAGTTCAAAAACTATCTGAATACCAAAGAAACCGACGACTGGTTCTTTTTCAAAAGTATTACCGTCATTTTGAGCTATGCAATTAAAGTTTGTTTACATTAGTAACCAGTTCAAAAGCTATCTGAATACCGAAAAGATGTAAAATAAAAGTGAACAACCACCAAAATTTTGTTGGTCATCAGGACTGCCACTACACATGCAATTGTCGGTCCTAGCCGATTTTTGGCGGTCAGGAACCACAGGACCGACGGTTTTCGAGAACTCTGCAGATTGTGAATATGTCTTAAAGGAATTATATGGGCATCAAACCTATTAATACAGAATGCACCACACACATACCTCCTGGATTATCCACATGCATGAATACCAATCCTTCATTCATATCCAAAACAGAGAAAAACTGAAATAATAAATAGCAATCCTTCATAAATGTCAAACACAGAAAAAAAACTGGAATAGTTAATATCAATCCTTCTTTCATGTCAAAGTGGTTATGTAGTTCATAATGCGTTTTCTGATATTGGATGTATTCTCTAGATTATATGCCCGTATCCATGTAGTTAAACATACATGGGAATCAGATCTTTCAATGTGTTGATTTGGACACCAGTTGTTATATTTTGTTGGACACTTAAATTCGTAAATTAAGCCATCAACAAATACCACGAAAATTGGTACCCAACGAATAAAAGTACTTTCACAGTAAATATATGGTATTGTAAGACAGACTGATTACTGTAGAGCTCCAATATTTGCTTCTGGACCATAATAATCATTATTCTTACCCTTTCACCATTCATCGTTGGTAAGTACGTTCTATCCCATGATGCTCCACCATCTGTTGAGACCAACATTTTTCTTAGAGAACTCTGTAGAAGATGAAAATGTCAGTTGTTTTGGATATTTATTTGCTATTTTCTGATTAAGCTTTAAAATCCATTTTCTTTATCTAAATATTAAGTTGCTTAGAAGGAATTATATATTACAGAAGTGAGCCACCTTTAAACCATATTGAAAATCTATTAAGCTATTGGAATCTGTGGAAGCTTCTGAAGGTATTCCTAAATAAGTTACAAATTAGAAATAAGAGCCTCCTAAAAGCATATTGATTGATATAAAAAAAGAAAGCCTGGACAGTCATATAAAGTATGCAAGCTTACAAGAAGATTATGAACAAATGTGTCAACTTTCCAAATTGTTATGAAAAAAAGATTTGTCGAGTATTAAGAATATAAAACTAGAAAAATCAATATAAAGAGATGTCTTTATACTAATTAAGTCTTTTTTCCAAAGCTGGAATGAAATTTTAGTTGACATTTTCACAATGCTCCTTTAGTATGCAATGCTTATATGTTCTCACATCAATTGACACTTGACAATCTCATCACCTATTCCTTGAAACAGTCAAGAAATCTACTACTATATACCAGTAAAGTCTGCAACTGAAAATATCTATCAACATATATCTATCTTGTTTTAAAAAAAATCAAAATCTTGTGGACCACTTTTAACATTTAGAATATAAAATGAAACTACACTAAATACCCCTGCTTTTTCTGGAACAGCTACATAAAGAAACTTGTCTTGGTGTCCAAATGATATAACATCTTTCATTAAAGTTGTCCAACTTTTTCCAAGGTCGGTTGACTTCTTTAAATCATACTTGATTTCAAAAACTACAATTTAAAGAAAAATAATTGCATAATGAAGCAAAACAAATTATTTATCTGTTTCATAACAGATTTTGCATACATCTAGAAAATAATTTGCTTAAACTATGACATGATTAGGAAGCCTGTTCTTCAATTGTGACACATTTCAATTATATTAGTTTTAATGAAAATATTATTTGATTGATTGATTGTTGCTTGCTTTTTTAAAACATCCTTAATAAATAAAACAATTAAAAGATGACAACCACAGGAACTACTTTACTCTAGAAAACTACATAAAGTTGTAGCAAAACTATAGGAATTTAATAGGTGTTGGCAGGAGCAGGGTTTGAGGAGCAATAGAAATGTAATTATAATAAAATGCTCCGCTGGGCATAGCTTGATACGACCGCAGAGGTTGTTCTATAAGTATGGACACTACATTCAAGATTGATACAGCTCTGGATTTGGATTGTGATTAAACATTTGACACAGCATACGTTTCTGACACAGAATGAATGTGGTCAAAGAACAGAAAATTTTGATATTGGACATTTATCCATCATGGTCCAATAAAAAAACAGGCTTTGATTTGAAAAATGAAAGGGGACCATATAAGAATTTTTGTTTCATTCTGGCAAATAATTCAAGATTTAACTAAAATGTTTCAGCAAACCAGAGGCATTGGTATCCATCCTATATCTCATATAGTGAAAAGGTAACATTGACATCAAAATTAAAAGTCATGGGAAAAATTGCCCAAAAAATACCTATCCATTGGTATGGTATACTAAGACTTACATGTGGCAAAGAATGGATGAGTATTGGCTGAATCAATTGCTGCATATATAGTCTGATCTGTATCCACTTTTGAATTGGAACCCCTGAAATATTTGAAATATTATTGCCAGCAAAGTAAAAATGTAGAATGTGAAATTAAGCTAGGTTTTAAGTAAAAACTTTCAAATGCAAAATACTATCATCATATTGTCCCTGTCTATCTTGGTATACACCAAATTCTAATGCAATTTGGTTTGTAACTCCAATTTTGATTGGATGATGACTGCCATCAATTCCCTGTTGATGGTTGGAGTCATTGGCAACAATTTTGCACAATTGCAGTTGACGTTTATAGGATATTTGAAATGTTTAATTTTTAACATTTTAAGAGTATTGCATTAGAATAAGAATAACAGGACTGTATTTGAAGAGTCGCCATCATCAATTTGCAACTGTCAAATCCCCAATTGACAGAGGCAACTCTTCATATACAGTACTGTTATTCCTTAAATGACAATTGGCAATAAAACATTTTTTTTTTCGTTGAAATAAATTTCCCAGTACATCTATGGAATGAGGATGCTATCATTCACTTATTATATATCCCTATTCTCAACTGTAATTTAAGAAAGAAAAGTTTTTTAATCAGATTGATCATTAGTGGTCTCCACATAAATAAAACTAAAGACAATTCAAGACTTGTGGCTAAATATTACATTATTACTATTGAGGTTATTAATGTACAGGTGCGATCTGCATAGTTTTCAATTTAAAGAACATTACTCAATTTTGGTTAGATGACTGTCCGTAAAAAACAAAATCAACCCTTCAAACAATGGCTGTTCAATTTTTCCTAAGCCTCCTATTCTATCATGTGTGTGTGTTTTCATATCACTCCTACCATTTAAAAACTTGGACAGAGTCTGCAATCCTTTTCCAGTTTTTACCATTATCCTCACTCACATAAATGGTCTGAAATGTCATAAATGGTAAATGTGAACAAGCTTTTTTTATCTATTCATCAAAATTTTAATTATGTGCCTTTGATACTTAGGTCATACAATTATTAGATAAAAAAAAACCTGGAAAATTCTGATTTTTGTTATAATGTACTCATACTTGATCTACTAGAAGCTGTGTTAAAAACTAAAACAAAGATGAATCTGAACAACAAATCCATTAACAATGAAAATATACTACTACAGCAATGTAATGTTTTGAGGTAACTAAAACACTAATTGTATCACTTTATCTAATTACCAAAACAAATCAACTATATTTTTTCTCAGGTGTATTTTTCAATTAGTATAAAATTGAAGTTTGAATATTAACATCACTATTTCAGGACTATGTGTAAATACTGTTCATATAAAAAATGACTATCTTCTTACTGCCAAACTATTAGGATATTGTTCAAGGATAACAAATATTCAAATCTCAACCTTAAACACATAAAACAATGCAAATATGTGCAGTGCAATACAGCGATCGGACCATGATGGTGTTTAGTAGCTACTACAGGAAGGGTAATACATGCAAATATGGTGCTAACATAATTCATACATTACTGAGGGGAGAACACTCTTGCTTTGGGAAATCCATTGCTTTCCATTGATAACATACTTATTTACTGTTCAACATTAAATTGTTACATATTGGAATCGCAGAAAAGTTCAGAAATATCTAGTAGAGCATATGATAAAATAATATCTTAATATCAGCAACCAGGGCATTGCAAATGGGCCTTTAACAGAACCTATATTAACTAAAGTCTAGTCAGTATGAAATGTTCTTTTTAGCTAAGTACATGTAGTTTGTTTTTTGTTTACTTTTGTCTAAAAATTGGTTTTGTGTCTCAGAACACAGCCATGTGTGTATCATTAGTAGATGATATATATATGAAATAATTAGTAAATGGTAATATATGTCAATCATACTGTATGATTATAAAAGGAACCTCTACTTTGGTCATTTCATTACACTGATGCTGCAAGTCAAACTGTTTGATTGATTGTTGGTTGCTTAACCTCTAGCAGCAAATATGTCATGCACATTTCTGACGATACAACATTTAATAAGTCTGAGCAATTAATTGTTTTGACACATAAATACAATGCTTAAGGATGCTGTTAGTTTTTTTAAATCATTCTCAAGTCTGTATATATATATAAATACAATGCCGTAGGATGCCTTTGGTTATTTTTTTCACCTTTTGACAAGTCTGAACAAACAACTATTTGTTTTCACATACATTTTTCTAGCACATACAACATACATAACAATGGTAAGCAATGACGACACATAAAGGGAGATAAATGGTACTTTACCTGTCTTTTTATTTCTTTGGATTTTTTCTAGAATCAGTAAAATGCTTATCACCGAACATAATATAAAAGATATATACAAAAAAAAATTTAGCCCTCAACAATATTTCTTATAATCATTAGCTACTGAATCCTTCAAAAGTGGCCTGTCTTGTTTAACTGACACTGGAAAATTCATCTTTTTTTCATTACAATGCCACATGACATGAATACTTGTTAAGTAAACCATGTAAGTCTAGGCTGTTGTCAGATTACTACCATAGATAGTGTTCTCAATTGAGTTGAGTGGTTTGAAAAATATAAAGGGAAAACAAATTTATTTAGGCGAGGGTTTTTTAATTTGTTGGTTAACAAATCTGCCAACCCTATTTTTCTGATTTTCAGAAAAAATAAATTTGACATTTCATGCTTTTTCACTCCCACCGACTCTAACAAATACATTATCCCTGAACTATAAATAAAAAAGTCTGCTTAGCAGCATTATCATGAAAATAAATGCATTATTTTAGCATGTTAAACATTAACAGAAATGATTAAACATCGTGTGTTCTAAAAAATAAAAATCTAAAATGATCCATAATTTGTGTTTCTAAAAATAGAAAATCCTAACTGACCTTGAAAAGTTGTTTCTGCAATAATTTTGCGGAACGAAACCTATGTAAAACAAGAGTGCACACGCTGAAATGTCCTGCCTGCTTTACTGACCATTGATTTTATGTTGATAGTCCTAAATATAAAGCTTTACTACAAGTATCACATAAATTTAACATGATCCAAGAAAATAAGGTCAAGGCCAGATAAACCAAAGCGGAAATACATGTACACCTTAAAATAATTTCATACACCAAATATAGTTGACCTATTGCTTACAGTTTCGAAGAAACGAACTTAACCAAGAAAACTTAACATTGACCAATGAACCATGAAAATGAGGTTAAGGTCAGATAAATCATGCCAGACAGACATGTACACCTTACAATCAATCTATGCATAACATATAGTTGACATATTGCTTATAGTATCTAAGAAACAAAATTAACCATGAAAATGAGGTCAAGGTCAGATGATACCTGCCAGACAGATATAAACACCTTACAATCATTCCATACACCAAATATAGTTGACCTATTGCTTATAGTTTACGAAAAAACAGATCAAAACATAAAAACTTAACTCTGAGCAATGAACCATGAAAATGAGGTCAAGGTCAAATAAAACATACCAGACTGACATCTACATCGTAAAATATTTCCATACACCAAATATAGTTGACCTACTGCATATAGTATTAGAAAAAAGACCAAAACACAAAAACTTAACTTTAACCACTGAACAATGAAAATGAGGTCAAGGTCAGATGACACCTGCCGGTTGGACATGTACACCTTACATCATTCCATTCACCAAATATAGTAGACCTGTTGCTTATAGTATCTGAGATATGGACATGACCACGAAAACTTAACCTTGTTCACTGATCCATGAAATGAGGTCGAGGTCAGATGAAAACTGTCTGACAGACATGAGGACCTTACAAGGTACGCACACCTTTTGACAAGTATTCATAATAAGATAGAAATTAACATTACAAAAAATCTTTTTTTAAAGTAGTCACTGAACCATGAAAATAAGGTCAAGGATAATCGACATATGACAGACGGAAACTTAATAACATAAGGCATCTATATACAAAGTATGAAGCATCCAGGTCTTCCACCTTCTAAAATATAAAGCTTTTAAGTAGTTAGTTAACGCCACCATGGCCGCAGCCGCTGGTTCACTAATCCTATGTCGAGCTTTCTGCAACAGAAGTAGTAGGCTCGACAAAAACCCATTACAAAAAGGTTGTTTTCCTTCTTTGTCATAATTCCACAAGATTATTCATCTTATAGATGGAAAGATGTCAAGTTAAAAGTAAAAGTATTTCACAAACAATTTGGAATTTTCTTGTTTCATAGATTGATTCTCGTCCATTTGGATATCCAAAACAGGATTGCCTGACAAAGCATGAAACGATATCTTAGTCTTTCTTGTGGACGAGTCTACATAGTTTTTGACACGGATGTTATTTACATGAGACGCGTTTTCAATTCTTAATTTACGTGTTTTCAATTTTTAATTTACGTGTTTTCATGCTTGAAGACCATTATTTAGCATGTTTCCTGAAAGTTGATAAAAAGCAACCTGTAGATGTTTTTTCTCATTCATGAAATGACCATTTATTTTCCTGTTTGTCTGTGGACATAACCCCCTTTTAACAAAATTATATAACTGGCGATGGTTAAACAGCTGAGTAATAATATTTGGAACTAAATTTAAGAAATGACAAAATAGCATACCAAAAATATTATTAGTGAGCTGAAATATATATTTATTTTATACATATTTATTTATGTCTTTATAAGACATTTTTTTCTTTTTTAAATATTTAGGTCTGACCGACCCGACTTTTTCAAATAAAAAATCTGTAAACCAACAAATTAAATTAAAAAACCATTGCCTTAGTAAACATTCTGGTATTGCTATTCTGTTTGTACATTTTAAAGGTGTAAACCATGACGACATAGTCAAACCAGACACTGTGTTTATATTTGATTATGTATTTCAAAAGGGGTTTTGTTTAAGTGAACCCCCAATTTCAGGGATTGATCCAAACCTGATAAATATACATATGCAATGCCAGCTGTGTCAATAGGATTGAAGAACCTCTAACGTTCATATGCTTAGGACCACAATATTGTCCTAAAACACAAGACTCTTAGTGTGCCAATTCTATAGTATATCTTTATTAAAATATGTTATTTCCAATATGAATTCCACAATGAATAGGTCAACACTTGAAATGGCTTTCTATCCAGTTACATAGATAGAAAACCATCGATGTTAGTTTCCTATCATCAAAACATACAAGCCAGCAGCTCACATTTAAATAAAATGCTTCGCTGAGCGCAGCCTGATATGACCGCAGAGGTCGAACCCTGAACAGTTTGGGCAAATTTGGACACAACATTCAAGCTTGATACTGTCTGAATTTGGATTGTGATCAAATTTTTGACATAATATAGGTTTCTGACACAAAATAAATGTGGTCAAAGATCTTACAAATCTATTGCACAATACTGTGCAATTGAAGATTTCTTCTTGAAACTTTCCAAAATTCAAAAAATTTGAAAAAAAAAATGAATCCCTTAAAAAAATTGATAAAAAAAATCCCCCCCCCCCCCCCCCAACTTTTGGAAACCCCCCTTGGAGCAATAACCCCAAAACTCAAAAAACTCAATCCCAGCCTTTCCTTTGTAGTATGGAACATAGTAGTACAATTTCAGAGAGATCCATACACTTAAAACACAAGTTATTGTCTGGAAACTAGAAAAATGCTTGTTTTTGGCCCTTTTTTGGCCCCTAATTCCTACATGTTTGGGGCAATTAACCCCAAACTCATTCAGAGCCTTCCCTTTGTTATATGGAACCTTGTGGTACAATGTCAGAGAGATCCATACACTTACACACAAGTTATTGTCTGGAAACTAGAAAAATGCTTGTTTTTGGCCCCCTTTTGGCCCTTAATTCCTAAACTGTTGGCCCCATAACCCCTAAAATGAATCCCTACCTTCAAATTGTGGTATTAAACATTGTGGTACAATTTCAGATCTAGAGCAATCAAAATACTTATACACAAGTTAATATCCTGCAACTAGAAAAATGCTTTTTTTGGGCCCCTAATTCCTAAACGGTTGTGACCATCATCCCCAAAATCAATCCCAACTTTCCTTTTGTTGTATTGAACCTTCTAAAAAAATTTCATAGAGATCCATTCACTTAAACAAAAGTTATTGTCCGGAAACCAATGTGTCTTCGGACGACGATGACATCATACCATTATACGATCCCAAAAAAAATTTTGCGGTCGTATAAAAACCAGTCAACATCTGAGAATTACAAATTTTTTTTTCTGGTTTTTTGAATATCTGTAAAAAATCTGATTATTCCAACATCCATGTAGGAATAAATTAAAAACAAACCTTGACTGTAAGAACACTTGAAGATGCCATCAAATATTCTTTGTTTTTAGGATTAAAATGTAATTGTCCATCTATCTGAAAGTTTAGCTTTACGGATACAAAACTTTTTCCACTGTCTTCTGTTATGTACAGTACTGTTCCATCAGGACGAACAGATACTAAATATACCTGTTAAATTAGAAATTATTCGTGACAAGCAAATTATGAAGTACAATACAAAAACATTTTGCATAAAGAAAAGTCATAACTATCAATATCTAAATGATGAAAAATATGGTGTCATTACTCATTAGTCATCTCCAACAGCAACATTTTTATCAGACCCAAATAATCATAAACAGGTTTTTATTTTTTTTAATAAATGTTGTAATACAAATATTATATTTCAGCTATATTTCCATCTGCAACAAATATATTTTTCAAATGGATTTATTTGCAAATTAGGTTAGAGAACGGAAACGAAAAAATTAAGCAATTTTTCCATTTGTAAAGGGGCATAACTCTAGAAAGGTAAAAGTGACACCACCCAAATTCAGACTTGATCTGTGTTTTGTGGTAACAAGCATTGTGTATAAGTTTCATGTCATTTGGTTGAGGCAAACTAAAGTTAGAGAACATAAACCAATATCGGGACGTACAGACAAGGGTAAAACTTAATGCCCCCCGCTCCGGCGGGGACATAATAAAATCATTATTTTATGATTAGAATTGCAGATTGATACAACCGCAGAGGTCAAACCCTGAACAGTTGAGTCAAGTATGGACACAACATTCAAGCTTGATACAGCTCTGAATTTGGATTGTGATTATATATTTGATACAGCCTAGGTTTCTGACACAGAATGAATGTGGTCTAAGAAATTTGAAATTGGACATTTACCTATTATGGTCCAATATCCAAAATGTAAATACATTGTTAATTCAGCATATGAAAGAACCCCAAGAATTCTATTTTTGATGAGATCATTTAAAGTATAATTTGGACCATTTGGACCAATATAAAAACAGGGCCATAACTCCAAAATCTAAATACATGGTTTATAGATTCAGCATATTAAAGAATTCAATACTTTGAATTAAACCCTATTGAAATTGGTCAAGAAATAAGCAATTTATACTAGTATTAGAAAAGTATTGTTTTTGGCCACAGTTTCCTTAACGGTTAGGGCAACAACCCCCATAAATCAATCCCAACCTTCCTTTTTTAGTATGGAACTTTGTCGTACAATTCCATAGAGATCCATAGACTTATACTCGTTATTGTTAGGCAGCCAGAAAATCCCAGTTTTTGGGCCCCTAATTCCTAAATGGTTTAGGCCATACCCCTGAACCTTCCTTTTGAGGTATTGAACCTTTTGGAACAATTTCATAGAGATCCATACAATTATACACAAGTCATTGTCCTGAAACAAGAAAAATGCTTGTTTTTTGGGCCTTTAATTTCTTAATATTTAGGACAATAACCCCCAAAATCAATCCCAACCTTCCTTTTGTGGTATATAACCTTATAGTATAATTTCATAGAGTTTCATACAGTGATACTCAAGTTATTATCTGGAAACCAAATGAGGACAACATCATTCCATTACCGTAGAAAGGCTTGTATAGTCCGCGGTTTTATTCTCCAAAATTGGACCTTCCAGACGGGGTGCGGACTATAGAGTACAATAAGCAAGAAATAAGAGAAAAATTTCAATTTCGTGGTCGAGGTGGTTTGTTTACGTTCCGCCATCTTTGTTATTTCTATTGTAGAGGGCGCTCTTATCATTTTTCAAACTAATAATTTTAACTCATCCATATTAATAAGTTATTTCTATTCAATATCAAATTAATACTGATAAATATAAAAAACTAAACCTTTCATTACAAATTTCTCGTTTCTTTTCAATGCATTGGTTGAAATAAACTGGTATCTGCTTGATTGAAACGATACAAACATAGGGAAAAAGACAACCGTAAACCAGCTTAGAATTTGTAAACTACAAAACGTAATCGGTTATTGTTCGTTCCGTTTTGGTGTTTCATACTGACTAATATGGTTTGTATTAGCTTAAGACCCTTCAAACATTAATGCGATAGATATATTAAAGACTGTTTTACAAAAGGATGGAACTGTTTTACTTTCAAAGTCGTATTATAGTGATATCTGTTATGTACGGATTTCGACTCTCACCGGTTAATTTCTTCTTTTACACGTGCTTTTTAAACTTCCTGTTTAAACATACACAAGTTTCTAAATTGTTTTTTAAGTGAATTAAACTTATTTTAACAATCATGAAGCGTTCTAGAATCATTTACAAGCAGTTTCAGCTTCTGTTTGATGATGGAAAACAGGTTTTTCCAAGAAAATACCGCAAACGACCGCACAGGATTTGAAATTACCGGAGTTTCATTAGACCTTTTCTAACAGTTACAAAAAGTTTTTTTACCTAAAATTTCGTTGGGAGAAGGGGGTGCGGACTATGTACCACTGCGAACTATACAAGCCTTTCTACGGTATATGGCCTCAAAATTTTGCAGTCATATAACAATTCATGGTAGCCATTAATTATTGAAAATTAAACACAGGATGCTTTGTTTGTGTAGAATTTTTACCCGCAAATAAAGCATTAATTCTGTTCAAATTCGAAATAAACCATGGCAGTGATGCTTTATTTTGATTCTTATAAGAAAATTTGAAAACTTTTTTGCATTAAAAGCTGACCAAAAAAACTTGTAAGAAATACAGTCATTTTGATGTGATGAAGTAAAAACATTCTTAAAAAAAGATTGTTTCACAATTTGAAGTATACAAATACATGTACAGATACTTACTTTTTTAGATTTAATTGAACTTCTTGGCGAGCAACTCCCACAGAAATCCCATTTTGATTTCAAGTGTCATTAAAATACATATGCTACAAATTTAATTGTGATGTTAAGCAACTGTACATTATATTTGAAAAAACTTTCAGCAAGGACCACAATTTTGAAGATTTGTTCATTTTAGGGACATTATTTACCTTATTAGTATCATCTGTATGTCTAAATATCCCAGCATGCTTTCTGATGAAAGTTGGCTCTTTACTAAGCTTACTGGTAATATTCTCAAATGTCTTACCATAGTCTTCTCTGTAAATATGTACAGAAATATGGTTTGAAAACATACATGCAAAGTGAATATTTTTATCATATTTCCCAATATATCATTTTGCTAAGCTCACAAATAAACTGTACATCACAACCATTAAAGGTTAAAAAGAATTTACTTGACAATATATAGTCCGACTCAAAGGTATCAAGCATCATAATTTATAAACCAACATCATTATGGTAAGCTTAATTTTATATAAATATATCCCTGCACCTGTGAGTACTTAAGGGGGAAATATTGCTTTCTTTTTGCAAAGAAATATATTAGGCAATAGTTTGAACTGAACTATCTCCCTTTGTTCATAGTTGTTAATATAATTGAGAATAAAATTGAGAAAAGAAACAGGGAATGTGTAAAAGAGACAACAACCCGACCAAAGAGAAGAAAACAGCCCAAGGCCACCAATGGGTCTTCAACACAGCAAGAAAATCCCGCACCTGGAGGTGGGCTTCAGCTGGCCCCTATACACCAAGCATCCTTTTCTGCAACTTGTGTAATTTTAGAAAAATTGGTTTTCTTTACAATTTATATGTTGTAAATTGAATATCTTTGTATATATCATCCATTAAATAATTGTTTGACAGAGGTATTCATAGATCCACAATATATTGTGTGTACACAAAAAACACAGGTAGAGAGAGATACATGGCTAAAATATAGCTACATGTAACCATTCAGTGGCTATACGTATTATATTGCACTTTGTATAATCTTTATCCCTAAAACAGCTTAAGTAACAAATGTTTGCAGAGGTACCAGCAACTAAATTCTATAAATGCTTGTGGTACAAGTGACCTATGTTCTGTAAATAATTGTTTTGTTAAATATAGTGACTTACATACTACTGGTAACCATGGCACTAATGACTTACAATTCTATAAATTTTTGAGGCTACAGTGAATAATTCAAACAAATGTTTGTGGCAAAACCGACTTGTGTTCATATTTTTTGCGGCAGCCCTGACTTGTGTTCATATTTTTTTATGGCAGCAGTGGCTTTTATTCAAAACTATTGTGGTATCAAGAAACACCTAAGGAAGTTAACTCTTTAAAAATCAGATGAACATTTTAATTACATATTATTACATGTAGTAAAGAGAAATCAAGCTTCTCAATGATCAAAATTAGTGTTTGTCAAACTGCTATATATTCAATGAAATTATTCCTGTAAATTGTGTTATTCAAAGTTCTTGAATTTTTTATATTTTTGTTAACCAGTCAAAGTAAATATTTTGTCAAAATTTTATGAGAATTAAGAGCCAAATCTACTTTAGTCAAAGTGTTGGGTACCCCCTCAGTTGTGGCATTGCTGACTTACATTCTTTAAGAGTTTGTGGCACCAGTGACTTAGGTTCAATACATGTTTATGGCATATATGACTAACATTCTACAAATGTTAGAGAAAGCAGTAACTTACGTTCTATATATATTAGAGGCACCTGTTGCTATACCAAAAGATTCTTGACTTGTCACTACTATCATTGTCTGAAAAGGACACAAAAAATATTGAGTCATGCCTTTTCACATCCAACAACATATTTACTAGACAGTAGATGAAACATATGGAAGATCATGCTATCCTTCAAAAGCATGTTACGTTAATACAGGGTTCTCACTAAGGTATGTACATGAGTCCTGGACTCATGAAAATATGTCTGGACTCATCATTTTCAAAACTGGTGAAACCAAAGATGCATCAAGATTATAAAATGTTGTATCAACTGAGCATGTATATCATCATTTTATAACAAAAGTTTGAAAAAAATCTAAATTAAATGTCATTTCCTTGCTCTGTTTTGTCATGGAGACTGAAATAATAGATTATATAGCAATGAAATTTCATCTTCCCACTGTTAGACTCTCCATGGCCAAAAAATGACGAGTCCTGGACTCACCTTAAAAAATCCTTAGTGAGAACCCTGTTAATACCAATATTTTAACTTTATTTTATATTTATTCAAAACTATAAGCTTTTAGTGGAGTTGATGTCAATGTTTTGATTTTATTTTCAGTCTGTGCAGTTGATTTGTATAAATATAAATCATGTCCTGTTTGCTGTAAATTTCTGAATTTTTCTTTTAAGCCTTTAAGTAATTTTTTTTATATTCTAATTTCTAAATACTACACTCTGATTAAGGATGTATTCTTCTGATGTTTCAGTCTCGTTGAAATCTCCTTCAGACATGTCAGAAATTATTTCCAAAACATGTGATACAAGTGGAAAATATCAAGAAATTTAAAAAATATTACAATCAAACTATGTGAAAAAAATGTGTACTTACAATAAGCAGTTTTTATGTAATAAAATGGGTGAAGTAAAAAAGAAATGATTTTACCAAAAATATATACATCCCATATCAATTTTTTCTTTTCAAAATTCTTAGATATGTACTTTTTCAATCATTCATAACAAAGAAGTTGATATAATATGATTTTTGTTCTAAATAAAATGCTCCGCTGGGGCGCAGCTTGATACAACCGCAGAGGTCGAACCCTGAACAGTTGGGGCAAGTATGGACACAACATTAAAGCTTGATACAGCACTGAATTTGGATTGTAATTAAATATTTGACACAGCAAAGGTTTCTGACACAGAATGAATGTGGTCTAAGAACTTAAAATTTTTAATTTACCTATTCAAACCATATTATTATGATTTGCTTTTATATATAAATCAGATATAACCAATTTAAAATGGAAAATTTTAAAGAAAAAAAAGGAAAAAAAAATCCCCCCCAAATTTTTTGAACCCCCTTATGATTCATCACCACCAAACTCAATCCCAGCCTTCCCTTCGTGGTATGGTACCTTGCAGTACAATTTCAGAGAGATCCGTACACTTGAACACAAGTTATTGTCTGGAAACTAGAAAAATGCTTGTTTTTTTGCCCCTTTTTTGCCCCAAATTCCTAAACGTTTAGGGCAATTACCCCCAAACTCAAACCCAGCTTTCCCTTTGTGATATGGAACCTTGCAGTACAATTTCATAAAGATCCATACACTTACACACAAGTTATTGTCCTGAAACTAGAAAAATGCTTGGTTTTTTTTGCCCCTTTATGGCCCCTAATTCCTGAAATTTTGAGGCAATTACCCCAAAAATCAATCCCAGCATTCCCGTTGTGATATGGAACCTTGTGGTACAATGTCAGAGAGATCCATACACTTACACACAAGTTATTGTCATGAAACTAGAAAAATACTTGTTTTTTGCCCCTTTTTGGCCCCTTATTCCTAAACGATTTGGGCAATTTCCCCCAAAACTCAATTCCAGCTTTCCCTTTGTGATATGGAACCTTGCAGTACAATTTCATAAAGATCCATACACTTACACACAAGTTATTGTCATGAAACTAGAAAAATGCTTGTTTTTCGCCCCTTTTTGGCCCCTTATTCCTAAAATTTGGAGGCAATTACCCCCAAAATCAATCCCAGCATTCCCTTTGTGATATGGAACCTTGTGGTACAATGTCAGAGAGATCCATACACTTACACACAAGTTATTGTCATGAAACTAGAAAAATACTTGTTTTTTGCCCCTAATTCCTCAAATTTGGAGGCAATTACCCCCAAAATCAATCCCAGCATTCCCTTTGTGATATGGAACCTTGTGGTACAACGTCAGAGAGATCCATACACTTACACACAAGTTTTTGTAATGAAACTAGAAAAATGCTTGTTTTTCGCCCCTTTTTGGCCTCTAATTCCTAAAATTTGGAGGCAATTACCCCCAAAATCAATCCCAGCATTCCCTTTGTGATATGGAACCTTGTGGTACAATGTCAGACAGATCCATACACTTACACACAAGTTATTGTCATGAAACTAGAAAAATGCTTGTTTTTTTGCCCCTTTTTGGCCCCTAATTCCTAAAATTTGGAGGCAATTACCCCCAAAATAAATCCCAGCATTCCCTTTGTGATATGGAACCTTGTGGTACAATGTCAGAGAGATCCATACACTAACACACAAGTTATGTCTGGAAGTTACAAAAATGCTTATTTTTGGCCCCTAATTCCTTAACTGTTGGTACCATAACCCCCAAAATCAATCCCCACCTTCCTTTTGTAGTATTGAACCTTATGGTAAAATTTCATAGAGATCCATTCACTTAAACTAAAGTTAGAGTGCGAAAACCAATGTGTCTTCGGACGACGACGACGACAACGCCAACGTCATACCAATATACGACCACAAAATTTTTTTTGCAGTCGTATAAAAAAGGGAAACTCCTAAATCTACAAAATTTACAGCATGGTCAATTTGACACGAAAAAACAACAAAATTTTATAAAACTTTCTTATATTAACACCTACCTATAGTTTATTTAAGTTAAATTTATTCAGATTGGTCCACTTCATCTTTAGTAAAAGCATGAAAATAAGTTTGTGAAACTGTGATTTTTTTTCATGAGAATAGCCCCAAAATGGGTAAAAATTGATCAAATGGAAAAAATCATAAAAATGGGGTACTTTCAAATGGCTGAAGCAAAAAAAGGAGTGCACCACCATATGATTTTTTCTTCATCAATTATTTTCTTACAGTCATATAAACCTTAAAATCAGGTTAAGAAAAAAAGTTTAATTCTAGAAATTTTTGTCTCCTCAGAGGTGTACATCCTTAACATAAACAAATTAAAATTTATTCAATCTCATGAGCATTTTTGAATTATTTCTCTTACACCAAGAGGATAATGTAAACATTCATAAAATTTTCTTTTAGTATGTAAATTGATTGCTAAAACAAATCTATACATACCCCATGAGTACCGGCCCAGGCCAAAGCCATTCCTGTATTACTATCATTCTGAAATACTCTCTGAAACAGAAAACATCACTATACAAATCATTTGATAGGACATTCCATTAGATTGATCATGAAGTAACATGCATCTGTGCTTATAATATACTACCATTTCATTTTTAACTCTGGTGGATAGTTGTCTCATGGGCAATCATACCCCATCTCCTTATTTCTAAATTAATATTGGTAAAGCATCATGGAAACTTGAAAGTTATCAATCTGTCTTCTATGGGAGGTTATAACAGCGATAGTTCTTTATTTATATATGCATTCTTTCCTATTTCAGTTTCCAATTCTATTTAACTATATGACATGTTTATCTCCAACTTAAATTTTTTATTCCATCTTCATATGACATTTTAAAATCCTAGAATCTTAGTAAGTGTCCCTATCATATTCTTTTAGATGCTTCTTTATTTCTCATGTGAGAATTCATATACTATATTAGCGTCTCTTAGTGCCAACTTCTCAAACTATATTATGTGTGCGACCTTAAAATGGTAGATTGAAACCAAACAAAAATTGAAAGTAGGTTCAGTCATTATACTGGGTATAGGTATCAGTAATACTTTGTTTGCAGAAAAACAATAATTTCAGAACAAAAGTTCTGAAAAAAAAAATCAGAATTTAACATTCAATAATACATTTTCAAAATACCAGCAAATGGTAATATATCTTTACAAGGCAGAATGTCCAGTAAATATCTGATAACCACACTAAGATATATCAGACCTTTGATTCACTGTTTGCTTATGAATTTTCTTTCAGTATGTAAATTGGTTGTAATCAAAACAAATCTATATTATAATGAACCTCAGAATCTCTTTTATAAAAATAAGAAGATGTGATATGTTTGCCTAATTAATCTTTAAATTGATGCATTTTAACTAAATCTTTCTTATCCATTTAGTGAGTGCACGACACAGACACACACACCTGCTTTAGATTTTGTTCAGTTTTTTTCCTAAAACTTTCATAGGGAAACTTAAATATTCTGAGAGCACTTTGCACATAAGCCAGTGACTTGATTAGTCATTGTCTGATAATATATAATTACACCACATTCTACAGTTAAGTTTTTCATTCATTTATACATAAACTAATCTACAAACATGATTTTTACAATAACATGAGATAATCAGATTGAAAGTTTGGAAGTCTGGAGTACTTGTATTATTATTAATTTAATCATTTCCTTGCAATTAAGTTCTCTTGTTCAAACGATACATTAAATATTGTACATGTACTTAATTAAGTAATTTCTGTTTTTTCCTACTAAAAAAGAAATTAAATATTTGCCTTATGTTACACATGTACTTTTGTATCAGAGATGATGAACTTTGAACTTGAACCTTACAATAGATCTGACAAAATTAGTTATAAATGTTTAACTACTTTTAAAAATGTAAACTTTATAATGGATTTTATTTTAAGCTGGATATGTTTACCTTTAGAAACAAACGGGAGAAATAATCAGTATTATTTAAGTATATTTAGCTCACAAATATCCAAATAACATTACATTTCTTGAGCTTTTAAAGGCTTATTAAAAACAAATCAATGAAGTTAATAAATAAAATTCAATCATGCAGTAAATATAAACAGGATTTTTCAACATTTGTTACCATCAAACTTCATATGAGAATGATTAAATCTAAATGTAATCACATGACACTTGAAAACCATGTGATTGACTATTATAGTGAATAATTTAATTGAAGTTTAATCTATTTTTTAGCTCACTTGGCCCTATGGACCAGTGTGAGATATTGCAAATCAAATGGTGTTCATCCATTGAAATGGTATATTATTCAATAAATGATCTTCTCAGACTTTGTGACATCAATTGGAATAAATCTTGTTCTGAATCAGTCCACAGGTTGTTTTGCGACAAACTTTTGTTTGATGTGAAAATTCAACACAACAAATCACTTAGATAGATTCAAGAAGTTTGACTTGTAGAAAGTTCTATCTAAACTTTATTAATACAAAAATAAGGAGAACCAATATGACAGCTGCTATCCACAAGAGTCAAAATGACGTGGATGTAAGCAATTATAGTTTACTGATGGGTGTTTAATATACAATGGCTAGTAATAGTATTGTATGTATATTTAGGATGACATGTGCTTTTGATATGAATATTCACTACTTTATCCTAAAAGACACGCTCAGTCAAATTTTTAACCTGCTAGCTCACAAACAAATGTAGTAACAGTATAAGAAGACATATATCACCATTTTAAAACACAATATCCCAAAACTTCATTTGTGTTTATAATGCTAAGCCAGTCTTTACTTTTTAATGCTGTGTGGAAACGACACCAAAGACCAATTTCAAAGTCCCTGGTTTGATCAGGCCAAGAATCAAACAAAAGACTTGTGCACTCAATATAAACTTGTAAAATATGTTCATCATAACCTATCCCCTAAGTGAAAAAAACACAAATTATTCACAGGTTTTGTCTTGTTTTTTAATTTTCTATCTTAACTTTGTGATAATTACTGTCTACACAAAATGAAAGCTGTTTTTTTCTAAATAAAATAATGAAATAACCGGTACGATTTGAAAACACACAAATAATCAACCAATATATGAGAGACTGTGCTTCTACAGTGCATATGTAATAAAGCAACTCTGCTCTAAAACATTTAAAGTCAAAACAGGGAAAGGCTGTTGCTCATGTCTAAAATTAATATTCAAATGCAACAACTCAAAAGTCTGAAGGGATAAGCAACTACATTAACATGTTATATTTTAAAATTCCTCAAATCAGAGACTTGACATAATGAATATTCATAAATTGGTATTTGACAACCCTGTAAGACATGTACACATACATGTATGTGGCCCCATACCCACTTTTTTCATAAATCTAAAGAAACATTTAGTTTTGAAATTTGGCTTTACCTGTAGAATTTTATTTAACCAAGCCAAAAAATTAGCTTAAGCTAACTTAAGATATCCCTACTTTCAGTGCATTTGTACTTGGTGGAAATTTCAAGGGATGGACCAACAGATGGACAGACAGGGATATAAATAAAAATAGGATATCATATATAAATTTCATGGAATTGTCATTTGTAAATATTATCAATTTAGATATACATTTACTTTTGTAAGCCATTGAACCTTATTTTAATGGTCCACTGGTAGGGCTTGTAGAAATTGGTTGTATGTTGAATGGTTAGATCTTTAAATATTGTCTGAATTGAATAAAAAATATTTTATTATCAATTGTTTAATACAATTTAAACAAATCATGCATATGCATCATACGCATTTGAGTAATTGATGGTACTTAGTCACTTTCAGCAATCTTATATATATTATGGTGGCCACTTTTTATTGGTGGATGAAGCAAGAGTACCTAGATAGAACCACCCCTACATCAATTAAGAGGGTTCAAGCTTACAACCCCAGTGTTGACAGGGATCACTGTATATTAGCTACTTTGACCACTCCACCACAGTGGTCTCTAACCACCTCCATGGTCTTGTGGTACATGAAGCTTACATGTACTAGCCTTTAGTGTAGGAGGTATTGGGCTAAAATGCCAAACTTCGACGAATTAGACTAAAATCAATATTTGTCACCTCTCTGCCAAGCTGACAAAAAATTACATACATTTGTACCTGATATAATTGACTTATCATAATTGATTCCCCTTAAACTGACCTAATAAAAAAACTTTTACATATAATCGATGGACAAGTTTCAAAGTCAATAGACCATGAATGAGGGTTCAGGGTCAAATAATTTTGTTTCCATGGAAATGAGATGTGTCAATGCTAATACAACTGTTCACTTTATATCATTGATTAACCATTAGTTACATGTGTAGCAGGTCATTAGGAATGACCGCGACATGTCTAAGTGACATGTAAGGAACTAGCCAGATGGTTTTCAAGAAAGATTCCGGGTTCGCCCTGAAATGGACCTGTGAGCTACTCTAATGGAATAGTACACTATACACAGCGCAACATACAGCAAAGATAAACAACACATGGTCCAAATAGCCTGACTTGATACAGCACTACAGGCACAAAATGTTTTACCATGTTTAACTGCGAACAAACCTCCCTTTTTCTTTCAAGACCATATATACATGTACATGTATCATAAAAGCTTGATATGGTTCCACTTGAAAACAGTGTAGTTCGGCGGTTGTCGTTTGTCAATTGAATTGTTTCCTATTTTTCATGTCGGGGCCTTTTATAGCCAACTATACGGTATGGGTTTTTCTCATTGTTGAAGGCCGTACGGTTGCCTATAATTGCTTACATCCACTTCATTTGAACTTTGGTGGATAGTTGTCTCATTTGCAATCATACCTCATCTCCTTATTTTTATAGTGTTAGGGTTTAGGGGGTAGGCTGTAGGCTTGTACATACAACTTTTTCGGGTTACTCAGTAAACACTCACTTCTACTTTCACTTTCGACGTTTACTGTTAGCCAATGAGTATATAAAGACATTTGATGAACATTACATATATAATTTATGTTATTGTATGTAAATATTGTTGGTAAGGTCTCTTCATTGTTTGACCAGGGAGGGTTCCATGACTGAATGACTGTTCCCAACTTCTGTTTACCCTAATTTCACACCTTCCCTGCATTGTTACCTTTCTATTTATTTGTGTTAGGCCTGAATATTATAACCAGGGCCCATACATGCTAGAGTAAGCTTAGTTAAGTCCTGTTTGTCCATTTTCCGACTTGACAGAATGTCAACATTCACATTCACCACCATTTGCATTGGCAACTATATTGATATCAGTGATCACGACCCGAGATCAGCATCCTATCAGCATTACGTAATTTGCCAACATTCACTATAGGTGCACGAGACTGGTGGGACAGTTGTATAAAAACGAGTGATTATCAGTTTTCAAGAGGACTGCGGCCAGCTACCAGCATTCTGCCAAGTCAGAAAATGAACAAACAGGACTTGTTTGTCAGGTAATTCAATTAATTCAAAATTATGTTAACATAATGAACAGACTTACAAGAGGAACGAAAAAACTGGACTTATGGTGTACATTGTCCCATTATTCATGTTATTCAGCAATATATATACAGATCTATAGTACATGTTGTTGATGGAGCTCGCTGGTCTGGGCTTCTTTTTTTACCAGGTTGGGAACAACCCCAAAAATGAGGGATATCCCTTAATTGTGGGACTGTCCCTCAGACAAGGGGTCATTTTGCTGTTGTAGAAAAGAAAAAAAAAAACTTTTTTAACTTAAAAAGGGAAAAACATTATATTTGGAACAACTTTTCTAAAAGGGGGGTCCACTTATTTTTAATAGTAAAGACGATTGAGGTCCATGATTATTACAAAATTCATGGACATGTTTTGACAATATAACACTAGATAGATGTATATTTCTTTGGGAACTTCTGTACTAAGAAGTGGTTTTTACCCCCAAAAAAATTGTCATCAGTGATCACATGAAATGTACCCCATCTGACACAAAAGGGATCTATACTATAGCCTATATATATTTATGTGCTCTATGCGTAATTATGTTTAGTCGCGTAGTACCTATGGTAAGAACCGGTTTGGATTTCGCGGATAGTATATAAGAAAAGGATCAAGTTTTTCAGTTATCGAGGTTAGGTGGTGACCATGTTGATTACTACTACAGTGTAGACATATTTACAGTAGTGTAGAAATGTTATGTAATTCAGAGATCAATTGGATGTGTACTAATTATGATATTTGTTTATTTTTAGATATTCTGTAAGGCCAGTGTACCATAAAAAAAAAAAAAAAAAAAAATATTCAGTGAATCCAATGTTTTTGTGGACAGTGAAATGATGATTTAGCTTGTATAATGTTTAATATGGGGACGAAGTCCCCTATTACAGTAGAAAAATCAATAAAAAAAAAAAAAAAAAAATCGGGAAATTTTCCCGAAATTTTCTTTGTACTAATGAACTCAAAATCGTTAACTTTTTTTGGTAACTTTTTGTAATTCCCGCATTTGCACAGAAATCTACTTCCTTCTTCCGGTCTCGTTTGTTGTGAGACTTTGAGTGAAATATATATTTATCAGTCCAGTAAAATATAGGAAGGAACACAATAACAATTTCATTTCTAATCAATCTTTGATATGAAAAAACGTTACCTGATGATAGCGTTACTTTGTTTACATTGAATATGACGTCATAATTAAAATAACGTCACAACTAAAATCCCTAACAGCAGAACCAAAATCGGAAACGTTACGGTATTTCCATTTCTTTTTTAACAGATTTAAAACTTAAAATATGTTTGAATTAAAAAAAAAAAATGTATATAGACTTCGTCCCCTTTCACAGGTAATGCCTAATGCCTGCCTCATATTAAAATGACATGGTCACCGTGCTGGACAAAATCAGAAATGTGTTTCTTATTTTATACCAAGAATGATATAGTATACAGTTTGGGTTTGAAGTAGGTTTCAGAAATTAAGTAGCGATGTGCACATAAATACTTTATGTTCGTTTGAACAAGTGAATTAGAACTTAAATAGTCATTTCATTGAGGGGTTGTTCCCAACCTTTTTACTGAACAGTTAAGCATATATTCGTTCTTTTCTCAAAACTTTGTTGGATGTGCTTTTTTTTATATCTTAGGAAACCTATGTGTGCATTGTATACTTTTTCCAGTATTTGCGTCTTCTTCTGAAGAACATCGGTAAGAAATGTTGTTTCTTGTGATTGGCAAACTGAGTCAGCATCACGCCGAAATCGTGTTTGCCTATGACTTCCTTGAAGTTTCGAAGGTATGTCGTTTTGTGATATCTCGAAGTGATGTACAAACTCCCTGCTGCAATGACACTTCTGATAGACTGTCAAAGCCAAAACAAACCAAAGATGTAACTTCATTCTTCCGTGGTAATATGTGTTCAACGACGTTTCCGTTTCACGTGAAAGATAAACCAGCGACACCTATAATAATATTGCAATTATCGACCCTTTTTCTCCTTTATAATTTTTTGCCTCCTAAATTTACAAAAACACCTCTAATGATGCAATATTTGCGGTCGTTTACAGTGGAAACCATGTCCTAATTGTACATATTTCTTCCCAGATTTACATTTACAATTACATTCTCAAATATTAATCTTCATTTGACTGAAATGTTTGATTTTTTTTAGTTTCTTTAGCTAAGCAACTTAACTTATAATTATAGTTATACAGTTTAGAAATAATGATTGACCTTAGTAAGATAAGATGCTTATAATACATACATATTCACAGGAACTAGTCTCTGAATTTTTTTTAACCTATATACTTTAAATGTTATATTAAAGTATAAAGGTAAAAAAAAATCAAAGACACTGAGTGCCTTTGAACAGAATTACTAGACAAATCATTGCTTTTATAGTCATGTTATTCTGGAACATAACTTGGGATATGTTATGATGTGTCCTCTTCGGCGTACTTTTGTAATACATGTAGATGTTGATCCTTTCTTTTCCATTTAACATGAAGCCGAAAAGATATATAAGTATCATTCTGGCTAAGTAAGTGGGAACTAAGTAAGTTTTATACTATGTACCAATAACAATAAGCATCACTTAAGAAAGTTGGCTTACAACCGACTATAACCATGATAACATATATACACTGAACCATCACAATAAACAATATTTCATCTATCATCGGACTAGTACACAATAGCATATAAATATTAGCACACATATAACAATCAAATAAGATAAGCACATATGTATTAGGCGGTATGTATTAGCATCAAATACAATACTCATCAGATTGAAATAAATCCGTCATAATATGGAGCAAAAGCACTTTCAAAATGTCACATAAGCACATAAATAATGATTAAGTACATAGAAATGAGGTAATGGTTCTAATGTCATCTATAATATAAAGTAAGGCATGTAGTCAATAAGCATGTATCGTAAAGCAGGTAGCAAAAATAAAACATATATGAATTTCTGTCCTACATTCCAAATATTCGGTCCTGACATTTTTAAATGAAATTATTAAGCCATACAATTCTAATGCAGGAATATGCAATTAATCTTTATTGTTATATAGCAAGAACAAAGTTCATCGACCCCGTGTATTTTTATTTTATGAAAGCGTTTTATACCCACTCCAGCTATCTTTTCGTGTTCTATTTCAAAATTCTGTAATATCTAGTTTTCTTTTTATTCCCCTAATCATACTTCGAGAAGCTATATGACCAAAGGGATAAAAAAAAAATAGTCACGAAAACTTAACCTTGATCATCGATCCATAAAATGAGATTGAGGTCAGTTGAACTATATAAATAAGAAGATGTGTCATGAGTGCCAATGAGACAACTCTCCATCAAAGTCACAATGTATAAAAAGTTAACAATTATCGATCAAAGTACGGCCTTCAACACGGTGCCAGGGCTCACACCAAACAGCAAGCTATAAAGGGCCCGAAAATGACTAGTGTAAAACAATTTAAACAGGAAAACCAACGGTTTAATTTATATACAAAATGAGAAACGAGAAACACCTATAAACCACACCAACAAACGACAACTACTGAACAATAGGCTCCTGACTTAGGACAGGTGCATATAAATGCAGCGGGTTTAAACGTTTTAACAGGCGCCAACCTTCATCCTAACCTGAGACAGTATTGTAACATTACAACATAAAAAGACACACTATAAAATATCAATTGAAATGGCTGAACTCGATCAATAAGACATTTAAACAAAAACAAGTAAACATACACTGAACGAATAAGTTTGATCTATCACACAACATAAATGCAATATTAAAACGTAGGTGCCTACATCAAATAGACGTTACAGGTAGTAATAAAAAAGATTTAGGAAGAGTGTCAAAAAGACAACTCTTACCTGGGACAAAAAATATGTCTGACGGACATGTAGGCCTTGCTTGCACTAAATAAAGTTATCATTTTACTCATTACAAGTGTGTTTTTCACATGACAAAAGCAGTCATGAGCACTAAACCATGATAATGAGGTCAATTGAGGAAATATGACAAACGGAAACTTTGTAACATGAGGTATCTGCATACAAGGTACAAAGCATCCATGTCTTTTACCGTCTAAAATATAAAGCTTCATACAAATAATTTACGCCACCGCCAGATTGTAATCCCTATGACTCGGATTTCTGTGACTTTTGTCACAGGCGTAACAGTAAATCATGTAAGCACCGAAGCAGAGACTACTGAGCTGATGATATTTCTGTGTAGTGCTTTGCGGTTTATTCTTCGACTTATAGTTTTTAATTGCTCCAATGGTATCATTTCCCTCATTTGAACAGCAGTTATTACAATAACATATATCTCAATGTAATATTATATCATTCTTATTTCAATTCTGCTAACAAGTGAATTAATCAAAATGTATATCCTAGCAATAAAGGCATTTTCATTAAATTTCCTCGGTGAAAGGACTGTCAAAAAAACAATGATTTCACGCTTAATCTGAAACTACTCATCAAACACATGTGTACAAAATATAAGCATAAATTCTGAAAGTAAAACTGTAAACAGCAGAAACAGTTCACATTCAAGATTTTGTTTTTAAAGGGTTGTAATTACCTAACAAGAGGCACACATGTGCTTGTATCGCTCACCTGGCGAAAAAAAATCACCAGTTTGATAATAAGGACTTTTATATGCACATTCTATAGTAACTGTTTGTGTTGCTGATCATTTTTGCAGTTTACATGATAAACCTAGATCCTATAGGATTTTAGATAACAGACAAAATTGCAAAAAAAGTAAAAATCAACATTTCAGGGACAATAGCTCAAAAAACAGGTTGTCAAAAATCATTAGAGTATATAGATCTTTTTACGCTGAAATTTCTTTTTCAGTTTTCCATTTTAACCTAGCTCCCAAGGTTTTCAAAATAACAGCAAAAAATGCGAACATCGGAAATATTTAGATTTCAGGGGCAATAACTCAAAATCAGGTTGACAGATTTTTCTGAATTTTCAGGGTTGATAAGTCTTGTCGTGCTTATCATTTTTATAGTTAACACACTTAAACTAGCTTCGTCCTGAACAGGCATGATATATTTGCCACTGGATGTTAAGCAACCAACAATCAATCAACCAATCTCAACCTAGCTCATATACCCTTTACGATAACGACCAAAACCCGCAAAAAATGATTATTTCAGGGGCAATAAATCCAAAACAGGTTGACAGATTTTTCCTTGATTTTCAGGGTAGATACATCTGGTCGTGCCTAACCTTTATGCAATTTACACTTTAACCTAGCTCCTATAGTTTTCACGATAACAGCCAAAAACTACAAAAATAATCATTTAAAGGGCAATCACTCCAACACAGGTCAACAGATATTTCTCAAATTTTCACGGTTGGTACATTTTGCCGTGCTGAACCTTTTTGCAATTTACACTATTGAATTTAAACCTAGCTCCTATATTTTTCCCAACAGCCAACAACTGCTAAAATGTATGGGGAAAATCAATACTTCAAGGGCAAAAACTCCAAAAGAAGCTTTTAGATTATTCTCAAACTTTTATGGTGACTATTTTTACTCTGTGTATAATTTTAGTGATAAAAGCCAAACAGTATTTTGACACTAATATTCTGTTTTTAGACATGGTGGCCATGTTGGTTGATGAACATTGATGAAAATATCACAAACTTTATAGTTGACTTCCTAAAAATGAAGCCGTCAAACCTTTGGTTTCAATACGTTAAGTTGTTTCACAGAAGAGCAAAAAAAATCGGTTTACGGACGAAACAAGGACTACGGACAAAAGTGATAGCAAAAGCCCTTCGACCCAGAAACTATTTGCTATAAAATATAAATAAAATATATACAGTATCATGTACAACAAAACATAGGTGGGCTTGGGAAAAGGAACGAGCAAGCTCGAGGGCGGCGAATTTAGACATCCATTGGAAAAGTGGATTTCGTTATCCAATCAACCGGACGTTATCGCTTTCTCGGTCCATACAGTAAAAAAACAACAACAAAAACACCTCATTCTCAGTACTGGGTTTACCTGGTTTAACAGACAGTATCAGTCTATTTTATTAACGGGCATACGTCTACAACCAAGTCATTTTTGAAATCCTGTATACGAAGGCATCAATTATGAAACAGCAATCAATCGGACATCATGCAGATGCCAAAAGATATGAATGTTTTGAATGACGATATTCAAGATGCTTTCGAACTTTACTCTATTTCGTAGGATTTAAAATGCGTTCTTAATATGTAAATATTGAATACAGCATATGTTGAGATAAATATTTATAAAATGTATGTATGAGATTACAGAGAAGGCAATTTGATTCATGTTGTAAACAAATGATTAAGCGATTGATTTTCGGTTTAACTGCAGGAAATTATTATGCGCATCGGTACATAACTCGGTTGAATCGCCATCATAAACGCACTTATAACCCGGAGTCCGAGCTTCTGAGCACGTAACTGATTCAAAATCATTATGTTCGGACATCTTAAATGAAGACCAGTAACTGAATGTAGTAAAATTCTTTAAAAGTAACTCTAATATTCAAATATAAAAAAAATTAAATCATAACGACAAATTAGTATTATGTGTCGAAGAGTTAATCATAGATGTATAGGTTTATACGATAGTTCATCTTCAGGTGATGGAGGGGGTCACGAGTGTCTTTGAAGAAAAAAATAATATCTTTAGACTTTGTCTCGTTCACTTTATCACCGTGAACATGTATGAAATATTTGCCACTGGACGTCAGGCAATCGTTCATTTTTAACAGTTTAATGAGCGAATTATTATCATATCAAGATTGAATTATAATAGAGGGATCAAAAACTCTGGTTATATCACCTTTGTATTATGATTTTTTAATTTCTCTTTCAGATAAATATTCAATGTCTATACTTCACAAATAATACAAGATGGTCTTGAGTG